AAACGCAATCGATTCTAAAAGTTCCATTTCATTTTTCGAGCGCCGTTGAAATGGTATCAAAGTAAAACACATTTACTGGTACAGCCTCTTCCGCCATGTTGTAAAGTTTTTCTTGTTCCCAGTTTCCTCTGTCTTTCGCAACTGTCACGTTATTAATATTCAGCGCGGTAAAACGCAGAAAAAATGCAGATAGGAACACGCGGTGTTGAACAATTTCTAAACGCGCTTGCCTGTGAAATCTCAAAATCAAACTTCAAATAAACAGAAAGTTGAAATTGATCACAGAAAGTTGAAATACAGACTCGACCGAAGTGTCTCATGAAATAAATGGTAAACTTGCTACAGAAAAGCGGTGTAAAGTCCATTACTCTAAATAAATAGATGATTTATAACATGTATGTCTTGTGGCAGCTTCTTACCAACATTGCACGGATGGGTGGAGTTTCAAATCAACGATCACGGTTTTGGTTCCCATTTGGTGTCTTTGGGCCCGTTATGCTTAGTGCGTAGAGGTCATAGGTTCAAATCCTGTATAAGCCTGAATTTTTTTTTCAGGTCTTATTTTTAATACTGCTTAGGTAGTGTTCATTACCGCGAAGATCGCTTCCAAATCTATGCCCGTGCGTGTCTTTTACCAGCTTAGTAACCTTTCCAAGGTGCACCCAAACTACGAGTCCAAACTACAGTGGTCTCGACAACGATCCTCAACTTTCAAGTCGTTCTCCATCCGTTTATACGGTATATTAAACCACACAATCCATGTCTGTCGTCGAGGAAAAGTGGCAATCGACAAAGCCTTCCTTGAGGGAGAGAAGTAAGTTCATTTTTAACAACGATTTTTTCAGCGATGTAAAGTTCACCGTGCGAACGACGGATGGCGGAAGTGAAAGCATGCAATTTATTCCTGCTCACAAGTTAGTATTGTCGATCAGTAGTCCTGTGTTTGAAGCCATGTTTTACGGTGAGTTAGCGGAGACTAGAGACTCTATTGAACTGCCTGACTGTGACTACGAGTGTCTGCTGGAGTTGTTTCGTTTCATGTACAGCGATGAAGTCAACTTGAGCGGAAGTAATGTCATGGGTGTATTGTACTTGGCGAAAAAATACATGGTGCCTTCGCTCGCTGATAAATGTACCGAATATCTCCTCAAAAACCTGGATCCGTCCAATGTTTTCATCATTCTACCATTCGCTCAGAAATATGAAGAAAAAGAACTGGTGGATCGATGCTGGAAAGTGATCGATGACAAGATGGAGGAAGTTGCGAAATCAGATGGATTTGTTACAATTGAGAGGAACTTACTCGAAACAGTGGTAATCAGAGATACACTGAATATTGAAGAGATAGATCTATTCAAAGCCGTTGACATGTGGGCCTCAAAAGAATGTGAGAGACAAGGTTTGAGGGCGGATGGCACAACCAAAAGAAGAATTCTTGGAGAAGAAATTGTCAAAGCAATTCGCTTCCCAGTTATAGATCAAAAAGATTTTGCCGACGTCGTGTTGGACAGTGACATCCTAAACCTAGACGAAGTTAAGACCCTGGTCAAATACCGAAGTTCGGTGCTTTGTCATCCATTAAGATTCTCAGACAAGATAAGATCATCTGTTCCTCGTGTCTGTGGAAAAACTCAACGTTGTTTCAGATTCCAGTCCTTTATTTCTCTTTCCAAAGATGATGCATTTGAGAAAATACACATCATTGAGTTTTCTGTGGACAGTGAGACTTTGTTACACGGGGTATGTCTCAGTGGCGGTTACAGCGAGAATCTGATTGAGCTTAGCCTATGGAACAACAAAGGTACACTACATCGTGTAACTGGAACGTTTTCCGTCACCTTGTATGAGGAAAATTCATTTCCGTTCTATGCTAACCAAATCTTATTTCCCAAAAATGTTGTTTTGAAGGAAAACACCACATACCGCATGGAGGCAAGAATAAGTCATCCAAGTTCATGGTGTGGAGAAAAAATTCACCACCAAGTTACTTGTTCAGGTGTAAAATTTACATTTAAGTCCATTGTTGGTAAAGACTTTCCTGCATTGCTATTCTCTAAATTACCCTGAATAGAAGAAATTACAACAGAAAGGAATCTGGATCTTTATTTCCTTCGGATTGAAGTGTGGACGTTTTGTATTCTGCAGCATACACCTTTATTGATATCTGTCGGGCTATACCAGCAACTAAACTACTCGCTACATCTAGTTACAAGCTTGGCTTTTGTAGGTACGGTTGAGGATCTAGAACGTTCCGTAACATTACAACAGATTCTATTTATATGTTGACTCAGGGATGACTCAGCATGACACAGCTACTTCTAGAACATTCTTGAAGGTCACACTACACGGATCGTATCCCATAATGTTAATGATCACAGGCCATAGCTTTGTTTTATAACAACCGAGGGTAGATTATTTAGATGTACTTTGAAGTAAAGTGTTTACGAAAATTGGGAAAGTAGAGGAATATTCTACTAAGAAAAAAATGTTCCTCGCTTATAGTAGTTGTAAAGAGATAAAGTAAATAGTCTATAAAAGCGAGAAGAGAGGACTCTGCTATCCACTAAGATCTATTCCTATATTTAGCATCACAGTAAAGGGCTTTGGTCAGGGAAAACTTTGCTATTCGGCTCCATTCAGATTATCGCTCTGTAAAATAACGTAAACAGATTCATTTTCCTTGAAATGATCTCCTCAAGATTGATATAAGTTACAATTTCTACAACGTTGTGACCCTTCAGTGGTATATGTTACTCAAGAATCTTTCAGAGTGCACGTTCATATGCACAACTCAAAATTTGTAGCAAGTGCTGTTGGCTTTTCATTCAAGAGCTTTTCGAAACACAAATATGATCGAAGGTGTAGAATCATAATTTCAAGGAAGTTCATCTTCTAATCATCAGTGGATGGAAAATTCCGACGTTAAACTATAAAGAAATAATCGAGTCAAATCAGGAGACCTTAAGCACCATCTTCATTTTATCAAATGTATTGCAGTTGTAGTAAAAAAAAAAAACAAAACAAGCACCACTAAAAGTAGGATTATTTCTGTAATCGAGTATTACCCGCATCGTCTGTGCAGTGAGTATTACAACTTGAAATTTTTCTCATATTCTTTAGGGATGGTATTTTTTATAAATCTTTTGCAATTTTTATTTTCACTACTGGTGGTATTTTTTTTATCTACTGCGTAGATTAGTTGCAGGCAGGTTGCCGTTATATTGCATACTTTACTGCATGCGGTTCTCAACCAGTTGTTTGTCTATAGAGCCTTGATAAGAGGAAATAAAATTCTTTATTCACGTCCAGGTTATTTTTCCAGCTTCCTTGAGGCTATCGTAAGGGTGTCATGCCCTCCGTAAGATGAAGTCGGACTCTCGTATAAGCCTATCATAAAAAACCAAGACTTGTCAACACCCCTGTTCCAGAAATGTCCAGAAGTCACGCGACGCTCGTCCAGCGCTGGGTGACATCTGTTGAAGTCCTAAATGTAATAACTGTCCTAAATGTAATGAAGTCCTAAATGTAATAACTGTCCTAAATGTAATAACTGTCCTAAATGTAATGAAGTCCTAAATGTAATAAAGTCCTAAATGTAATAACATTTAGTCCTAAATGTAATAAGCCTCCAATGCAATCGTTGAACTCCTTTAGTGCATTGTTGTTATGGCGGACATCCACATTGAGATGTGAGAACTCGGCCAATATATAGCCATTTTGACCTCACGTTCGGTCAATAACGCATATGAATATATCTTATGCAAACCCGTACAAATCTGGCAAGGGAAGACAGTACAAAAAATGCCCTTCTGAGCCCAGAATTTGTCTAACGTATAAGTCGGTGGACTTCTTTTTCCTTGTAATTTGGTTCATCAAGTGTTAACTTCAGCACTGAGGACAGAAGTATTTCGTCGAAATCTGTTACACTTAAGAGTCTGAGCCAATGATATAAAGAGAGCTATTGGTCAACGTTCTCATTGCTTTTGCGTCCGTCAATTTGATGCCAAAAGCACATCAGTATCAGTATAAGGTTTTGTAGCCAATGTTTCTTAACCTACGTCTTTAGCAAATAAAAAGACACTGATTAATATCAGTGAGCCCGCAATATTCCATGAATATTGGTCAGAGGATTCTTTGGTGCAACAGCTGTCACTTTGACATCTCAATGTTAGCGCAGTTGCAACGATTGCATAGGAGGCTTATTACATTTAAGACCGAACGTTATTACATTTAGGGCTTTATTACATTTAGGACCAAATGTTATTAAATTTAGGACTTTATTACATTTAGGACAGTTATTACATTTAGGACTTCAACAGACATCCCCTAAAACAACTGCGTAGGGGACCACTACGTATCAGAAAAACAGAAGCGTTGATTTTGCCTCAAAAGATGCGACAACACCATGAATGTTGCCGCTTACTGAAAATTAAATTTCTTCGAGATCGATTGTTTTGAAACGTAACAGCCGGCGAAGAAGGAAAAAACGTGCAAGTGTACAATCAACACAACAGTACAAGAATGACGTTGAGGAGAATTCCGTGGATTCTACAGCACCCCGTGCGTGTCAGGACAAAACAATGACTTTTCAATTTAAATAAAAGGCAGTAATGTTCATAAGTGTTAAAAAAATTCTCCCCTTGCTTAGAAGTATTCCAAAGTCTTACCCCGCACTTGTTTTATGAGTGTCCAAACTCACGCTAAACTTTCTGTAACTGTTTATGGTGGATTATTACTTTATCTTCGCGGTGACTTTCATTACTAGAAAAAAATTTCTCAACTCATTTTGAAAGGAAAAAATTTCGTTTAAATTGAACCCGTCTTTTTGAGCCAAGTTATTTCTTTGGAGCTATTCTCTGTCGAACAAACAAACCCCTCGGAAAAAGGTAAAGGGGGTAATTTTCTAAAGAAACTGTAGTGCTGCGTCGTTACGAAAGTTTAACAGGGTAATTAAGTATTATCAGCTGAGTTGATAATGTAAGTTGGCCACCGTAAAGAGTTTCAGAGCGACGTTTCGAGCGTTAGCCCATCGTCAGAGCGAATGACGAAGGGCTGACGCTCGAAACGTCAGCTTTGAAACTTTCTACGGTGACCAATTTACGTGATCAACTCAGTTGATAATACTAAATTACCCCCGGAAAAGGGTATTGTTACTGTCGACACCCACTAAAAATCTGTTATTTTTCCAAATTCGCACCCACGATGGAATGAGAGGGTGATCATTCTAGCATAGTAACCCAATATGCAAAAATGTCTTTGCATTTAATTCTAATCACTTCTTAAGCAGATGCTTGTCTGTAATTGTCATTTTTATCACCAAAGAAGAAAACTTTTCAGTTGTCCAGCTTGCCTAAATTTCTACGATATTACCCCGATATGTCTATGGCTAAGATGAATTGGCAGACAAAAAAGCTCACCATCAGAGAAAGGAGTGAGTTTATTTTTAACAACGATCTGTTTAGCGATGTTAGGTTTGTTGTCTCGGGAGTAATTGGCAAATGTGAAAACAAGAAAAGTATTCCTGCTCACAAGTTTGTGTTGTCAATTAGTAGCCCTGTGTTTGAAGCCATGTTTTACGGTGAGTTGGCGGAGACTAAAGACTCTATTGAACTGCCTGACTGTGATTACGAGAGTTTGTTGGAGTTTTTTCGTTACATGTACAGCGATGAAGTGGGTTTGAATGGAGGTAATGTGATGGGAGTGTTTTATTTGGCGAAGAAATACATGGTGCCTTCGCTGGCTGATAAATGTGCGCGACATTTACGGCACAACTTAGATGAATCGAATGTGTTCAGTGTTTTGAAATTTGCACAGAAATATGATGAGACGAACCTTGTGGAAAATTGCTGGAAAGTGATAGATGAACGCACCGCAGAAGCTGTAAAATCTCGGAATCGATTCTTGACAATTGAAAGATCCTTACTCGAAGCTTTAGTTGAAAGAGACTCGTTGAATATCAATGAAGTGGAACTGTTTAAAGCCGTTGATTTGTGGGCTATAAATGCCTGTAAAAAGCAGGGTTTAGTGGCGAATGGATCAACAAAGAGAACAATTCTTGGAGAAAGAGTAGTCAAGGCAATCCGCTTCCCTACGATGAAGCAAGAAGATTTCGCCCTGGTGGCACTCGACAGCAAAATATTAACAGCAGAAGAAATTGTGAGTGTTATCAAGCGTATCAACTTAGTATCAAGTGCCCTGTTGCTGTTTCCAGAAACGAAGAGATCTGGTTTCGTCGGTGAAATCCAGCGGTGCTGTAGGTTTGGTTCTGTCTCTCACAACAAATGGAGTTATGAGGGCTCTTCCAAAGACTGCGTGAATCTTTGCGCTGACAGAGAGATTACGTTACATGGGCTTCGGCTCTTTGGAGAGGACCAAAATAGCTACTGGGTTGATATGGAGATCAAAATTGCCAAGAACAAGTCCGTTCTGTTATCAAAAGCAGGATGGTTTAAATCAGAGGCCTTGTCAAGCAATTTTGGTCACTATCATGGATTTGAGGTTTTTTTTGACGCTCCACTTGTGTTGAAAAAAAATCATTCATACTCTGTGGAAGCTTTGATCATAGGTTCGGATTCGATGCATGGAAAAAACGGTCACGAAATAGTAAAATTTTGCGGCGTAACGATCACGTTTACAAATAGTAAGTACTCTGGTAATGGAACAAGCGTTAGTCGGGGTCAGTTCCCGGACATATTATTTACCGTTTAATCAACATTTGATCCAAGGAGTGTTAAGTATCGAACTCCGCTTTCTAGTCGTAGGGCACAGTTAAACAGGCTTGTAACGTGAATGAAGACAGAGATCAAGGTGGGGATAGTGGTTTGATGTAAAGAGCAGTCAACAAATGAATGTTTGCTTGTTAGTTTGATAGGAGAATACGCTTTCAGACCATGGGAGTTATAGTATTAAAGGAGCTTTATCACAGCCTGTGCATCTTGAAAAAATTTACCAGCATTTGCTTTGACTCTCCTGTAATCCTGAACATTAATGTCGTTTCCTTCATCAAAACTTCCGTTACGTTCGTCCATCCTCACCAACTATCTGTTCGGGTGGATTTTTGATAAAAGGCCATCATCAAAAGTCCTTTATGTCGCCGATAAATGAAAAATTTCAACGACCCATGAACTATTAAAAGTAGTGTGGCACCGTTCCTTAACCCTCTGACTCCCGTGAGTGACCAAGTCAGAATTCCTCCCTACTATATCTATACAATATCATGTAGACAAGTGATGAGAATTAAGAAAAATGATCAATTATGGGATTACTAGTTGATCCCATTCCACATTCTCCAAACTAACACAATGAGAATCCTTTGGCAGATAGCAAGGAGAATTATTAATGAGATCATGGGGGTCAAAGGGTTAACTGTCACACTCCAGCTTGAAAAGGTTAGGTAGTGGGATACCTTACCTCTAAAAGCCATCGAGGAAGGAACTCAGTCAAAGGAGTATTCAAGGAAATTCTAACATCCATAGTTGTATAGTATACTGTTCGTTGTTGATAGATAAAAGTGGAGTTAACATCTCTTAAAAGGGGATTTCCAGTGGATCTTCTCGCGGCTTTTCCAGGCGTGTTCGTAAATTTGAGAATTATTTTCATTACTAAACAAAACTCTCCCTGTATGCAGCTGTTGGAGGTGGCTTAGACTGCCTTTGCTATGAACAACTATGGAGCACAGAGGGCACTGTGAGACTTCGCGAAATGAAATGACCAGCTGGTTGTAGAAGGACTTGAAATATTGCGAGCAAGCTCTCATTAAGACGCCACACGAGTGGTGAAGCGTGCGCATTCCTAACGGGAAAGAGATGTAAGCACGCGAGATTTTCACGAGGATTCTGGCAGGAAAGTCAGTGTCAAACCCCTCTGAGATCTCTCGCCGTCTCGAATCGCGTGGGTCTTCACCGTTCGTATTGCAGCGGTAATCAGATCCTGTTCGAAGGTAAAATTAGCTTTTGGAAGAGAGCATTCTAGGATCTCCAGGATCTGCAATTTGACGTACCCCGCTGAGAATGAAAAAATAATCAACAGCCTCACATCTCCGTAGGAACCACACTGTTTCCGCCAAAAAGGCCGGTCAAATTATCATAAATCAGGAACAAACACGTCTGCCAAATGGTTTCTCATTCAATATCGAATATCGTTACTGCAGTAACTGTTTCACTTGTGATCCCACCTGGCTTTGTAGGGCTCAAGGGATTTTACTGAATAGAGGCTGGCGTCAAAACATTATAATGACTTTTCCATCAGTTTCTACTCAGCAGGAGACAGATTATTGTTGTTTACGTATGAAAGGTAAGCATGCTGAGTGTAAGTAGCGCCGATTGTATATGTATATTTATAGTTTGTAGTTACTCTTACAGACGTTGGCCATCAACAGATATTTCGTAGCTCGTCGTAATCTTTTCAAGTGTTTAGACCAAGCTCACTTAATGTATTGTTACTAAAGTAGGTCAAACGTAGGAAATTGATACAGAGGCATGTCTATCGATAGGTGGATACTAACCATGACACTTTGTACGTTCCTTAACTTTATACCAGGTGAGTGAAAATCCTTGCTTCTTTTCTCCCCGTATAAACAGGCGTACTCGCTTGAGTAAATCTTTGCCAAAAAGCCATGTTAGACATTTGGAAATTAAAGGATAAGATGAAGCATACTTCACACCTATCGGTTTAAATCTATGAAGCCGGGATAATCTAGTCGCGTGTTTTCACAGGGATCAATTTTCCCCTACGTTCCCCTGCACAACATTGAAAGTAAAAGTAGAGATCAAAAAGTTTACAGAACATCGCTGGGAGAGGGATGGGAAGGGACTACACTGTGAAATTGCGCGTTCTTTTGATGACAGGTTTTTATTTTGGTGACAGTTGTAGCGTCCTCTCACAACTTTACTCAATACTCTACTCTTTGAGTAGAAATGATGCACAACTGCCGCTTTAGGAAACTCGCGTCCGAATTTGATTGAAAATAACACAGGTTAAACTTTTTTCAAATGTGGTTTCTCTGCTGTCTTGCAGAGGAGTCAAGTAGACACTCAATGTGATATAGTTCTACCGAAACAACCCTCTACTCGCATTTGTTTATTTTACGCAGTACTACTAGTCCAGGCCAATGTTGTTTCGCACTGCATAAAGAAAACAACGTACCCTAATGTGATCCTCCGGGGTAAAATGGAGGCGGGGACCTACACGCCTTGGGAACCGGGCGACTTAAGTCACATGACCGTTGATCGATGCACTGAACACTGCTGTAAAAGCCCGGATACAGATGTAGTGTTTCTACTGAACAGGTGAGACATCAGGTGTATAATCTATAATTTGTAAAACGAACGCATGGCGTGACTTTATTCGATTGATTTCAATATCGTTATTCGAGCTTTGATCGGCTAATTTCGTTCCTCCTGTCGAGGCAGTTTTGAGCAAAGAGGCATGTTAAGGTAAAAACTTGCCAACAACAAAATTTGCTGGTGTAGGTTACTCAAAAAGGACTCCTCGCTTTTTGTCTATTAGCAAGTTTTCCTTGCTAATACGTATACCGAACAAGATATCATCAGCGTTTGCACTTGATAATAGATTCTGGTTGTTTTTCCTCTGTCACTGAAAAGTGTAAATGAAATCATAACGATTCCATAACACTGGCCTAACATTTCGAAAATTGTCATCATAAAATAGTAAAATATTAGAACCTGCCATTTTTAATCTTGCTTAACATCCTGACTTCTGCTCGTCTCTTTTTTCCTTTTCCATCTCTTGGCGATTTGTTTGAACGGTTAGGAGCTAAATAAAAAGGCATTCTTGACTCAGTTACTCCACCCAGAGCAACAGCTGTTTGTGGACCGCGCCCTGCGTTTACCGCCATTTGGTGCGTGCAGTGCATTTAACTAAGTTGTTTTTTAAAATGGCAGCATACGAAGGGAAATTGTTTGGCACATTTGAAGACAATTTTCGAACGGTCAGGTATGATATTCATATATACGTTTTCGTTGCAGATATGAAAATCAAATGAAATCGGGAGTATACCTCTCTTAAAAAAGAAATTTTCAGGCGCAATGCAATCGATGTGTAAATTTAAGCTTGATAATATGTTTTCTCTTCAATAGCTATTGCTTCTGTGTGAAGTGCCATTCTCTGGAATCATGCGCCATGGTGAAAATCACTCCACCCTCGACGTACAGACCTGTGATTGTTACTGTATTGAAACGTAAGTACTTTGACCTCTGAACGTTACATGAGTTTCTTTTATATAAACTGGTAGATAATGATAAGCATTTTTTTCGCAAAGCATTTGTTGACATCACCGGGAACCCATTACCCAGGTAATAGGTACCTGTCATCACTTGATCAAGGTTACCTTATAAAGTCTTTAAGTCTTTAAGTCTTGTCTTGTTGATTCTATCAGTTTTCTCGTTGATCTTGCTTCGTCCCTCAAAACAATCCCCGCGCTGGAAGTGAAAAAAGTTACTGTGCCTTTGGCTCCAACAAGAGATGATAAACTCTCGGTTCCAATGAACTATTCTGGGAAAACCAATGGCAGTCAGTTGACTTGAAACTGAAGTGGAATAGCAAGCTACTATGTGTCTCACCCTGGTAGTTTTTTCTATACCAACTAAGCCACTGATTATAGTTAAAGCTTGATTTGACGTTATTCAATATTTCCCAGACCCTCTTTTTCAGGACATCAAACATGTAATTTCCGCACATCGTTCTAGTTAAATGGTTTAGCCTAATAGGTGATTGAATAAAAAAAAATTAATTGTTTGTAACTTCGTCTTTTCGTCGAAGTATTGCATTTTTCATCCTTACTCCTAAAGCAAACATCTTCGGCGAAAGAAAACAAAATTATAGCTCATTCTGGCTACATCTATCTCCGATAAAACAAATTTTGAAATCCTTTATCTGTTTAAGTGCAAGGAAAACTCAAATTTTTTCTTTTCACGTGACAAGTGGTAATGGGAACATAAACTTGTCAGTCTGCTTCAAATAACTGCGATGTCCTATGGCATTTGAATAACTTTTTACATTTATTTCAATTTAAAAAATTAAAATAATTTTTTCCTAACTCTCATCCGGTTGCGGAATCTCCTTTAAAGTTAAAAACCTGGTGATAAATGTCTGGGATCTCCCTTACTTCTATTTTTTATTTTTTTAAGGGAAGAAATCAAACGGAAATTGCAATGAACAACAAACTTCATCTGCGCCCCCAAAAAACTAAAGTATATTAATTTTTTTCCTTATTAGTAATCATTACTCTCTTTAGAAATAATTTGTTTCATACAAATTGTCTGATAAGATAAAGCTCATAAACACTAGTTTCTAAAAAGTGTCGTTATCTTGCTTTCACGAATAATGGACGATAACTACTCTTTTCAGGCTTTTAGCGCCTAATTAAAGGCTAGAGTTCATAGGTACAATTGGGCCGTAAATATTTAAAATGTTGTTCCGATGTATCACTATGCAACATTCCAACTTTTTCTCGTCATTTTCTCAGCCATAATTAACAATTCTTTTGTGCTGCCGTGAAATAAAGGGTCAAAGGCGGGTACCTGACCCAGTGTTAAGGAATACTTCACTTGAAGCGCTTTAATTTTACCAATAAATGCCCAAAATAAGCGAAATTAATATTTCGAACCACTGACATCCATAACTTATGAGTTTTTCCTATTGGTCATAAAGAAAACTCAACGTAGGCGTCGAAAACTTGCGACAATATTTTCAAAATTCGCGGTTACATATACGTTCAGACGAAACAATGTTTTGATACTAAAGGAGTGACCTTCACGGTGATTAATGATATTTTGTGTCGTCTCGAGTTTCCTCTACAGTAAATATTTTCTTTGGCCACCTAAGGGAGTCAAGTGAAGACTAAATCAAATAAGACGCCGGTTGTATAACTCTCTGACCCGTACTAACATATAATTTATGCAAGGAAATTCAAAACATTTCAAAGCCACTGAATGCAGCGCACCGGGAGACGGTGTAAGTTCGCAAGCCTTAAATGGTGAGTTAAAAGAACTTTCCACAAATAATTTACAAATACTTCTACAAATTTTTACAAATAGTTACAGTCATTTTATTTATTTTCATATATTTGTATTTTAAAGTTCTCTTGTCTTCATAAATAGTAGAAGATTTTAGGTTAAAACTGAGATGAGAGAAGATTTTTACGGTGCGTGATAATTCATTTCCCATCATATTATCACTGATTATGTCACAGAAACAAAACTTCAAGTAACCATTTCTCCTTTCCCCAAAAATTCAACGTTCAGCAACTTTGCCGGTTTGCTGCATCAAAAATTAGTTATTGGTTTTTATTTTTTTTAGTTTAATTAGGGAAATTATCAAAATCCATTGGATACATTCTTCATCAAGCCGAGAATTTTCATTGATTGGCTGTTAGAAGTATATACCCATTGAATGAAGATAAAGCCCTCCGGTCGTTGGTACTGCGTATTTTTCTCATTGTTTGTCTCATCTCACACGATGATCTTATTTTTTCGACTAAACAGGAAACAACAATGACAACAAGAATATAGATAGCGATAATTTAAACAACATTAAGTCATAGATGACAATGAATGATTGAGACATTGATATGGTAGAATATATATCAAATCGTAAGAAACTGCACTTTGGAGCTTTTTCGTCTATTTCATCGCTTTATGCATGTCTTTCAAAGTGTTACCTTTAAATCTGATCAGACAAACCATTATGGAAACAATTAACGAGTGTATGACGTTATGAAACATGGATGAATTTTCACATTCCAAGGGCTAATTTACGCAGATGTAAACAATACGGAATAAACGGTTCAAATGTTTTAGTTTCTTGTGATGCAAGTTTGCGTGATTATTTCATCCTTCGTGTTATCTTAACGTCCTCCCCTTGTACAACTTCCTTATCACTCGTTAGTAGATTTTTCTCCCTGATGGCTGCCGGTGTGGTCCTAATTTAGTAATTGTACTAAAAATTAAACTATGAATTTACCAGGTGTGAATACACAGCTTGGGAGACAGAAGCACCACTAATTTACCATATTTATCGCTAACCATTCTCTCAAATATCGCCTGGAAAGCTCGGGAAAACATCGCCACGCTTGCAAACACTCTACCCCAGCACCTGTTATTTGACAAAATCTCGTCTGTATTCAGAAATGTGTGGATTGTGGGCAAGCTGTTAATTGAAAAGATCACAAAAGAGAGTTATAGATAAGGGTTGCTTCCTATGTAGCTAGCCGTCTGGGAAGCCTATTATTTCTTTGACATAAAGCGCACTGCAGGCACATCTGTTATTTGTTGTTTCCTAAGATGCTACCTTCCTTCTCAGACGTTGTTAATTATAAAGCGATTACACCTGGAGGATAAAACCACTTTGAGTTCATTCATTTAGTTATTCTCGAAGGTGTGCATTCCTAAATTCTTTTGTGTTTTTCGGCGCTACAAAATCTCCATTGTTCAAGTCGATTTCATCTTTGTTTTTAGTGTCATAAGAACACTCCCTCTCTGCTCGTAAATAATAGTTATTATTTTGAAGATCTCTGTGCTTTAAGAAAGCCTGATATCTATCTTCATAGAGATAAGAACGTCTTATTCGCTCCACTTACGCCTGTAATAAATCATTTACGTTGTTTATGGCGATTTGATTTCAGTGACGCCAACACTTCTCGGTAATCTTTCCAATAGCTGAATCTTACTTTTCCGCCTCTATTATCTGAAAACTTGTGTTGTTTTTCCAGGCATTTCTAAGCTTCCTTCAACTACGCAACCTCTTTCGGCTACCAGGAGTTTCACGAAGCAGACCCAATCTACAGAATATAGTACCCAAGTGAGTGGTAGTAATAATTGTTTACATATTTTTTAGAAAAGGTTATTGCTAGAGATAATTTAATGAACTGAATTAGACGAACAGTTTGATGAACCCATCTTTTAGAGCAACTGTTTTTCTCAAAAATATTTTCATGACGTATTTTGTAACTGAACCTAATCCTCTTAGCCTACATTCATCTTTCAATATCAAAGATCTTTAAAAGAGATTGTTTTAAGAATTGTCTGGTACACAGAAGTATTGAACAAACTTACAATGCCTTTGCACCTGTTCGTGTAAAACTGAAGTCGTTTCGTATAGTCATGAATCAAAACCTGAAGACAGCAGATCGCCAACGATAAAAACTCTTAAACTGACGTAATTTTGGAAGACTGTAACTTTCTCTTTGAACTCTGATGTCTTCTATCAAGTTGTCTGAAGAACGTAAAGAAAAAGGTAACAAAAAACGGTTACAGTCGCGTGCTCGTGCTTGCGTTCGAATATTATATTTTTGGTGACCTTACCGAGAGGACTCGTAGCTGGAGCACATTGTGAAAATAAATCGTACACTAAATAGAGGAGGACTCCTGCCTGGAGTATATTTGAAAGTAAACGATTTATTATATAAAGCATACGGGTTTACACTCGACAAGGAACAGTTGTATACGGTTGTAATAGGTGTATGACGACTCTATTGAAAAACTCCCATACTCGGTCCATGTACCTCATAAGCCCCACGATGCTGAATATATTGATATTGTAACTAATCGGCCTCAATACAACTGTTTTTCCTGTTCAATCTCAACCTTTAGTATACATCAAAAGCACATAACCAAGGTCATAAGCTTTTGTATCCATTTAATGTTTACCTCAGTGAAACACTCTTAATTGATACGCTAAGAACTTTCTACGCATGCCAAACTGTAAATATTTCTCTTTTGAAATAATAGCGGTTTTATTGAAAACCCCTTTATTGGCAAATTGTTTCTTATTTTGTCGGTCTTAGGGAAGAACTGAACGAAAAGAAAAACAGTGCTGTCGCATGTTTGATTTTGAACATAAAAAACATAAACTACGGATTACCACCGTTGCATGTAAACCATAGTAACTATTGTGGGCTTAATTCCCCATCGATGTTTTTCCTTTTCATGGTGTGACATTGGTTTACCGCATCATCTATTTCACCTTGTCATTTTGCACCAAATGTCACATAAACTTGCAGGGGTGCTAGTTTTTCACTCTCTTTTCCTGGTTTTGGATGAATTTGTTTTCAATTGAGGCTTTTCGCTTTGACGGTAATTTCAATTTGACTTTTTCCTTTTGCCTTCAATGTGCTTCTTGACTCAGTGCAGTATTATTTAGTATTATTTAGGCTTTCCTTCACTTCAGTCAGTTGGGATGAAATGAATAATTTTTTAGCTGTTTTTCTTTACTCGGATCTATCGCAAAATCCTGTGACTTTCCACGTGTTCCAAATTCAATTAATGCCCTCCTTCCCTCGTCCCCGAAAAAGGAAAATTATACAAAAAGATGTTTTTCGTCATATCACGAGCGTGGGATAAAGAAAAATTCTGAGTTCCCTTGAGGAATCGAACCTCAGTCCTTCGGATTCCGCGCTCCGATGCTCTACCACTGAGCCACAGAGGCTCTACGGTGAGCGAGATCTATTACGGTCTATTTCATATGACACCCGTCCTGCATACCGCTAGGATCAGCAATGGCGATAGCGTCATGTTTGTAAACAGAATAAGAGGGACGATAGGTTTTTTTGAGCTCGATAAAGAAATAGAGAAAGATGTTTTGTTCGTCTTGTCAAGAGCGTGGGACACTTATTCTATTTACAAGGAAAATTTTTATTATCAGTTCAACATTGTGTGATCTATTCAATCTGGCAATTAGGGTCTTTCATTCTTCTCCTAGCCAACCACCGTCAAATTCGAACAAAAAGAAACAAAAGGAACTAAAAGACCCCAAGATGCCAAAACAGATCCCACCAAGAAGACGAGTGATAGCGGATTCAGACGAGGAAATGGGACCGAAATCAGCCAGGAATGGAGACAGTCAAGCAGTTCGTGTAAGCCTCTCTCTATCTCTCTCTCTTTCTTCTCGGATTCTTACTGATATAATTGCACTATTTTCCACTTCAGGCCTAGGGGTAAACATAAATTGAGCACTCTATCCGACTCTCAGTTTTCTGACTGGGACCTCGATCTAACTGTCGGGTGTAAATACACAATGTTGTTTGCAGAGTTCATTGTATCCTATTTTCAGAGATAATATGGGACCGTTTGTAGATTAGGCAGGAACGATACTTTTTGAAGAAAAAAAGAAACGGTTCTTTAAATTGATGTACTACAAATGGCACGTCTGACCAGTTTGATTGTTTGAAAAGTTTTTACCATATTTGAACGGTTTCTCGAAATTGAGCTCAAGAAAACCTTGTCAACATTCTTCACTCGCGGGGTTGAGAGAAAGAAAAGAGGAGAATGTACTTGGTATTTGCGATTAAGCAATTTTCAGTTAAATGTTGAAAAACCAAAGCCAAAGCTATCACAGGGACCAATCAGAAAAGAGATTTACAACATCACCAGCCAACGAGGACTCGTAGTGGAAGCGCATGACCGAGTCGAATGGCCGAGTCGCGATTATTTTTAGTTTTGCATCTACTTGCTTGAGAGGATGACGTAACTTTTCTGGACTAGTCACAGGCAAAGTTGGGTAAAACCAAAACAATCCAGGTTTTGATTAGACACTACTCAAAATTGCTCCATGTAAGAAAAAGTTACTTCCTCTATTGTTAGATAAATTACAATATGCAAACTTGCATAACTGATCCATCTCTTTTCAAAGTATTGAAAGGAAATGAGCTAACTTTTACATGATAAACATAAATAGATAAATAGATTTTTAAGTAAAAATATAATCAAAAACATATATATTTATATACAAAAGAAAACATTCAACTATCAAATTAGTAAATTAAGCAAAAAAAACTTTCATTGTGACTTGGATAATTTAACTAATTATATAATTCTTCCTTCTTTTCATTACTCTTGGGAACGCACGTATCTTTAACTCTGACATTCAGTTTGCTTCTCTGTTTACAGAAACTATTTCGTTTCTTTTCACGGAAGCATAATCCACAAACAGCTCTTGTTATTCGCTACGCTATCTGCTTTTTTCTCGGAGGACTTGTTGGACTGATTCCTTACTTAGTTTTCGTGATTGAGCTCTGTAAAGGTTTGTCTGTTTCTTTTATTCTTTTTCTCTCTTTTCCTTCTAATTCTCTTGGTCTTCGTTCCTCGTTTCCTCCTTTACATTACTCGCTTTCTTTTCACTCTTCATCGTTGATTGATTGATCCATTTATGTATTCTTTAAGCTGTCCTTTCGTTCATTCGTGTTTTCATTTCTCCCATCTATTCTTCCTTTGTTCCTTATTTCTTATTCACCCATTCACTTAACCATTTTCTCATCCGTAACCTCCGACCTTATCTGTCAGCGTGTTCCTTTTTTTTTTTTTTCGGTCCGAGCAAATTATTCATGGAAAGGTACTAATCTTGACTAAAATCGAAAGTTTACAGATTAACATTTGATTGTAACGCTCAATATCCACAGCTAACTTAGAAATGAGAAATCCCCATCTTCCTTCAATAAATGGATATTCTAAACACAAAGATGTACCCAAAAATGAAGCTCTCACCTCTTTCAGTGAAATTAGTAGTGCTCCTGTCATCACTACAGCTTACGTTGGTAAGTGTCCAAAAGTATTAGCCGACGTAGTTTTGCTCCATAAATGCTTCAGTCTAGATAGCTGGGCGAAAGCACAGAAAATGGCTTGAACCTAGGAGTAATAGTTGAATCATCTCGGGATTTCTCTGACTTTTTCAATTCTCCTTCGCAAATTTTGCGAGACGGCAGTTGTTCTTAAGTCTTCCTTTGAAATTTTGCGCGGGAAATTGGCGCGCGGGAGACCAGAATCGATCCCCTCGCGCATGCCCTTTGTTTGACCGCTGAGTTGGACTGTTGACGTTTCGCGAACCTGACCGTAAGCCATGTCTCACTTGACTCTGATGATGACTTCCGCTAAGGTTGTCGAAATACCAGTCACTTCTACAGACACATTCCATTCAGGAAAATCCTCATTAGGACGGTCAGAATACATGATCAGTTGTGATAAAGTAATAGATAATAGAGAATACACAATTCTGTGAAATTAAGAAAGACCGTCTTAACATTTTCTTTGCTGATCTGTTCAGTACTGCATATGATGACATTTACTTTTAAACGGGTAAATCGACATCTAATAGTGCAGAATTTATTTAATCGCATCTATTTGCTTACATGATAATAAAATTTATTATAAGAGATATAAAAAGAGCACTAAACAGTAAACATAAAAAAAGAGAATTGCTTCTAATATTTTATCCCTTAAGGATGAATTGCGACAGTTTATCTGCCTGTTTTATCCGACACTGAGCTAGGTCACAAAAAAGAGTGGGTGTTCCCTTAAATACAGCTACTACCGTGACTCACTCATAATCAGTGAAACAGAAACCATAAGTTGATTCCCTCTAAATCACAGCTAATATGTGCATGACTATCAGTAAAGGGATTATTACGCTATTAATTGACTTCTTGCGCCATCCCTTTTTTCATTGCAGATGTAAACTTCACCACACTAAGTAGTAACTCAACTGGTATCACGACACCCCGACCCACAAGAGTAGTGACAACAGAGAAAAAGGGTGGGTATTCAGTCATACGTTTCAACTGAATTTCCCCCAAAAAATAACGAAAAAGTATGGACATGGGTGAAGTAGCAAGGGGAGGGGGTGAGAGGCGGGGTAGACACCTCCGAATGAAAATTTGCAGAGGATAGTCCACCCCCCCTTTCAGTTTCGTGGTTCAGTGTAGAAAACATCACCAGTGCAACGTGAAATTGTCCTGGGAAAATATTCAGTGGCATCATGCTTAGTTAAATAGTATGTTGTGGTACTTTTTTGAACAACTCAAGCCTGCTCATGAATTTCTACAAGTAGGTAACAGATCCCAAAGATGTTTTCTTGTCGTGGCCAATGAACCATCCTTAAGACGTTTGGAGACACCTGAATAGGCTTAGGGGCATGGAATTGGCTAGGTGTGCAATAGCGAGATTCCCTAACCACCCCCCCCCTCCCCCAGCCTTCCCCGCTCTCACTCGCCACAAACATTTTTTTTATAAAAAAGGTCCGCCACCTCCAACAAAAGTCACCCTAAATTATATAAGAGTTACTAAGTCTATACTCGAGGCCAAGAGACCCAAGCTGACCATGAGCACATTTCCTCTTGTTCGGGGTAAGGTTTATTTGGTCCTTACCTATCATGAAGAATATTGTTTGCATACATCCTCTGTGAGAAAAGACATTGAAAGAATAAGCCGTTCTTTTCACCGTTCGATGACTTAGCATTAGTATAGCAGTGAAACTGCAGTGATACTGCGAAACGTTTTCGCGTACAAATGGTGATTTGAAAATTTTCTCCCAGCTGAAGGGACTGGTAATGACGACATCTCTCTCCAGTGTTCCGGGACCATAACGGTCATTCGCGTTCGAGCGTTAGGGATCCCTGGGGATACTTCTACCGTGGACGATTTCAACAAGCACTGCCAAGCGAATCTTGGACAAGTGGATGGGACAAATGTATGCATTGTGAGCCTCAAACGGGTTTATAAGTCCCGTTATCCACCTTTCATAAAGACTGTGGTCACTTATACTTGTTCATACACTGAGGAAATCAGTTAGCGATAGTCGTGAGGGAACGGGGTAGAGGCTTTAAATACAACCATATGATTCTCACGTGATGAGGAGCAATCCACAGAGGATTCCTAATTGCCTCCCCCTCCCCACCACCGCCAATTCTAAGAGAACAATAGAAATAGCTAATATGCGTAAAAGTGGTACTTTTTGTACGGTTAACGAAAACTGATAGATTACTCTCGGTTATTTGGTTGTCTAGAGGGCGGAGCCCACAGAGAGGAAAAATGATAAACTTAATTTGATATACTGATGGACGTAAATCCACTGGAATGCTGAGAATATGATTTCCTTCCTGATCGATGGTATAAAAATACAACAGAAAAGTTGTAAAAAGGAAACGTTGATATCAGATGCAGATACTGACGGTGGATTTTAAATGAAGACAAAAGTAATGTATTATAAAAATACGTAAATTCATTCACAAGGTTAATCACTGGTTGATTTCTCAAGAGTGGATCAGCAGGAGGAACGGCATACCAGTCATGTTACGGTCAGATTTTGCTATATTTTGAAAGGCACTTATTATGTTCATAATCACTTGCATTTGCTTTAGCAAATTGACAAAAGGACTATTTTACGCTTCCTTGATCACAATAGCTTTCTTTTTTTTAATCAAACGAGGCTAAGATATACCTAGATATACTCAGAAGCTGCTCGGCAGAGTTGATTTATTGTTACCAGCCCCACGTTAGTTAAGCATGATTGAATTAAACGAAAAAGAAAAAAAGAAAATTGCTTTAGTCGCTCATCTGATCAGAAGACACAAATCATGCATCATGATCGTTTTTGCCATGTCGAAGTAAGTTACACTGATACCCATTTCTGGTAAAGTGTTGTAATATTCATCGAGTCTACTAGTTAAGTAGATGATTCTCACCATACGACTAAACAAAGTAGTACATGTAGCATAAAACTTATCAAATAGCTACGCTCTTTTTATTGCACTTTAGACGGCTCGTCAACATTTGGCGAATAATTTTCTAATATTTTGGGTTTGAATTTCAAGGACTCCAAAACAATAGGTCAAAATATTTCTACCAATTTTTTTATCAACCCTTTCACTCCAAAGATCTATCAGCAATTCTCCTTACTGTCTGTCATACAATTTTTATTATTTTTTTTCTGAGAACTTGATATTTGATTAACTAATAATCCCCTTATTGATATTTCAAGTTTAACTCTCCTCACTTGTCTGCTTGATATTGTATTGGTATTATAAGGAGAAATTCTGTCTTGGTCACTCATGGGAGCTAAATAGTTATGAAATAAGTCATGGTCACTGATTTTTCCTTTCACAAAGAAAAAATTTGGATGGGCCCTTTTACCCAAAGGGATGAGGATTTGAACAAACCAGTCTTCATAGGTTCATATGCCCTAGGAGGTTGGCCTCTGAAGGAGGGTGGGATTTTGAAGCTTTGAATTGACTGACGTATTACTAGGTAACTGGTTTGTTATGAAAAAACACAAAGACTCTAGAGAGGCCTTTAATAATCTTTTATTACTTTAGCTGGCATTCTGTGCTACTTGTGTTTTCCCTGGTTCTTCGGGATGGCAATAAATATAGCAAAATATCTAACAGGAAATACATATTGAGAGTACACAAAAAATGTAAAAATAGTCCGCTTTAGTGAAATTATAATACTCTGTTCTACATAAATTCTGTGATTAAGTTATAAATACACAACAAGATGCCTTTTCATTACTAACAGCAATAAGCTTTTGACTCATGAACAATGACGTAATTAAGAATATTTGTTCTGAAAAATAAAGTCAAATAAACATGTATATTACATGGTAATAGCACAACCCATTTAAAATTAAAGTCATAAAATAAACAGTGGTGTGCATGTGCATCTTTTGATTTGCTTAAAATCCAAATACTAACAATAATTCCTTGTGATCCTAATGAAGTAGGATTTTCAATAGATGGTGCAGCTTATACAAAACTTGAAAAGTTTTAAAGAGCTTAATGTAGTGGAAAGAACCCTCCATATTCAGGGTGGCAGACAAAGGAAACCTTCTGGCTGTCACATCAATTAATGTCTGCTACTTGAATTATAATCAAAGATACAAAAGCATGTGTCCCAACCTCCCTAAAAGCGCAGGCCATGCTTGCCTCCAAAGCATAATTCACTTCAGCCACCTAAATAGTCAGACTGTACATGCCTTACATTTCTTAAAGACAACCCCGGATACTTGCCTTTCCTGTTTCTCATAAAAACTTTCCTAGTTTCACAAATTGCTAAATATATTTACTGCCCTCCAATAAAAAATAAAGCAACACTCTTTTAAACAACATAATAAAATTTGAATATTCATTTATATTAATATCTATGTGATACAGTGTACATGCACATTCCTTGTGACAAGTTTAATTAAAATTCATTATTACTTAATTAAATAACTAATCAATTAAGATTAAATGCTGTGTTTTGAATTACCTTAAAACTGTATCTCATGCAAACCTCTAAGTTGACTACATGTCCAGTTTCTCCAATCAAATCTTAGATGAATAACAACTATGTGATTAGCAAGGGTTTTTTTTCCCATAAGCAGCTGTCAATGTTTAAATAGGCAGCTGTGCTGTTAGGAGAAACCCAAACATAACAGTTAGCTCCCGGGCTAAACAAACAGCGGTGACAGGTTGCACAGGCAGCAGTAGACTGCTGGTAACTGCCTTTTATCAAAACCCCTGGATCAGTGCAGGTACACTAGCAGATTTAGTACTTAATCATAACATTTTCCTATTTTACCATATGGCAATATAACTACGAGTTCTTTTGGATACACTAAAACAAATTCATTTAATCATGACTTCCTTAACCCTTTAACTCCCAAGATCTCATTGGTAATTCTCCTTACTGTCTTCTTACAGTTCTTGTGATATTAGTTGGGAGAATTTAGTATAAGATCAACTTATACTCCCCTAATTGATATTCTTCTTTATTCTCATCACTCATCTACTTGATATTGTATTGATATTGTATGGAGAAATTCTGTCTTGGTCACTCATGGGAGTTAAAGGGTTAACTAAACTTAACATTTACAATACTGGAGCAATGAAGGGAACAAAAATTAGCACAGAAAAACAACGAAAAAAAACAATTTTCCCTCCTTTATAAATCTTTCATCACCAATTCTTGAATCTTCTTAAATAATTTCAATAAAATATAAAGCAGCACTAATGCTGTTTCCTTTTTTTATTTCTTTTTTTTTTTTTTTCAATTATCAAGAAAAAGCTGGAAATAAGATACATGTCCTTCTCACTAAGAACCATTTCCCTCCCAAGCTCTAAAGATCAATTCTCCTCACTAACTGCCACACATTTCTTATAATTACAGATCTGAGAATTTGGTGAGAAATAATATGATATCCCTCATCACCTTTCTGCTTCAAAATATATGGATATTGAAGGGAGAAAGTAATACTTGATCAATCCTGGGAGTGAGATGGCTGATGACTCTTAATTTTGTTAATTTGTTATTGCAAAATGACCAAAAGATTTCTCAAAATTTATAATTGCTATTTTCATACTTTGAGGATAATAACTTAATATATATATAATCAAAATGAAATCTCTAAAATTGGTTAAAAAGCGTAAGACTGGCTCAATAAATGTCTGGTAGATATCTAATGCATTAAAAATAATCTTTTAACAGCACTTGGAGAAAAATATTGAATACAACAATATATCTTTATGATCGTGACTTTGGTATGCTGATATTTTCACTGTTGTCACTTCTTTGATACCTACCATTAATTTCTGAGGTATTATTCTGTGAGAAAACATTATCGTGAGATCTTCCACTGTCCTCAGTGGCATCATTTTGTGAAAAGATTCTGTCGTCTTCCTTAATTCCATGTCTGGTCACCATATGTTTCTTTAAGTTATGACCAATAATAAACTTGCTTCCACATAACTGGCACTGAAATGGCCGTTCTCCTGTGTGACATCGAACATGAGCCTTAAGCACATTGGAACGAGCAAAGGTTTTTCCACAGTAGACACACTTAAAAGGCTTGACCTTTTGGTGAATTGCTAGATGCTGGTTTAGATTTCCACTTAAGTTGAAGCCCCAGCCGCAGATTTTACAGATGTAGGGTCGGTCTCCAGTGTGGGAACGTTTGTGACGAAGCACAGAGTTTGCAGAGTCAAACTGCTTATGGCAGATATCACAGCTGTACTCCTTCATATCCAGGTAAGGTCCACCCTGGGGGTGTGTTGCAGCACTCTCTGTGTGGTCCTCCTGATCAGGAGAAGCACCCACAACATCAACAACTCGTGGCAGAGATGGACCTGAATGAACTGGTGCTGAAAGGCCATCTTGAGAACTTGTTGGCAAGACTTGTTGGCTAAGGGCATAATTCTGCACAGAAGGACCCATGGTGCTGTTTTCTCTTTCAGGGCTACTACCCAAATGTGATTGACTTCTCTCCTCAGAAGTATTTGGCTCTGGTGAGTGGCCATTTGACATGGAAAGAACTTCACTGGGTTCTGTCTTAACTTGGATTGTGTTTGGTAAGACTACTATTGCTGTTTTTGGAAGAAAGGTTTGTGCCTCATGAAAATCTAAGTGAGAACCTTGTTGACTGTTTCTATGTGAGCTCAGACCTCGGCCACCATGGTTTTGAAGAGGACTGTTCTCTGAACTAACAAAGTTTGAGTCCGAGTCATTCTCTCCACCACTAGTTTCCCTTGAGTCACTGTGGATGTCAATAACAGCTGGATGGTCATCACTAATGGCAGGACTTGACCCATTTGTAGAAGAGCTTTCAAGATTTGGAAAATTGGCAAAGCCTGCTGAATCTTCTGCTGAAAATGCTGTTACAGTATCACTGCTATAGATGTCTCTATGATGGTTTTCTGTTTCCATTTCTTCCCCTGTTCCTTGCAAGGAAGGTCGATAGTTTCCATTTTCGGTGCTGTCACACAGTCCTGGGGAATCAACAGCTTCAGGATGACTTGCAGACTCATTTGCAACTGCATCAAAACCCTCCCTGTTTTTCTCGGACAGTAAATTTGTAGAATAAATTACTTCTCCATGCATGGCCTTCCTATGAAGGATAGGATTAGGACTTGATGTTGGAGACACTTTGCGTTGGAAAACCGATTTTCGAGCTGTCTTCTTGCGACGTGAAACTGAAAGAATGCTTGAGCGAGAGGGGAAATAGGTACCATCTCTTCTTGCCAAAAGCAAAGAGCTTCTATTGTTTTCTCTGTGATTTGCAGAATTTCTAGTGTCAGATTCAGGTGAGATTGCAAGAGTTAAAGGTGTTACAAGGCTAGCAGGTTGCCCAGGCTGTGTTATGACTGATGATGTTCCTTGAGGGGGATTGAATGGCAGATTTAACGAGTGTGGTAACCTTGCCATAGTGGAACTGTTCCCCTCAGAAAACTGTCTAGTATTTGCATCTTCCTTGGAAACTGGTTGCACAGGATTTCCTGGTTCTGGATAAAAAACATGAACAATTTCTTTTTAAAACAAAGCTGTTGAATCCAAATTAAATCTTGGCCATAGAAAGTTGAGTTTGAATCCCCTCAACAGAAACTTAATGTATCACAGGTCTCCAGTACTGCATGTTTTGGACAACTGTGTTATGATAAGAAGCTTAACTTTTTGGTCTGTTACAGAGTCAAACACACAATCTACTAGCCATGATCCAATTGTTAATTCCCCCCTCTTGACGCTACACATTTCCTGGTAAATATGTAACGAGGATAAGAGTTAGATCAAGATAACAACTTCTACAAGATAAGTTTCAGTATTCTCAGCATCTGTTTGCTGGATAATGACTAGATACTCTAGGGAGAAGTTACACGTTGTACACCTCAGTGAGTTAACCCTTTCCACCCTAACATCAGTATGCATATTCTCCATACTGTTTTCTATACATTTCCTGAGGTGCTGACAAGGAGAATTTCAAGTGGATATTTAGTTGGTGATCATTTCCTTTATTCTCATGACCTTACTGTGTGATGCAGGGGTGATATTGTAAGGAGAAATTAGATGTTAGTCACTCTCAGCGGTTAAAGGGTTGAATGGTCCAAACAGATTTTACTGTAATTTTGCTTTTGAGAAGGAAAATTACTTGGAATTTGTATTTTTTTGCAAAAATATTTGTTATCATTTCTGTTCAATCAAGCACATTTAACCTTGCTTCAACATTCTATTCACCCACAAGCCTGCCAAAATATTTAATTTTGGCACAGTAATTAAGTTGAGATGATAGACAATGGAGAAGTCTATAATGACCATGCAGAACGCAAAAAGAATATAGAATATAATCATCTACACAGTAAGGGGTCATTTTCTCTCAAGAATTAAATATTGCATGCTCTCCTGCAAATGGAATCTAAACAAAGATGTTCAATTTCAGCATGATTGACATTTTGTAGTTATCAAATGTTTTTCTCGATGTTTTCAAATGCATACACAATTACATAAGTGTATTCATGCAGATGTCCACGATAATATTTAATTTTGCACAGTAATTGTGCTGAGGAGATAGGAAGGTGTTCGATTTTAACAAGAATGACACTATGTGGTTACTAAGTATTTTGGCATTTTCAAATGCAAACGCAATAACCAAATTCAAAATTTCCTGAAGAAAAATTTGTCAAGACTTTTTTGCATTTAGTCACCACCTAATTTAAATGTTGTAATTGTACACGCATTTGAAAACACCCAAATTTTTTACATGTAATCACCACAAAGTGCCAATAATGTTTAAATCAAATACATTCCTTCAAGTGCTTTTTGTTGAAAAGCATAAGTTTAATACAAAATATAATTGTTGAGAGCAAAATTGATGATCTTGTGCTGTATTATTGTTAACATTCAATTTTCGTCAAACTTGTGTGTACTGCTCTTAATGTTGCTCTTTTTCAATTCCAATTTGTGTCACTCAAATTTGTCTTATCTTCGTCCACAACCAGCTTAAATGATCTAACTAGAAAAACTAAACTAAAACTAAATGTTTGAGTACATTTACCATGAGTGATTATTTCATATTTTGCTTCTTCCAGAGGAGATTGATCTAATGTTAACACACAGGGCAGTGGATCATTTGTATCAGGCTTCAGTGCAATCACTGTTCCTTTATTGCTGGGATCTGCTTGGTAAAGCAGTTTAATGACACTCAAGGTTGTTCCACGTTCAACTCTAAGGATTGGTTGGCCATTCTTGAAAAGTAAAACCTACAAGCAAAAGAAATGTTGTTTCAAATAAGTACAAGTTGTGCTTTGTAAAGATCTTAAATTGTTACTCACAATAATTCTATCATCTTGATGTCATTTTACCAAATCTGGTTGAAAAAAAACACAAAGTATTGGATTGTAATTCAAAACAGTGTCCCAGGTAAGTGGTTTACAACAGAGAACACACAGACAGAGAAACAGGGATTACAGTAAGTTTTAAAGTACACAGTAAAAACTATTAAGTAGGCAGAAGCTCTATCTTTAGTCTTGTGTTATTAGTTTCAAAGAAAAAAGGCAGTAATTTTGCTGGATTTTGTTGAAACTCTTTATGATGGTAGAAACCACTGGAATGAAAGGGAAAATGATTTAAAACATAGTGCTTTCAATAAAATGGGTAGTTCAGAATAGCAGGTGGATACTTTAAAGGCCTAGAAAGCCCTTGTTCTTAAAGAGATGCAGGCTTCTTTAGAAAATTCCCTGAAAATCTTGACTCTTGTAGTTGCATTTTCCAGCATTTTGAGGTCTATTCTGATTGACGTTCCTTTGTTGTTCCACAAAGTCAACTAATTTGAAGAGAATTGTGTGAAAGTTAGGAGTACAATTACATTTGTGTTAGGGCTTCAAGCAGTTGGTCAATATGGCACAAACACATAGATCCACCCACTCCTTGCCCTCTATTTAAAATTCTAAAAACTAGTTCTCAGTATGCCGATAAGATTTTAACTGGTGAAATGTTGGCAATTCACTGATTTTCACTCTGGATTACATCACTCGCATGTACCGCAATTGAACAGATTGAGGCGTAGGTTGCATGAAATATGAGTGCAAGTTCTGCTCACTGAATATATTTTGCACCACAATGTGCAAAATATTTTCTTAGTCAAACCATCATAAACAGTAATTTCATATTTCACATCAACATTTTTTTGGCAGAAAAATAGGACAAAATGGTGCATACCACTAGTCAAAACAAAATCCCACAGTTTGCAGACAATTGTGCTTCAACGCATGCAATTCAAATTTGGTAAACATCATTTTCCATTGGGAATACTAACTAAAAAAAAAAAAGGTGAACTACATTGTATATTTCATCATAATCACCAAAATTAACTTCATCATCAAAGTAAGCATGTCTAATCTATTCTATTGTGACAGGTAATTATCCCTCTACTTTTGCGAAAAAGAGCTTAGATCCACCCTAGATAAGAAATAAGCTACGAATGTCTTTGATTTTTGAAACAGCCCAAAAAAACAACATAATGATGTAATGACTAAAGTATAATATATCAGAACAACCTTCTGTACATCATTTGATGTTGAATTCAACAATTAACAACACTTTAGAGGGCACACCTGTAAATTTTTCCAATAGAAACCCTGACAATACGTATAAATTCAATCAATACAAAAGTTCCAGAAATGAAAAATCAACGGCGGTTCAGAGTACACGTTTTAGCTCACAGGGTGAGACTGTATTTTAACCCAACCTAAATCACAATACCTGTGAAAAATATAGACTTATCATGAAAACTTAAATACGATTCAGTATTTTTAACACCAGTGACGTAGGATACGTTCATCAAAGCTCTCAGTATATATAAGAACTACATATTACGTTTACGAACAACATGTACATGCCCAAAACCTCATTGTCATACCATTAGTATGTTCATTGGTTCCCATTTATCAAAAAATCACTTGAGCAAAAATGGAAATAGGAATCAAGTAAGGTTCCATTTTCTTTGAACATTTCCCTTTCGTATTCTATACTTAAAACTCCTTTTTCGAAATGTTTGAGTAAAGTGAATATCTATAAATGAAACATCACCACACCACGCGCTCAAAACTGCAAAATTCTAGAGTAAATGATCTTCAGCAAATTTTCAAAACTCTAGTAAATTACAATAACATTCGATCATCAAACGAAAAAAAAATTCCCTTCATCTTAAGCAATTTCGTCTACAAAAAACAAGCCCCTACTTCCGAGAAAGAATTCAATAAAAAATGCGAACACGTTAAAATCGTTGACAATTGATTCACACATTCTTGTCAGTGAATGAAAACGTGACTCCTGTCACAACTCGAAAACTTAAATTCCATTTCCTTTCAATCAAAATCTCTTATCGTTGGTAAAGTCGTTTCTCTCTTTCTTCTTGTAACAAAATGGAAAAAAGTTTGTATTATTTACCTCATTTTGCCGGACTTGAATACGTGATAACTCGGACGCCATATTAGAATAAAAACTGAACAAAACATTTCCCAGAGATCTTTATTTTCTCGGTCTTCATGAATGACGTGACAAAATTTTTTCTCGGTGGAGGAGAGGTGAGCAACACGCATCGGCCTAAAAATGTCACGTAACTGTCCAAAGTACAATTTTTTTTCTATACTATAAGATTTTCTTAATATTTCGATAGTTTGGAAGTGATTATTTTATGTAATGCGGGTGCTTTAGGGTGAAATAAAAGGTAACCAGACTTATTTTCCCTAGGCCACCCCAGTCAGTACAAGAAGACGAGCTTCACCGGCGCTAATTATCAAAACCGAATTTTCGAGCACGCCGGAAAAACCATGTCGTTCTTTACCGAAGCAGAACACAAGTTTTTACCTATCCTTGAGGATATCAGAATTGAAACGAAATCATTCTTAGATGCAGCAAATGAAGTAGTTCCCTTTTTCGGTAAGTACCTTTCATTCTAAGATAAAATTCGCTATAGACATATTCGAATGTACAGCTCATGCAATGAAAATTTACATCATGTTTAGACTACCGCGTAATTACCAATGCTTACGTGTCAAATCATGTGCCATGATTTCACTTTGATTTCAAGAACTGATTTATTCGAGAGTTCATCTGTGTAAAATCATTAAGGTCAGTTTGGCGCGTTCGTCATTTCGAAATTTAATTTAGTATTTTTGTGGGATCTAAAAAACAACTCTGACCTGCTGTTTAGAGCGCTGGCAGACGCTTCTGCTGTGAAACTTCAGCTTATTTTTCTCACAGCTATTTTAAATTCTTAAATTATTCATGTATGATCTTGATGAATAACACTACAGACCAATTTCAAAAACGCTGGAAAGGAAATAAAACGATATTGAATCGTGAAAATTTATGTTGATTTGAAAACAATGGCCAAATGCATTTTTGAATTAAGCCGTTAGACTGACACTTGCAATAATTACTAATCAGTTATCAGCCGCAAATTCGCGATTTCAGCGTCGGCTAAGTATTGATATGCTCAGAGAAATATTAGTCACTGTCAGAATAGAGAAAGATTGGAAGCAATCAGGGGAAACTATTGAGGGCTAAGGAAAATTTTAATGTGCCACATTGCACAGCTCTATTGCAGTGCACAAAAATGTTAGGTTTTTCTTTTGAATTGTCTGCCACAAGTTTTACAACAGCAGTTTATATGGGTGCACTATTTGGATGATATGAAACTAGATAATTACTGGAGATAGGAATGTGAATTTGCTAGTCTGCAAAGGAGTATTGTGTGGCATCTTGTCTTGGCAATAATGCAGTTTAGCAAAATCGTGCAATCCATATGTCATCAATTGCAATATGGAAGTGAACATGATCTACAAATGAACAGCATGTAATGAGTTTGGCTACAGAAAGTGATATTTAGGCACTTCTAGGATAGCTAGTCCTATGATATTTTAGGGTGGTTAACAATTTGATGATCGGAATGTGATTTATCAGTTTGCAAAAGAGGTGTGGTTGACTGTCTCAGCATGTGAACAATGCATTTTTCTGTGTCTTGCATTTTAATTGCACAATCCACTTCATCATATCAATCACATTAAGGACGCCCCCATGATCTTCAAGGGAGAGGTTTGGAAAGGGAAAGTGGGATGGAAGTGATTTTATATGCAAGTAGTGAGATGTTTTAAGGAAGAAACATTGAAGGTAAAAAAATAGATGACCAGACTTGGAAACTTGGAAAATTCTGTGGTTGGGTTATTATATTTCTGGCAAATATGAATTTTTGTATGACTAACTTTCTAATTATGCATTTCGAAATGATATTATTGCTTTCAAAATTCCATCATTTATGGCAGAATTTTTCATCCACACAGGAAAGTTGGGTGCTAATTGAGTGATCCTATAAGAATGGATATTAATTGATTTAGCCAAAAGTAGTGCTAGTTGTTGCAGAACAAGGATGCGTGCTGCAGTATTGAGTGTGATTCTCACGGTTGTGGGCATTTTTGATTGTTGTTCATTTGACAAGCTAGTGAGGTAGTACAGTCAAAACTTTAATTATCAGGACCTTGATTTTCCGGATTTTATGATTATCTGAACTTTTTGCTTATTCGGACTTGCTTCTATGGTCATTTATATTGATATTTTTTATTATCTAGACTCTTGATTATCCAGTCTTTTAAGCCCAGTCCCCACGAGTTCGGATAATCAAGGTTTGACTGTATTGAGCACGTGACTGTGCTGCTAGTCCTGTGAAGTGTTGTAGTAATACCTTAATTTTCAGGACCTTGATTATCTGGATTTTACAATTGTCTGAATTTTTCTGTTATTGGACTAGCTTCTCTGGTCATTTGGATTCATATGGACTCTTGATTATCCTGCCTATTAAATACAGTCCCCATGAGTTTGGATAATCAAGGTTTGACTGTACAAAGCACGTGACTGTCAAATTTTGGTCATATGACCTTTTGACTCAAACAATAAATAATACCATGATGTTGTAACACAATCTCAATAGCAGATGGCAATTCAACACGGAAAAATGAATTTCTTTCCGGAAGTGTGCTAGCTTTTTGTTCAAAAGAGGAGTTTTTCAAGCTTGTTGTCTATACAACTGTCATTAATAAGTCTCATATGAACATGTATGTAAATCTGTGCCTATTTTTGTTATATTATTTGAATCTGTTGTCTCTTAGCAATCGCATGATTGCACCAAAACTAATACCTTCCTGACTGTCAAGTTTGATGCTCAAGGCATCGCGAAGTGACGACATTCATTTAACATAACCTATCAATTAGTTTTGGTGAGCCAGTCAATGAAAAAATATCGCATCCATGATTTCCAAACTAAACTTAAAAAAAAAAAAAGACTAAATTTAGTCAGAAAATGTTTGAAAAAGCTTATCTGCCTTTTTTCCAGGATACACTGATATCTAATCCTTATAATGCCACTTTAAAGGAAATCCTATAACTTCCTGAGTTATCCACCCTTTTCTAAAATAGTTCTTACTTAAGCTTTTTATATCCAGGGTTATAATATTACAGTGTATCGTTACCTGTACATTGTACAGGTATCCTGCCTCTAAGGTGTATGTGTAATGCTTCAAAAACATGCGGAAAACCAAAAGGTTATGTAAATATGCCCCACATGCCTTGATACAGTCCTATCAGATATTCTTTGATGTTTTATCCCAGGATACATTTAACTCTTGATGCTGTAGGTAACAGCTCTAGGAAAATGGTTCAAAAGGTAGAAACACTACTTGCCACATATATTGTAAATATTCAGTAGAAACACTCATCCATTATGCTATTTAATGACTCTTAGACTTTGAATGAAAAAAAAGGACTTTCCTGTGAGAAAAAGAAACAAACAGGTGTTAAAAAAAACATACCACATGTTCTTTTTTTGAAGTAAATGTTTAAGAGAGGCATTGAGAAACTTATCTAAGTGAGATACTAGATGTTATTATTACTGAAAGTTTGGAGGTGTTTCTTGTTCCCCTTAAAATGTGAATTTTTTTTGCCCAAGAGGCCTGGATTTCTTTGCTGTATTTCTTCTCTATATAGAGATCAAAAGCATTTTTCTGAATGTATAGGAAAGGCTTTGAAGAAATGAGCAAGTACCTTGTCTCTGGCTTTAGTAGGACTTGAGTCATATCTCTGAATCCTTTCACTCTTTTATGAGTGGTCAGGAAGTTTTTCCTCCTTACAATATCGAGACATTAGCAAGCAGATAGATGATAAACATAAGGGAAAATGGTAATGAGAGGATCTGAGATTTTGGGAGTGAATACATTAACAAATGTTCTCCATGAGGGATGGATACTCTTGCTGAAAATGTTTCCTTCATTGGATAAATTTTAATTGGGGTTATGTGACATAATAGTCAACTAACCACAGTCATCTTTGAAGCAAGGGAAATGGCAGGTGTATGAGCAGTTTTCTCCTTATCAGGTGGTAACCAGTGAAATTTACTACCTGAAATACCTCCTCTCAATGCCTAAAATCACTTGTAATTCTCAGAAATTCAACTGGTTAAAAGGATTGCTCCACTGATTTGAAATTTTATTTGACTTGTTGAGCTTAAATTAAGGAGAAAAGTGTATATGAAAAATAAAAACAACTGTTTTCTTTTTAGATGTGTTAGGACCAACAGCATTTGCTCCAGTCAAATCAGACATCAATGGTAACATAAAAGTAAGGCCTTTTCAAAGTTATGCTTTTTGTTATCTTGTGATGTTTTTATCTTATGATAGAGTATAACCTCTACTGAAACAGTAAGTCAGACTATAGACTCTATACTGTCCACTTGAGCATTCTAATCACTTGTTATTTTTTCTTCAAATGATTAACATTTCCTAGATTAGGAACCATGAAGTGTAGTTTTTTAAGATAAGTTTCTTTTTAAAATTTATTTTGATACTTTATAGCAGCGTAGCTGAGTCTCTCTGGCTTTCAAAAGCTGTGAAAAAACCTCCTTTGTATTGATCCACTGGGTGTTTTTTTGGCAGAAAACAGGAAGTTTGTTTTTGGAGCAGTTTGGCTTGTACCCCCCAGAGTTTATTCTCATTTCCATAGCAATGACCCCTCAAACCCCAAGAGTGACCAGCATCTATTTCTCCTTACAGTAACACTGCTGAATTATTGATTTAGATCATGAGAATAAAGGAAATGATCACCAACAGAAGAAGCATTGATCATTAAACAAATTCTCCTTGTCATTACTGAATGAAATGTATGAATAAGAGTAGAGAGAATATAGATAGTGTTGTCAGGGTCCAAAGGGTTAAATGATTAGGGTTGTGGCTACTCTCCCTGAATGTGGGATCTTAGTCCATCACAGGGTACCTCCCAGTATTTGATTGAGTCTCCCTGATAGCTCACTGGAGCTGATTTATACTCTTGGATAGGGAGAGAGACACTGTGAGGGTAAGATGTCTTGATAAGAACACAACAGGATTAACAGGGCATTGCTTGACTTTGGACTTCATAATTCAGAGTCCACCAAGTCCAACTTTTGTTAGCAGAGAAGTTTCAGACTGGAAGTGTAAAAGCTTATCTTAAATTTCTTTAAATTTCAAACCAGTGGATGCATTTCACCTTAATTTGAATTTCAAGCCTTGTTTTTCAGGTATTTTTTTTAAAAATAGAAAGTACTAATTTATCCCTCATTACGTTTCCTTCCAGAAACTAAGAGAAAAGTTCACCAAAGACCCAGAAAAGTTTAAAACTTTACAAGACATTGTAGAAAATGAAATAGCAGAAAATGCTACCAAAGCGAAGAACTCAGCTACAGATGCTTTGTTATGGTTGAAAAGGTTTGTCTTGTTGAAAGGTTTTCAATTTCAAAACTATCTGTGCAACACATCAGGGAGATATGAAGTATCTTATTATTGTAAGTTCAGTGTTTTTGTGTGCTAACTCATTCTCAATCGTTTCTAAGTATTGAGAAAGAAGTCTGGAAATTCTGGGAAGAAGCCTGAAGATTTTCCTAGCAACATAAATTTCCTGATGGCTGGGTGAAACACTCTAAAGGGAACTGAATCTCACTTTGATTGCACTGTTTAAAATGTTTTATGGAGACAGAGAATTTTCATCTTCAAGGCAAGCCCTTTGACAACTTCTCTTTTGCTGAGGCCATTTGGAAAATGAAAATAATGATTTCCAAAAAGTATACATGCTAACTCTTTTCCTTTCAGCATGACTGTTATAACTGCAGATGAAAAACTTACAATTTGTACCATGCCATGGTTGCCTATCAGTTTCTCATATGTAACAAAGAAGTGTCTGCTTCTGCAGCCTTGACGAACAGATTTTCTTCAGATACGCGATGTGAAATAGGCTTAAACTGGGCTTAGAAAAGAAAAGTCACCATGAAGTTGCACACTTTCATAGATTTATCTTCTTAAGCTATTTTTACTATTTTGTAGTCATTATTCATAGTTATGCAAGATACATGTGCTTGTCAGCATAGAAAGTTAATAACATTATTGTGAATGATGCCATTTCATCGCGAAATTCTGAACATTGTGGTAGTTACTTCTCCTTAATATGTTTTTCTACAGGGCTCTCCGATTTATCATAGTCTTTCTGAGAGAGGTTCTGACTGGTGAGGAAGATCTTGTGAAATCCGCCAAAAAGGCATATGAGAATTCTCTGAAAAGATTTCATGGGTGGATGGTTCAGGGAGTTTTCTCAGTAAGTTACATTGGCAAAAACATGATTTTTTGACATTATGGCCATACAGAAGGTCACCTTTTTTTAGATACCTAAAAATAGTTTCAATGGCAGCTTCCTCCACAAATAAGGCAGAAATGTTGCATGCTAAAACAAGCTTTCAAATTATGTAATACAGTTTACTATGGATGCCACAGTATTTGAAAGAGATTAGATTTCCACATGTTGTTTAAGGTTTGGAATCAGGATTTTGTGATTGGGCTTTACGTCTTACCTTGGAGATGATGTTGAGGATACGTGTTAATATTTTGTTTTAGCAGTGTCTCTTAATCTTGAGGTGCTAGGTTCAAGACCTTCATCTTTCATCCTGCCTCAACGTTATCCATCACTGCTCTTGAACATGTTTATCCACGTGTAGATCCCTGATTCCTCACAACTTCCCAAATTGAACACCAACAAGCTCATAGAAAGTTGTGAAGATCCTCAGTTGTGAAGTATTCACTTGAAAACATCATTTTACTCCTTGTATGGGACAACAACAACAAGAAGAAAGCTTCAAGCACAAACAGTGTTGATGTTAAGCTGTAGGCACTCCCATTGAAGATCTTTCTAGAGCTATCCTAGACTACCCCTGTGAGTTTGATTGGGACTTGTAAACCAGAATTTGTAGCCTAGCTTGGTGGCTTTTCACTCCCCAACCTCATGGCATTGCTCTAAGCACTGATCACCACTTTTCTGAGTGTACACAACAAAGGCCTTTCTCTCTGTAAATTTACATTTTCCCTTGAAGAAATGTTTGTGGTTAGACACTGTGCATTCCAAATTGATGACGTAGGGCCATGGAGCTCAGGAGATCTTCTCTGATTGGTTAGAACTGTGTGGAAATGATCAAAACATGTTGTAACTAATAGGATGCAGTAAACGGCCCATTCTCTGAACAGCTACGTTAGGGGTGTGAAATTTCACAGGTCAAACCTCAGACAGCACCCTAGTTGGGTAGGGATTGAACAGGAAGAGATTGACGTCAACTCAGTAAGCTCACTGTGTCACACTAATGTGGCTCCAAGCTTGAAATTTATGCAGATTCTCATCCAAAATGACTCAAATCTCTGTTTAGTCCAAATCTTTAACACTGCAACTGGGAAGAATTGGAAATAGTTACAGTATATTTTTCTTGGAATAATTAAGTACAGTCTTTGAAGTGATAAGTGTGCTGGATCCATGTCTCGTATCACTAAGCCTTGTGTGTTTGCACTTAAGAGAGATGTCACTTGGTTTGTAATCTGTATCATAAAGTGCTTGTTTATCTCACATTCTTGACTTTTTGTTCTTGGTTGATGTGCGTTGTGCAGTGCCTGTCTGTCCAAGCAATAATTGGAGTATCCTCAATTTAGCTCACAAAGAGGAGTGATAAAAAATTGAAAATACTGTGAAGGGATAATGATATGCAGGTGTATGATGCTTTGTGATGTCCCTGATACTGTTCACCTGTTGATAAAGTTTTAAAAATTTAATCGTTTATTTCACTAACATTTATTTAACTGAAAGAAAAAAAGGAATGAAAGTCTGTTTTGTCACTGTTTTGAAGTCCAAGTCATGTTTTCATGAGATCTTGATACAGTGTAGCATTTGACTGTTAGAATGACTGTCTAATTTTAGATGGTAGTAAATCTGACACTTTAAAAGATCAGACGTTTTCCTGCTTAGTTGAGCAACTTCCTATCCTATTTCCTATTTATATATTAAATTATAAGAGGACAATGTATCTTTTTTTTCTTTTCTACCTGTAGCTTGCCATGAAGGCTGTGCCTTACCGTAAGGACTTCATTGACAAACTTGGTCGTAATAAAGTCGACGAAGAAACTGTGTTGAGGGAAATGAAAGAGTTTGTTGATCTCTTGGAGGCAAATTTAGAAGTTGTGGAAGAATTTTATCAAAAAAATAATTTGGAAACCTCTCAGGTGCAATAATAAGTGCAGAATGTAAGGTAAATATAGACTGGTTAATTTGAATTTGAACTACTCAGGGATTTTGGAACATGGCTGTGGGATAGGAGGTATGAACCAGTCGTTCAAAGGAGGTCTAAAGGCTTCAATTTAAGATAATCAATAGACATCCAGTTTTCTTCATAAGAATGAATGAGTTGTCATGACGTAATTAAATTTTTTCTAGTTCTTTTCACCGCAAGCTTTCCTGACACTGATGATAAATATCGATGTTTAAATAAAACATTTGGCTTTGTTGGAGATCGAAGGCAGTTGTATTGCTAAAAACAAACTGAACTTTGTGTGAATAGGTGTCCCTATTATGTTAGAATAGAACTTTTGAGATTTCTGTTAGCCAACTGTTTAGTGCAATGACTGTATTTTTGTATTTAATTCATATTTCAACTTCTCTTTCTTTTTTAAAACTAGCCAGTGATTATCTATTTTGGTGAAGGGGGACATTCAGTTGGGACTTGGATGTTAATAAGGCAGTATTTGATAAGGATGGTGTTGGGGCAATGTTATTTTTCAAATAATGAAAATTATTGTAAGAGCACTTAAAATGTGCTCTTTGAATTAAGATAAACAAAAGAGTATTTATGTCTGAATTGGTCAAAATAAACAATGTTAATGGGACAGTTTTAAGCTTGAATTGAAGTACAAGTCTTTGTTAACGAACCTTTGTAGCAAAACTGTGATGTGTATGTAAGGTTTAAAGTGTAATCTTTGATGTGATGGATCCTTTTCTTCAGTTTAGAAGAAGAAACAAATTAATCTTGACTAAAACGTTATTCAAAAGTTGCACTATACTGGTACTTCATTTAACGAGGTACGAGTGATGTGAAACAGGAGTTGTGAGCAAGGAATCAGACACATGTAAGAGAGAGAGAATGTACTCTCTTCTCTGTATTTTAGCTCTCTCTCATTCACTTTGATTGTCTTATATCAGAGTTGCTACACGCAAAGCTGAATCATGATATTCAGCCAAGGAAGAGTATAAATTGCATATAGAGATATTTATGTTTTTCATATACCAGTGAAGGCAATATTTAATGTATTGACTCACTGTTCTGACGCCAATATCGCCATGTATTAACATTTACAATGTGTGACACATTTTCAATAATGGGAAAAGCCATGCAAAAACTGATTCAATTGACAACATATTTTAAATAGTGATGATTGAACTAAAGAGATTGCAGTTCATAAGAATGAAATAGCAGGTCATGGGTGCTGGAAGCATAAAGGGTGGTTGGGGTTCTTGTTCCTTCCCTGAAAAGATTTTGTTATTGAGGTCTCTACAAGATTCCATTTCCAGCAGTTGAGATTATGAACAAATGCAAGCAATGCATGAACTGAATGCAGTCCATAACATCACTTTACCCTCAAAATTGTGGACTTGTGATAGGAGTGTGCCCTGAAGGTAAAGGTGAAACACTAATGTTGAAAATTCTCTTATACCATCAGGAGAACAATAAAGGGTCATACTAAAAAAAGACCAGTAAAGCAGGGACAATGTTTCTTTCATTTGTAAGAGGAAAATTATGAAAAATGAGAGAGAAGGGAGGAAAATTTGGAGGCTGTAAATAATCACCAAAAGAAGAATGTTTTGGCGAAAATAATAGGGTCAGAATTAATGAATTATAAACTAAAGAAGCTGTCTTTTGTCCTTGAAAAGAAAAAAAATTGTATAAGCTCACATGCAGCCTTCACCTTAATCCTTTTGCATTACTACAAGAAGATGGAAGTCCAATATGGACACTGAAATTCCCCTGAAGCATCTAAAATATGCTGCTAGGAACTTATCCATCAATCCATTTATACTTCTGCATGGAGAGAGAGACTGAAAATAAAGAACTGTTATGTGTTTTGCCCCACTACTGGCCTACTGGTTAGCACACTGGACTTTTGGTCAAACTAATGACACTGTCCTGCACCATGATATCCAGAACCCAGTGTTCTAATCATGAGGCCACTATGACTCAAGTGTTGTTTATCTATGTTATAGCTATGAACTTTGGTGTGCAGGATGTCCTAGGCCTGGAAGAAATTTCTTGAAGCAACCTGAGAAAAAAAGGAGTTTTAAACTATCCCTTAGGCATTTGATCCCCTTAGCATCTTGATCTCTGTAGCTCAAAGGAGAGAATGTAAATTTCTTGCCAAGCTACAAACATTTTCCATTTCCCATGTGTTGCCTTCAGGTGTGTTCTCCCAAAAGTGTATAGCTTCTTCATTTTGTCTACCCTCTTCTTTTCCTTAGGTCTTGAAATCTTCAGCCCTTGGAATAGACCATTTTTGAAGGAGCACCCCTGTATGACCCACTTTTGGAACCATCCACCCCTTCTGGTCATTTCAGCTTAATTTTTATTAAAACAAAACACATTTCCAAAATTATTACATTTTTAAGAATAAAAGGGATAGACCTCTTTAAAAAGAACAACTCAGATTTTATGAGGAAATTATACTAATGACTTTCACGGAAGTCTTTATCTTTAGTCTCCTCGTCAGTACCACTTTCTGAAGGATTAGTTCCATTATCACTAATTCATTATGTATGACATTGTTAAGATTTAACAGAGATCACCTCTTCAAAAGAGCAAGTTAGATTTTGGAAGGGTTGTACAGACTCACTCAATTATCCTATTTCATTTTTACCTTTTATCTTTCCTTTTTTTTCTTTCGAATAGCATGTTTAATTTTAATCACTAGCCATGTGCAAAGGTTGAGCCCTAAAGGCTTGAAGGTCAGTTTTAAATGTCATCTGGTCCTTAAACACAGGTCATTTTATCAAATCCAGTCAAGGGCCTTGTTGAAACTCTACCTCCCGTGGACCAAAAAAATTTCAGAACTTTCCTTAGTTATTACTTCTTATCAGTACATGGCTTTGCTGGCACTTTATAGCAAAAAAGCAAGAAAAAATATCATCTAATCATTCCTTTCAACAAGAAAGAATAGTTAAGTTCTTCAAGTTTCCCAACGTATTTCTTCTAGTTTTCATGCAACCCGTTTCACGGGTCATAAATGCTCTCCTTAGGTTAAGCGTTAATTAGCTCAAATTTCCCCTTTAAAGTGAGGTGTTTGTATACCAATGACGCAATTCCTTTGTTTTTAATCTGTCCGATTTGTAAACATTTTAGGAAGTAAGTTTTCTGAAGCTGAAAACTTTTGCCTCTCCTATTGTCTTTGACGTAAATCAAATGCAACGGCTCATCGCCTGTCTATTTGATGCAACTAATTAGCGACAAATTTGTGCTATGTTTATGTGAGCTAAAATCGCATTACTAGAACCCTTGTATTATATGGACGAATAAAAATTAGCCAATTAAAAATTAATCTTCTTACGTGTGTGCATGATCCTTACGTCAGAAGCCGCTATGTGCTTTAATCCACCCAACTTCCGTTTTCTTCCAAATATGTCAATGGAATGTAGAAGAGGTATGCCAACTATTCACGAAGGTTTCGGTATGATCGACACAAATAGACAGCCGACTCATTCCGAAGCATTCCGATACGTTACGATTACTACAGACATCGAACGAAAGGGCTGAACTGACTGTGAAGTCTAGGAGAGCGTTGAAGCATTGTGACTCTTAAATTTTGTTGGATTGATCGTTTGACAGGTGCAGTGATTTGCTGCTAAGTGGATATACGAAGTTCACTCGACTAAGTTGCTATGGAAGACTTGGGTATGTGTGATTTTCTGTAAATAGTAGCACTTTGGTTAATTGATCGTCTTTCTTAATCTGTTGTTGTTCTTGCGAAAGCTGTAGCGTCTTGTGATAAATTGAATCCTGTTTTTCTTTGCTATTTTGATCTTGAAAACCCTGCGAAGGAATCGTGCTCGTTAACTTGTTTGTGATACTTTGTAAACAGCACAGGAATTTTTATTTCAAGGGTAGCTTATATTGGAATGCAATGAAAGTCATTCATCAAAATGCTGTGAAATTTGGTGGCCAAATCTGACTTAAGATTTGAATTTTTGCATCTATGTAAATCAATGACTTTGATTATGTTAATTTTGCAATAGGAAGTTCTGGTAATGCTTTGATTGTTTTGGTGCAATTTCAGCTGTTCTCAAGTCACATTCAAAGTTCACGTCTCACGTACTTTCAATTTTGTTCCGACGCAGGAGAACTTTCGTATCTACATTCCGATCTCATCCGATTCCTCTGTGAAAATAAACTTTGAGATTCCCTATTCCATACGACGAGGGATTATAATACTATCCAAACTTTTTTGAATAGATCTCACTTGGACGTCCTCTTTTCATTGGTGATTCAGCATATTTAATAGTTTCGATTGTGAGGTGCCCGCTTGAGTTGGTATTTGTTTCAACTAACGGGTTTGGCGAGCGGGAGTCTCCCGGGGCTGCATCTACTGCGTAACGATGCGGGGATTGTCGTGTCTTTAAAACACTTGTCAATATTGCTTTTGAATAATTTATATCGCTTTGTGTAATTTTATTGTGCTTTGGTGAGGTAAATTATGGCATCTACATCCGACAGCATGGCACACATGTCATTCTGCGACACGCGGTATTGTGAATGAATGTTTAAAACCCGATAAAAACTTTGAACCCGATAGCTGGATCTGACGCCGAGAATTGCGAATTAAAATTGATATGCCGGGAAAAACGAGGAAACCCTCTATCGAAGAAAAGCTGAAACAGAATATTGAATTTTTAGATGCACTACTGGCGGATCTCCAAGCTACAAGTCCCACAGTTTCCGCATCGCCGACGGAATCCAGAGGCAGACAAGCATCGAATGGACGAGAATCGCCCGACAACCCGCCACCTTTGCCTCCTCCTCCCTCGTTCGAAGCTCTCGATCCTCATGGATCGAATCCCAAGGACGATATACTGTTCCCTCCACCTGTTCCTTCATCGAGTTTGGGTCAAAATCTTTCCGAGTTGGACAGTTTATTGGAAAATTTGAGCAACCCAATACATTATCCTTCTGATCCTACAGGTAAGTCCAAACGAAGTTTGAAATTTACTAAATTTACAGAGCCCCAAGTTTGAAATTAAATAATTTTTCATTTTATCCTTTTTTGATTATTATTAGTAAGATATTTCAAGGTCAAATAATCCCCTCTTGGTCGTGTGATTGCCTTGCCTTTGATTTAAAATGTACGTTACTTGTGGTTGATTTCTGGTCAGTTTTGAGTAATCGAAAAAGCCCTTTCGTTTATTTTTCCATTCTCAAAACAATACAGAGCTAAATAGAAGAGCGAGATCACAGTGTGTTCACAAAACCAGTAAATTTTGCATTTGAAATTTATAAGAGCAAAAGCAATGAATGAATGTTTGCTCAGTTTATCCAAGTGTAAATATTTTCCATGGTCTTGATCATTGTAGCACGACCTAGGGTAAAGGACTTTGCAATTTTTCGACAAACTACATGTAAATAATGGTAATTGAAAGAAAGGACATTGGCAGCTGTTGTCCTGTGTCAGTAGGCTCTCTTTCTTACTTTCTTTTTCTTTCTCCCTTTGCACCTTGCAGCTGGCCTATGTTAATTCAATAATCACCATTATTATTATTATAATATTTAATTGAAGATATTTCTAACCATTGGATGTAAAATTACAATCTGGCCTGTCATATCTTGAAGTAAATAAGGAACAGAAAATATATTTGCAATTTTCTTGTGTAGAAACTTGGTTCTAAGGAAGAATTATTAACATGGTTTTAATTATCATCAAAAGAGGCAAAATAGGGAATTAAGGTAATCTTGTAATTGTATAGTTTGCTAAAATGTTATCAAAGGTTAATAACTAGGTTTTAACCTGCTGCAGTTTATTGGGTATTTTATAAATTTACAGTTTAAAATGTAAAAATCTGCCTGATGCAAAACAAAAAGCTACCCCCTGATGGGAACATGAAATAGTAATCTCAATGTTGTGAGTTGTTCAGTGAACATTTCTTTAAGAATTCTCTTCTAGAGTCTTTAAATTTCTTCCATTTCTGGCATTGTTTAGATTCATATCAATTGGAATTGCTTAAACTAAAATAACAGAAGCACAATGTAGAATGGCTATAAATGTATGTTAATCTGTACAGAATTTGATTGTTTCAATTCTTTTGTTTGGTAGTGCTTGTGGTTTCCAAAGTCCTGTTAGATAATAAATATTTTTATTGCATGTGTTTTTAAGTGGAGTGCACGTGCCAAAAGAAAACAGATGAGATGCTTGTTTATTTACAGGAAGAAGTTTTAAGTATGAAAATAATCTCAAATTATACAATTTTGGTACATTCCATTGACTTGTCTTCTAAAATGAGAACTAAAGTCAAGTTGTTCGTATGTTTTTTTAAACTTGGTTAAAATTGAATAAATTATTTAAAACCCTCATGATTTACATCTGCATTCATGTGTATTATCTGCTGTGCAAAACCTACTTTTCATCTTGATATTGCTAAATTTGTTACCATCTTTGCAATTTAGTTTTTGTGTATTTTAGTATGACAATGAAGAAAATTGCAACAAGTTTGGTGTTGCATTTTTTAAAAATATTTTGAAACAAAACAAGAAATTTAAAACTGAAAGACACCATGTATCTCATATTTTGCTTTATGGCACAATCATCGCAATTCTTTGTCATTGCTCTTATTTGAAAAACAGAGTTAACCCTTAAGCTCAGAAGTGATTAACATGAAACCTCTCTCTATAATATTCTTACATTACCCAGCAAACAGGTTGCGAGAATACTCAAACTCATCAGGTAGAAGTTGCTATCTTGATCTAACACCAAATTCATATAACTAATTTACAAGGAAATGTGAAGCAGCTAGAGGGGAGAATTAACATCAAGATCTTGGGAGTTAAAGGGTTAAGCCTATAGAAATTAATTAAGCCTAAATTTGCAGTGAAAGTTGCCAATTTGGTGACCTGTGTTTGGTAGTGATACAGCTAGCTGTCAGGTTTTTATTATTTACTTTTCTGAGTTGAAATGAAATACACATTTGTATGCAATGTAGTTTGTGTTTAATTCTCGAGGCTGGTGTTACATTTGGGCCATTTTGGTCTGTTGTTTTGATCTCTCTTCTTTCTTTATTTACAAGGCAGACAAGGATAAGAGTTGTTTTAATTGTCATTTTCTATGATATGATATTGTAATGACTCTGAAGTGCATGCAATAATTATTTCTTTTTCATTGTCTCTTTAGCCAAGCGAATAAGTGCTGGATCACCAAGAGGAAGTCCAACGTCACCATCACCAAAGCCAGCCATTAATGGTCGACCAGCAAGCTACAAGGGTCCTATGATGTCCCCCACCCATGATAACAGGCCAGGTAGTGCAGTGTATTGTAGCTGTACATGTATTGACATTAAATTTTTGCATGTAGAAAAGAACAACTAAATTTACGTTCTTGTTGTAATGCAAAAATCTATGGAAAAACTGTGTTGAATGAAGAAATTCCTGTCAACAAATACGAGAAAAAGATCAATCATATGTCAAAGTTGGTAGAAATGATATTCATAATATTAAAAGTGCTAAAATTGTGGGTAAGACTTTGAAATATTTTCCATTGAAATGTTAATAGTGAATTTACGTTTGATGAACAGTGGATGAAGAAGACTTCTCAAGACTCAACTTTGGATTTCTTTTGATTTCTTACAAAAAACTTTTTTCCAAAATTCAAGCTGCTAAATTCAGATTGCAGCTTATTTGTGGGTTTTTACAGTAAATGGTTTCTTTTATGCTGTTTTTATATTTCACAGATACCTCATGGAATTGGTACTATGCTCAGATAACACAGTGCAAAGTTTAGAAAACTAAAAGCCAAAAGACTAGAAAATGAAACAATAGTGGAATAATAAATCCCTTATTAAATGTACATGTGTGATACGAGTGGACATTTTGCTTATTGTTTCTATTTTCCCTGCCTCTACAGGGCCCAGAAATTTACTTTGCAACTTGCAAAATATCCACGCATTTTATACATGTTAGTTAAACCACCAATTGAGGTTTACTGTTTATACTTGGTGTGTAACAAATGGACTGCAAAAGGAATTGAAGAATTTCTCCCACAGGCTGCTTTTAGGGTTTTGCACTGTTAAACAATTTTCATATTTTGATTATTCAGTTGATGGACATTACAGAGAAAGAAATGGACCTGAAAGTCCCATGGCCCAAGTTAATACATCTCATGTTTTCAACCCGGCTCCTCTGCGCAACCAAGTCCAGCAAACCAGGGACTTAGATAACAGACAGTCACGAACAGCATCAACAGCCACCAAAGAGCTGGATGACTTGATGGCATCATTGTCAGACTTTAAAGTCAATGTTAGTACAGCTCCCACTCCATCGCAGTCCAGGCTCAGTGGGGATTATGCAAAGCCAACTAAATCAAAACAGCAACTTCCTTGTATGTGGTGAATGTTTACATGTATCACTTTTCACCTATTTGTTGAGATGCTCTTGTTAATGACTGCAAAAACACGTTTATGTTTTTAAACTTTTTGATGATTGCTGAAGTGGTTTTCCTATGTCAGTAGTAAAATCCAAGACCACTGCAAGTTTTCAGAATCTCTTATAAGGGCTTTTGCTTGTAGTTGGCCAAAACTGTCTGCTAGCTTTTATATCCCATAAATTACCAGTGCAATTTTTGTTCATGGTTGTAGTCTCAAGAAACCCATCTGTGACCAAGAGTGACCAAATAGAATTTCACCTTAAAATATCAATACCATATCAAGCAGAGAAGTGACGAGAATAAAGAAATATATAATTTAGGGGATTATTAGTTGACCCAATGGCAAATTCTCCAAACAAAAATCATGAAAATTGTATTGCAGACAGCAAGGAAAATTACCTATTAGATCTTGGGAGTGAAAAGGCTAAAGAACCCATCAGTGAATCACGAGTGACAATGAAGTTTGAAGTTTCAATGAAGATTATGTTCATCACCGATCAGGGATGTCAATAATTTTGAGTCTTCTTTAGGCAACAAAGTCTAATTAGACAGGAAATATTGAAATGTCAATTTTCTAACATTTATCAAGGGTGTAAACCAGTCTTAACCCTTTGACCTTTAAGAGTGACTAGCATCTAATTTCTCCCTACAATATCACCCTTGAATCACACATTAAGGTCATGAGAATAATGGAAATGATCAACAGGTACAGGAGCTCTTGATTGTTAAGTGACAAATTCTCCCTATCAGCACCTCAGGAAATGTATAGAGAATAGTATGGAGAATATGCATACTGATGTTAGGGTGTGAATTAGCAAATAGATTCCAAGTTGCGGTACATCTGCTCAGTAATAGATCACAGATGACATCAAAATGTGGCACATGAGGCACAGCCAAGTATGTCACTGATGTTCTTACCACATTTTGACGTCCTTTGTGATCTATTTCTGAACAGACGCATGGCAACTTGGAATCTATTTGTTTTATATGATAAAGAATTAAAATATTGGGGAAAAAAGTTTTAACGATGATGTCATTTATAGGTCTGTCCTCCAATAGATCATAAGTGAGAACCAATCAGAATGCGTGCATAACTGAACTATATAAAGGTTGATATACATCTGGTCTAGTTCTGATATCAATTTTTCTTGTCATTTTCAGCTGTTGGTAAAGTCAGCCAGCTGGACTCCATGCTGGGTTCTCTTCAGTCAGATATGACCAGACAGGGTGTGAGTACAACAAAGAAAGGAATGTGTGCAGCTTGCAACAAACCAATCATAGGTCAGGTTTGCACTGCATTGGGTCGCACATGGCATCCTGAACATTTTACTTGTGTTACCTGTGAGGTGGCGTTAGGTGCTACAAATTTCTTTGAGCGAGATGGAAAGCCTTTCTGTGAGAGAGACTATCATGAGCAATTTGCACCAAAATGCGCTTACTGTAATGGACCCATTCTAGATGTAAGTTGTGACTTTGTTCTACATTTGATTTATTTATTACTGAAAGAGTTATGTTAGCACTGTTACAACCTTGACCCCCCTAGAAGTGACTACTATTGTAGTATGTAACTTTACCTTGCTGTAATTTCCAACACACATTATCCATTGAGATGGCTACGATTTAAAGGAAAAATTGATCGCGGGAGATTATATTCATATCTACACACTCATCAAACCAATCTGTATCATTTGGTGTAATGCTTAACCCTTTCAACTCTTAACCCTTTAACTCCCAAGATCTCATCAGTAATTCTCCTTACTGTCTGCCATACAGTTCTTATGATGTTAGGTTAGAGAATTTGGTATTGAATCAACTTTCAATTCCCTAACTGATATTTTTCTTTATTCTCATTACTTGGCTGCTTGATATTGTATTGATATTGTAAGGAGAAATTCTGTCTTGGTCACTTTTGGGAGTTTAAGGGTTAAGAGTAACCAACATCTAATTTCTCCTTACTGTAATTTTGCTGAATTATTCATTAAGATCATTAGAATAGAGGAAATGATTGCCCACCTAAGAAGCTTTGATTGTTAAACAAATTCTCCTTGTCAGTACCAAAGGAAATGTCTGGAGAACAGTATGGAGATTATGAGTACTGATGTCAAGGTTTTAAGGGTTTAAGTCTTAACCCTTTAATTGCCAAGATCTGATTGTTAATTCTCCTCTCTAGCTGCTACACATTTCCTTGTAAATTAGTTACGTGAATTTGGTATTAGATCAAGACAACAGCTTCTAACTGACAAGTTTGAGTATTCTCATGTCCTGTTTGCTGGATGATGTTTAGAGTTTTAGTTACGTGAATTTGGTATTAGATCAAGACAACAGCTTCTAACTGACAAGTTTGAGTAATCTCATGTCCTGTTTGCTGGATGATGTTTAGATATTACAGGGAGAAGTTACATGTCAATCACTTTTAGGAGTAAAAGGGTTAAGAGTGATTCGCATGTAATTTCTCCTCACACCATCACCCCTGAATCAAATGTAAAGGTCATGTGAAGAAATGAAATAAACACCTACCCAAGATGCTCATGTTTAGAGAACTGTATTGTGTAAAGTGTTAGAACTCATTTTCTCTCATTGTTTTCCCAGTAGAGTTTCTAATAGATTTTCAAATTGACTGCTTTGTTTTCAGTCATGTGTCACAGCCCTAGACCAGACGTGGCATCCAGAACATTTTGTGTGTGCGGCTTGTGGACGGCCATTTGGTGAAAGTGGCTTTCATGAGAGAGATGGGAAGCCTTATTGTCGTGATGATTACTTTGCATTGTTTGCGCCTCGATGTGGAGGGTGTGGCCAGCCCATAGCTGATAGCTACATTTCTGCTTTGAGTGCCCACTGGCACTCAGAATGTTTTGTGTGTTCGGTAAGTTCTTTGCTGGTCTTTTCTACTGTTATTGTTATTCTCAAAAAAACAACACTGTATGGAAATTCTGCTACCCTCCCCTCCTTTGGATAGGATGGCTGAGTGTCTCGAGTCATCCTTATTAGTATACCAGGTTCAGCCTGTTTCTGCAGCATAATACCACCAATCCTCCCCTCCCTCTCCCTTTCCTTCCCCTTCCATTATTGTACCAATATTGTACCACTATTTTGCCACCATTTACTCCCTGAAAACTAGGAATAACCTCTGCCAACCAGAGCACTCTATGGTAGAGATCATAGTTGGGAGAAGCATGCAGAAAGTTTGGAAAATTTGAAGTAGACATTTGTTCAAAGGCTGCAAGCATATAGCTTGGAACATATTTATAAGCAATTAGATCCACCCACACTGCCCCAGCGGTGTGATTGTTGTGTACAGGTATACTTAGGGGAATGGGTTAGTTTTTATGTTGTGTTGGATCACCCATCTAATCTAAAAGACTTTTAAGTACTAAACATTCTTTCACAAAGTGCCAGCATAAAAAAATTCCTCCCTAAACCTATTTTCATTTAAAATCCCTCTAGTTGGTGGTTATTTTTATCACCAATTATGCACCAAGAAGCCATCTTCTCTAACAGACTCCTGTATACACCCCCTCAATAATCCCACCTCAATGCAAACTTCAGTATTGCTCTTCTGTAGAAACCCTCAAGGGGGCTTATTTAACCTTTGACACACAAGAGTGACTAGCATCTAATTTCTCCTTACAATATCACCCCTGAATCACACACTTAAGTCACAAAAATAAAGGGAATGATCCCAAACTAGAGAAGCTCTTGATTGCAAAACGAATTCTCCTTGTCAACACCTTGTGAAATGCATAGAAGATTGTATGGTGTCTTGGTATTCTCATCATCTCTTTGTCTGCTGCTCTGTCTTGGTTGCAAAGGTAAATCAACATTTTATGACTTTTCTTTTCCTCTCAGGAATGCCATCAAGCTTTTCCAGGTGGAAGTTTCTTTGAGCATGAAGGCCGACCTTATTGTGAGATGCACTATCATGCCCGCAGAGGCACGCTGTGCTTCAGTTGTCAAAAGCCAATCACAGGCCGATGCATCACTGCCATGCACCGTAAATTTCACCCTGAGCACTTTGTGTGTGCATTTTGCCTCAAGCAGCTCAACAAAGGTACTTTTAAGGAACAGAATGACAAGCCATATTGTCATCCATGCTTTGTCAAACTTTTTGGGTAGATAGTAAAATAGGAATGACTCTGTTACATGTGAGTGGCTGACAGTCAATATGTTCAAGTGCAAGTCCGGTAAACTGGGATGTGTGCCTGAAATTAGAGATTAGATGTAAGCATCTATGATGAAATATTGTGAGATGCCAAAGTTTACATTATTGACCCTGAAACTCCTAGAAGTGATTAACATGTAACTTCTTCCTATAATGTCCATACATTATACAGCAAATAAGTGATAAGAATATTTAAATTTAGTTGGTAGAAGTTGTTATCTTGATCTAGCACCACAATTTTTTTAACTAGTTAACAAAGAGATGTGAATTAGTTTGTAGGGAGAATTAGTAATTAGATTTTTGGAGTTAAAGTGTTAAATGCTACATGTTACAATTAACAAAGTTTTCATGTAAGCATGTTTTAAAAGAAATGGAAGGCCATGTAGAACTTATCAAACTTTAAGATAACTTGCTGGCCTATTTTAATTTATTCTATATGGAAAGTTTACCAGGAAGCCTTTGCATGATGTAATTAACCCTGTGTTTGTTTGGCTTGCCTGAAAACACATTGACAGTTGGCCATTACAGAGTTGTCTATCTCATCAGAGAAGCAGTCATCTCTTTCAAGTTTTGTTTCTTGTATGTGGTTTGCATTGCTGAAGAGACTGGCTGCTTTGACACGCTGCACTAGTAATTTGTGAGATACTAAGTGAATTGAAATTTAGAATTATTATTATATTTTTTAATTAACCCTTTCTCTCTCTGAACCTCATTAGTAATTCTCCTTACTATCTGCCATTCAATTCTCATGATGTTCAGTCTGAGAATTTGGTGCTGGATCAACTGATAATTGTCTTGTTGATATTTTTCTTTATTCTCATCACTTGTCTGCTTGATATTGTAAGGGGAAATTCTGTCTTGGTCATTAATAAAAGTTACAGGGGTAACCTTTTCTCTCCCTGGAGTGACCAAAAATGAATTTCCTCCTGCAATATTACATTTTCAATCAGGAAGGTGATTAGAGGAAAGTAAAATATCAACTTAAGGATGTTAATTGATTAAATACCATTTTCTCCTCGCTATAATTTTAAGAAATGCATGGCAGACCGTGTGGAGAATTTATATTTAAATCTCTGGAGTGCAAGGGTTGAAATGTCTAACTACATAAGCATGTTATATTTGTTGCAAACTAATTGCTTTGTATAGGAGGTGATGGCACGGAAATTTTTTGTAAACCATTTCAGAGAACTTTTTTTGTAAAATGCTGTTATTTTGAGATAAATTTAGAAACATTATTTAATCTTTCGCTTTTTGGGGAAGAGCATAATGTTATTTCAAATGGAATTGTTACAATTATTTTTGAGCCACAAAAAGTTAACTTGAAAAGCACTATTTGTTCCTTTGAGCATTTCATACTTCCAAGAGCCATTAGGCCGGTCATTTAAACTAAGTTTAGCCGTTGTTTTACAAAGCCTCGTTCCAAGCCATCTCCAATTTGACCAAACCTTTAATACGAAAATTTATTTTTATGAAAAGTGTCAAGAGGGCCGGCCGAAAGCTCTAAGTTTAAATCAACCTAGTTAGAAAGAATCCCGGAGGCCCGATGCTTGCGTGAAACCGCGGTTTGGATAAGACGTAGAGATACGATACTACGGCCCCTGGTGTCAAAGCCTGAATTTTTTCCTAGCTTCTTTTCTGTTGCATAAACTGCAAGTCACTTTTGAGGATTATCTCTTCTCTTGACTTCATCCACAGCTCAATTGAAATTTATCTCGTATAAAATTGTGTATGGTGAAATTCTGGTTATTTACCTAACAAATTAAAGTTATTTCTTGTGTGGACAATGTTTCTCCTAAATGTAATTAATTTATGAATCAAGTAAGAATTTAAAATGTTTATAAATATATTTTGAATTGTTCCGACATAACTATTTTCTGGAACATTATTGCACCAATGATTGTTAATTATTGTCAAAAGGTATTGTGGCTAGAAATCGAATTCTAAAGAAGAAAAATTTAATGTAAAGCCGTCGGAGTATTTTAGATGCTGTTCTTTGCTGAGTTTTTCAAAGTATCATTTGGTCTTAGCGTCGTATAATTGCCGTGGAAAAGTGTAGATTTAGCATGCAGGTATCCTAGGAGAAGTGCTGTTAGGGTATTGCACGACGCGGCACTTAACTGCGCGAATGACCAAACTTCAAACATTTCTTTTTACCTTGCGGTAATGAGGGTCCCTTTTTTAACGCAAACAGCGAGGTGAAGGTGTGATATCAGTTGAGTCTCGGAGAACCGATTTTAAACCTCGTCACTGGATTAATCAAAATAAGAGGAAATGCTTAGTCTCTCACGTATCATGCTCTCTGGTGCTTCTACTGTTGTCATGAAATATCTAGAACGGTTCCCGTGACAGTCACGCATTTCAAATGATCACGCAATCCTGAGAAACTGCAGCATGACACTGCACTGTCGAAATTCATATTCGTCATATAAACGTTTACTTCATTTAGAAATAGTTAGAGCGTATCACAAGCACAAGTGAAATGCTTTATGTTTAATAAAGAGATGTATTTAGCGTGAGTATGAGTCTGGAATTAATCTTTTCTCCCTAATGTAAAAGGTTTTTGAGCACACGACCTATAAATATACCGTTTGAAAGGACGAGTTCCCGTCTTTTGTAAGACGCGAACTTAGTACACAGCGTACGCAAATATTTTCTTGTTCCGTGCTCACTCAACTAGACGCGAACCATGTACACGAGCAAACTAATTTAGATAAGAAATGCGCTTTCTGTCTATTTGTTTACCTGAAGAACAACGTTCTCCCATGTTGTGCTTTTCTCTAGGAGACCAAATTCATGCTAAAGAATTTTGGTGAAAAAAGTAACTTAAAAAAAAACAACATTTATCCTTACCTAGATACTGAAGAGTATCAGAAAGCCCGCCCTCCTTGTTGTTAGTTTTCCCATTTGCTTTGAGACAAGCCGTCGAAACAGCTGTTCAACGAGGTGCCTTTTGCAAAGGGACAAGTCACTCCTTCTTCGACTCCTCTGGCGATAAATAATGAATCGTCCGTAACTTCGTGACAACGAACTGAGAATGCTTCTGTCTTCTGATGTTTATGAACATCAAAAGGAAAATTCTAATCACTGATGTGTCAGAAACACACTCAGATACTTGAAGCGCAAAAGATGTTTCTTATTTGTTATTTTTTTTCGTACAGATCTCTCCGCTATTGGTGTGGACTTTTCTGGTTCACTAGTTTCGTTTCCCAGACAGTCTTGGTAAAAGTGAAGGAAAATACTTTTGCTTTTAATTTCTTTGGATATCAAAAACAGAAATGATATAACTTGATGAATCACGAAGATAGCGGAAACAGCAGGAAAAGGACGCAGTCTTTGAGGCATTCAAAGGATTTTTCTATGACAGTTTTTCATCTTGCAGAGGAAATTGATCCTTTGTAATTTCATTCATTTTAGTGACATTTGAAAATTCATGAAGATCGTTTAAAACAATTTAAGCGTCTGGCTTGCTTAGCGAAAATTATGCTCCTTAAAAAAAATTAGTAAACTGTCGGTGTGAATATACTTTTGGCATCGATTTAGAGACTAGCTTTGTAGGGCTTAATCAGAAAAGCGAGCCTAATTTCATAATCATCATTATAAAAGATAATCCTCATCACAACAAGAAAGAGGATCATTGTTCAAGTAGAAGGAGGTAATAATTTCGGAGAAAGCAATCCTCTAGAACATTGAAAAATCGTTAGAAAATTCGGCGAAATGATATAGAAAATGATCACTCACGTTCGAAAGTCGGTGCGTAATACATTAATCGTAACATGTGAGACTATTACAGGAACCGATGAAACATCAATTTTGCTCTCAGTATGAAATCCGCCACATGTCCGATTGCCAAAGCGTTGAGGTAGAAAGAGTGGGTGTCACTCTGCCAGCTTACTAGAGTCTCCCTGAACAATTTTGGCTCCTGGATACCTGACGTTTTCTCCTAGTTCGTGACATTAAATGTCTCCAGGAATCTCTTAAAGAAAAGCTTTAATCCACATATATCGAAATTTAATTAAGTGTCTTCGCACCATATCTGCTAACCCAACTTCAAGAGATTTTCCTCTGGCACACGCCATATACGGTAGAGAAATTTAGAATATTTTTGTTTTTCTATTCACTACGGCTACAAACGCTGAGACTTTTTTTTATTTACTGGAGATATTTAAACAGATAGGATGGAAGGGATACTGTGCGGTGGTCCATAACTGTCACGGCAAAAGAAATAACCCCGCAGCAAACGAACAAGACTCACGGAAAAAGGAAAAAAACCTTACCGCAAAAAGGAAAAGACTCACGGCAAAAGAAAAAACCTCGCGACAAAAGAATAACCTCACGATAAAAAGAATAACCTCACGATGAAAGTAAAAGACTCACGGCAAAAGGAAAAACCTCACGACAAAAGAAATAACAATGTCCTCACTGCATGTTTTCTTTTGCCGTCAGTCTTTTTCTTTTGCCGCGAGGTTATTCTTTTGTCGTGACAGTTGTGGGCCACCATAATACTGGATAATTTATTCACGATATTTCTGGGCCGCTCCCGTTATTATAGAAACACTTTTTTTTAAAGTTTTAAAATATTAATAATGGTTGAAATGTTTTAAATTACGGTTAGAAAACTCGTTTTCGCTGATTAGTGGTGGATTAGTTCTCGTCTTTTACGCAAAATAAATATCGGCTTTGAGGTTTTTTTTTCCAACGTAATCAAGAGAAAATACAGGACTACATAGGTATTATAGTAACCAAGAATCGAAATGATAGTCTTTAGTGTCTCGCAGAAAGGAGCTGTCTCGCTGTCGGAGGGAACTGAAATTTGTCACGCTTTGTCGAAATCTTTTGAAAATAGATGCAAATTTTATTTTCACTTTCGGAAGTCTAAATTGATCTGGCAATTGACTTAGCGCATATGAAAGTACTTTTTTGGGTCAATATGCTAAAGAAAAACGGTAACGCCGTAAGAGTCCAACCGATGTGCGCAGTAAGTTTGTTCTCTCCAGGAGTTCAAGTTTTTTTTATTCAAAAACGGTAGTGGCAGTTATTTAAAACAACGCCTTTCAAAATTGTAAAGAAATCATTACATCCTTTGCATTGTGAAAACAAACAGAGACAATATCCCTTTGTAAGCCTTGCCTGGGGTCGCCTAATGTCAAAATATCAAATACACCAGACTTTTGATTAAATAAAAACTTCCCAATGTTTTATTAAAGGAAATAATATGCCATTGTTTGTTGTTCGCCCTCAGCTAAGAATAAAGCGAAAAAAATATTAGTTGCCCTTAACTCAGCAGTCCTTAAATTGAAGCGCCGCAATATTTATAACTGTAGCGGGAACATGCTGCAGTTAGGCTCTAAACCACAGCAATGATTCACAACAGTTTCTGAATGTCCTCAATTTAGTGTTTTTCGCTGACTTAATAATCGAATTCTAATCTACGGTAAGGGCATCAAAGAAAGAAAAAAAAAAGCGCACACCGTTTTTACCCCGCTAAAAAGTTGAAATAACCCCCAAATTTTCACGCTGCAGCAGAAATCAAAATTGCAAATGAACCTTCGCAAACCTTGAATTATGAATTTATCGATAGGAAAATATCAATGGGTAATGTGATTCTCGTAGTTTTTCGTTCAGACAGTGGTCTATAAAAAAAAAAAGCTTGATGTTTTTCACTGAGATTCAAGTTTGTAGCTTGGTAAGTGGTGAGATTTCACACCACCAAAGTTTGTATTTCTCTTCGTCCTGATCGGTGGGCCATTTCAGAAATTAAAAGCACCTGCATCCAGTTCCATCTATTTTCCTCTGACAAGTCGTACTGGAGCTTGGCAGAGATCCCTTATGTTAATTGTTCCTAAGTATCGCGCTGTAAAAAGATCCGTTCAATTTCCCAGTATATTGATTGTCCTGGTGTTAGGTACTTTACAAAGGAATGTCTTCTGTCTCCTCGTCCGAGATCTCCTCATCTAATTGATTATCTCGAGTATATTTTTTCCCGCAGAATCGATTAAACACGGCAACGAACACGAAGGAAAGAGTTAAGAAAATAAACAAATGCCACGCGAAAGCGATCGGCAACACTTCAACATTTTTTGGAGTGTTTTTCCAAGGGTTAGGGCCATATAGAACATAGGCAATTTGGTAAAACCAAGACCCTTGCACAGCTATCAAAACAGCCCTTATTAGCGAGAACAATAAATGATGTTGCGTAAAAAAGACATCAGCGAGAAACAAGGCCGCTGTGATGAAAATCACGATGTAGAGAATGACGTGTAAGCGGACACTTATTTCTGAATGGCCTTGAAGGTGAAAATAGAAGAGAAATCCTTCGATCCAGAAACTTGCTGATATGATCACATAGTCAGTCATCGGCGGTAGAGGAATTACACCATACCACATCACAAGATCAACCACACCAGAGAGGCCGAAGAAACAATACATAGCGGCATGGCTATGATTATTGATGTTGCCTTCCACGAATTCTCCATTTTTGCCGATCAGTCTCCATGTCTGGTGCAAGAAAAGCTCCCCGAGAACCCCCACAAACGCACAGAGCACCTTTAAAATGGGTTCCAGTGGAATTTTGGAAAGAGTCTTTCCGGGACATGGATACCAGACAGGTGCGTGGGTTTTTAATCTCGCGCACGTTGTACCGCTTGAGCGAAGCAAACCTCGTCTAGGTTTCGTGTTCTGATGCTTTCGAATAAGAGTTCCGATGAAGGACCAGATGGAAAGGAACAGAAATAGAGACCCAGGCACTGCGTGACCGATGAAGCTCCCCATTATTTTCAAGACACATGTACTAGAGACTGATGTCGAATCAAGGGCAGTCAAGAGCGTTTTTATATCCACGGACCAAAGTTATTATGGATTCTCGTGTCACGGTGGTTCGTTGTTATGCGATTTCCTCCCATAGCGTCCCTGTCGTCACGTTCTCCAACAGGCTTTTGTTGTTTTCGCGTTCGATGGCTCAGTAGCGGTGGAGATATTGAAATTCGCTGCTCGGCAATACAATAAACAATATGAATACATTTACACTTACACATTCCCAACATTCCAGTTATGGCTTTCTAATAATAAAGCTTGCATACGCTTCCGTTTGGTAACGAAAAGCGAGTTTTACTCAGTCCCTTTCTGAGACAAATTCCTGGTTTAAACGCTATCTAAAAAGGTCAAAATCGTTACTTTCAGGGGTAGGTATATTCTTCCCATACTAAAGTATGTTTTTGATTTCGAGACCCCCCCTGGCCCCTTAGGATTGTGTTTTCGAGGTGAAATCGTTTAAGAATGTGAATTTGGCGCGTTGTGAGGGGGTAATCCTGGGTAATTTTTTATTCTAGTTGTATCCTACCTATCACAAATAAAAAAGCTTTATCGTTATATGTAGACTCGGAGCAACTTCAGGATACCCCGCCACTCATTTACATGTCATTGAATTAGTATAGCGTCTATTGTGTTATGCCTCGATCTTCAAAGCCTCCCGACACATGTAAGTGAGGCGGACCAAAGTGGCGGGGTAAACTTCAGAAGCCCTCAAGTTACTAACGACTCATCACCTGAAAACCTCAAAACTGTAGTTACCATTCCAGAAAATTTACTACTTTCCGATTCAGAAAAATCAGTTCTCAGCAAGGGCTTAAATTTTGTTCCCATATCACAAAAAACCGACGAATTTTCAGTGAAGCAGGACGTTGAAAAATTCCTTCGCCGCGTTCAGTTGAAAGCCTTTTTTCATGACAAAGAGGATGATTCTAACACGTCCAACAAAGATACTTTCAAAACACTCCAGAGTCGAAAGTCTAAATAGACTCCCCCAGAGGGCCAGTTCTCATCTTTAGATTTTTTCCTCAAAAAATGTCGCCACGATATCAACAAACTTAAATTCAATCGTAACACCAAATTTTCCAATCTTTCTTCGGAAGAGTGTTCGGCACTAAAAAGTCTAAAAAACGCAAAGACATTGTCATTAAGGCGGCCGACAAAGGCGGCGCAGTTGTTGTTTGGCGGGCCGACCTCTATCAAAAAAGAAGCTTTGCGGCAACTTTCTGACACCTCCTTTTATGCCAAAGTCGACAAAGACCTCACTTTAATTAACCAAAACATTGTCAAAAATACGATTAACGATCTTATAGCTAAACAAGAATTGCCGGCCACTGCTAAAAATCTCATCATTACTACTCCTAGAACTTCGTGTATTTACTTTTTACCTAAAATCCACAAACCTAACAACCCAGGTCGACCCATCGTTTCTGCCTGCAGTTGTCCCACTGAAGTTATTTCCAGCTATTTAGACAAAATTAAGGCACCTATCGTCAAAACTCTACCGTCTTACATTAAGGACAGCCAACACGCACTTGAAATTTTTCGTGACTTTAGTTTCCTCGACCAAAACAAACTTATTTTCACCATGGATATAACATTTCTTTACACTGTCATTCCCAATGACGAAGGTCTCCGGGCCCACAAACATGTTTTTGATTTACGCACTGTTAAGGAACCTAGCTCTGAAACACTGCTCCGTCTGGCCGAACTAGTACTCACACTCAATTGTTTTTCATTCGGTGGTAACTACTACAAACAAACTAATGGCGTGGCCATGGGTACTAAAATGGGACCCAGCTACGCCAATCTTTTTGTAGGTTTTATCGAACATCAATTTTTTAGCCAATACCACGGCCCAAAACCTCAACTCTACGGCCGCTACATTGACGATTGCATCGGCGCTACCTCTTGTACCAAGGAGGAGCTCACTCAATTTATAACCGCCGTCAATTCCTTCCATCCGGCTCTTAAATATACCTGGGAAATTTCCGACACTTCTTTGGCTTTTCTAGACATCAAAATTTCAAAACCTAGTTTTAAAATGGCTTTAGGGACTGCAGCTTTTGAAAGCGATTGAAAAAGAAAAGGTGTTTATCTTATGGATGAAATTATAAAACCAAAAGTTTCCAGCGTTTTCTATCCCTGTTCGTCTTTTTTGTCAAAAATTTCTCTCTTAGATGCACAGTTCCAATCAATAAAAGTGAGTTCTTGAGAATTCTATTTCAGTCAAATAGCTCTTATGTAATTTCTGCGATACACTTGACGTTATCCGCTGAACACGATGCACACGAATTTAGAATATTTTTGTTTTTCTATTCAATACGGCTACAAACGCTGAGACTTTTTTTTTTTTTTTACTGGAGATATTTAAACAGATAGGATGGAAGGGATACTGTGCGGTGGTCCATAACTGTCACGGCAAAAGAAATAACCCCGCAGCAAACGAACAAGACTCACGGCAAAAGAAAAAACCTTACGACAAAAAGGAAAAGACTCACGCCAAAAGAAAAAACCTCGCGACAAAAGAATAACCTCACGATAAAAAGAATAACCTCACGATGAAAGTAAAAGACTCACGGCAAAAGGAAAAACCTCACGGCAAATGAAATAACAATGTCCTCACTGCATGTTTTCTTTTGCCGTCAGTCTTTTTCTTTTGCCGGGAGGTTATTCTTTTGTCGTGACAGTTGTGGGCCACCATAATACTGGATAATTTATTCACGATATTTCTGGCCCGCTCCCGTTATTATAGAAACAATTTTTTTTTTTTAAGTTTTAAAATATTAATAATGGTTGAAATGTTTTAAATTACGGTTAGAAAACTCGTTTTCGCTGATTAGTGGTGGATTAGTTCTCGTCTTTTACGCAAAATAAATATCGGCTTTGAGGTTTTTTCCCCCAACGTAATCAAGAGAAAATACAGGACTGCATAGGTATTATAGTAACCAAGAATCGAAATGATAGTCTTTAGTGTCTCGCAGAAAGGAGCTGTCTCGCTGTCGGAGGGAACTGAAATTTGTCACGCTTTGTCGAAATCTTTTGAAAATAGATGCAAATTTTATTTTCACTTTCGGAAGTCTAAATTGATCTGGCAATTGACTTAGCGCATATGAAAGTACTTTTTTGGGTCAATATGCTAAAGAAAAACGGTAACGCCGTAAGAGTCCAACCGATGTGCGCAGTAAGTTTGTTCTCTCCAGGAGTTCAAGTTTTTTTTATTCAAAAACGGTAGTGGCAGTTATTTAAAACAACGCCTTTCAAAATTGTAAAGAAATCATTACATCCTTTGCATTGTGAAAACAAACAGAGACAATATCCCTTTGTAAGCCTTGCCTGGGGTCGCCTAATGTCAAAATATCAAATACACCAGACTTTTGATTAAATAAAAACTTCCCAATGTTTTATTAAAGGAAATAATATGCCATTGTTTGTTGTTCGCCCTCAGCTAAGAATAAAGCGAAAAAAATATTAGTTGCCCTTAACTCAGCAGTCCTTAAATTGAAGCGCCGCAATATTTATAACTGTAGCGGGAACATGCTGCAGTTAGGCTCTAAACCACAGCAATGATTCACAACAGTTTCTGAATGTCCTCAATTTAGTGTTTTTCGCTGACTTAATAATCGAATTCTAATCTACGGTAAGGGCATCAAAGAAAGAAAAAAAAGCGCACACCGTTTTTTACCCCGCTAAAAATAGTTGAAATAACCCCCCAAATTTTCACGCTGCAGCAGAAATCAAAATTGCAAATGAACCTTCGCAAACCTTGAATTATGAATTTATCGATAGGAAAATATCAATGGGTAATGTGATTCTCGTAGTTTTTCGTTCAGACAGTGGTCTATAAAAAAAAGCTTGATGTTTTTCACTGAGATTCAAGTTTGTAGCTTGGTAAGTGGTGAGATTTCACACCACCAAAGTTTGTATTTCTCTTCGTCCTGATCGGTGGGCCATTTCAGAAATTAAAAGCACCTGCATCCAGTTCCATCTATTTTCCTCTGACAAGTCGTACTGGAGCTTGGCAGAGATCCCTTATGTTAATTGTTCCTAAGTATCGCGCTGTAAAAAGATCCGTTCAATTTCCCAGTATATTGATTGTCCTGGTGTTAGGTACTTTACAAAGGAATGTCTTCTGTCTCCTCGTCCGAGATCTCCTCATCTAATTGATTATCTCGAGTATATTTTTTCCCGCAGAATCGATTAAACACGGCAACGAACACGAAGGAAAGAGTTAAGAAAATAAACAAATGCCACGCGAAAGCGATCGGCAACACTTCAACATTTTTTGGAGTGTTTTTCCAAGGGTTAGGGCCATATAGAACATAGGCAATTTGGTAAAACCAAGACCCTTGCACAGCTATCAAAACAGCCCTTATTAGCGAGAACAATAAATGATGTTGCGTAAAAAAAAGACATCAGCGAGAAACAAGGCCGCTGTGATGAAAATCACGATGTAGAGAATGACGTGTAAGCGGACACTTATTTCTGAATGGCCTTGAAGGTGAAAATAGAAGAGAAATCCTTCGATCCAGAAACTTGCTGATATGATCACATAGTCAGTCATCGGCGGTAGAGGAATTACACCATACCACATCACAAGATCAACCACACCTGAGAGGCCGAAGAAACAATACATAGCGGCATGGCTATGATTATTGATGTTGCCTTCCACGAATTCTCCATTTTGCCGATCAGTCTCCATGTCTGGTGCAAGAAAAGCTCCCGAGAACCCCCACAAACGCACAGAGCACCTTTAAAATGGGTTCCAGTGGAATTTTGGAAAGAGTCTTTCCGGGACATGGATACCAGACAGGTGCGTGGGTTTTAATCTCGCGCACGTTGTACCGCTTGAGCGAAGCAAACCTCGTCTAGGTTTCGTGTTCTGATGCTTTCGAATAAGAGTTCCGATGAAGGACCAGATGGAAAGGAACAGAAATAGAGACCCAGGCACTGCGTGACCGATGAAGCTCCCCATTATTTTCAAGACACATGTACTAGAGACTGATGTCGAATCAAGGGCAGTCAAGAGCGTTTTTATATCCACGGACCAAAGTTATTATGGATTCTCGTGTCACGGTGGTTCGTTGTTATGCGATTTCCTCCCATAGCGTCCCTGTCGTCACGTTCTCCAACAGGCTTTTGTTGTTTTCGCGTTCGATGGCTCAGTAGCGGTGGAGATATTGAAATTCGCTGCTCGGCAATACAATAAACAATATGAATACATTTACACTTACACATTCCCAACATTCCAGTTATGGCTTTCTAATAATAAAGCTTGCATACGCTTCCGTTTGGTAACGAAAAGCGAGTTTTACTCAGTCCCTTTCTGAGACAAATTCCTGGTTTAAACGCTATCTAAAAAGGTCAAAATCGTTACTTTCAGGGGTAGGTATATTCTTCCCATACTAAAGTATGTTTTTGATTTCGAGACCCCCCCTGGCCCCTTAGGATTGTGTTTTCGAGGTGAAATCGTTTAAGAATGTGAATTTGGCGCGTTGTGAGGGGGAAATCTATCCTGGGTAATTTTTTATTCTAGTTGTATCCTACCTATCACAAATAAAAAAGCTTTATCGTTATATGTAGACTCGGAGCAACTTCAGGATACCCCGCCACTCATTTACATGTCATTGAATTAGTATAGCGTCTATTGTGTTATGCCTCGATCTTCAAAGCCTCCCGACACATGTAAGTGAGGCGGACCAAAGTGGCGGGGTAAACTTCAGAAGCCCTCAAGTTACTAACGACTCATCGCCTGAAAACCTCAAAACTGTAGTTACCATTCCAGAAAATTTACTACTTTCCGATTCAGAAAAATCAGTTCTCAGCAAGGGCTTAAATTTTGTTCCCATATCACAAAAAACCGACGAATTTTCAGTTAAGCAAGACGTTGAAAAATTCCTTCGCCGCGTTCAGTTGAAAGCCTTTTTTCATGACAAAGAGGATGATTCTAACACGTCCAACAAAGATACTTTCAAAACACTCCAGAGTCGAAAGTCTAAATAGACTCCCCCAGAGGGCCAGTTCTCATCTTTAGATTTTTTCCTCAAAAAATGTCGCCACGATATCAACAAACTTAAATTCAATCGTAACACCAAATTTTCCAATCTTTCTTCGGAAGAGTGTTCGGCACTAAAAAGTCTAAAAAAACGCAAAGACATTGTCATTAAGGCGGCCGACAAAGGCGGCGCAGTTGTTGTTTGGCGGGCCGACCTCTATCAAAAAGAAGCTTTGCGGCAACTTTCTGACACCTCCTTTTATGCCAAAGTCGACAAAGACCTCACTTTAATTAACCAAAACATTGTCAAAAATACGATTAACGATCTTATAGCTAAACAAGAATTGCCGGCCACTGCTAAAAATCTCATCATTACTACTCCTAGAACTTCGTGTATTTACTTTTTACCTAAAATCCACAAACCTAACAACCCAGGTCGACCCATCGTTTCTGCCTGCAGTTGTCCCACTGAAGTTATTTCCAGCTATTTAGACAAAATTAAGGCACCTATCGTCAAAACTCTACCGTCTTACATTAAGGACAGCCAACACGCACTTGAAATTTTTCGTGACTTTAGTTTCCTCGACCAAAACAAACTTATTTTCACCATGGATATAACATCTCTTTACACTGTCATTCCCAATGACGAAGGTCTCCGGGCCCACAAACATGTTTTTGATTTACGCACTGTTAAGGAACCTAGCTCTGAAACACTGCTCCGTCTGGCCGAACTAGTACTCACACTCAATTGTTTTTCATTCGGTGGTAACTACTACAAACAAACTAATGGCGTGGCCATGGGTACTAAAATGGGACCCAGCTACGCCAATCTTTTTGTAGGTTTTATCGAACATCAATTTTTTAGCCAATACCACGGCCCAAAACCTCAACTCTACGGCCGCTACATTGACGATTGCATCGGCGCTACCTCTTGTACCAAGGAGGAGCTCACTCAATTTATAACCGCCGTCAATTCCTTCCATCCGGCTCTTAAATATACCTGGGAAATTTCCGACACTTCTTTGGCTTTTCTAGACATCAAAATTTCAATTGAAGGCAACGGCTTATGTAGTAGTGTTTACTACAAACCTACAGATTCACATAGTTACTTGTTGCATTCATCCTCACATCCATCACACGTCAAGAACTCCATACCTTTTTCACAGTTTCTCAGACTTCGTCGTTTATGTAGTGACGACTCTGATTTTCCCGAAAAACAGACAGGCAGCACTACAAATGGCCGAGAAGGAGAACACTGACCGCATTCCATTTACTCTTACATTTCACCATCACAACCAGGCAGTTAAATCTATCATTCTTAAAAATTTTAAATTACTCCAAAACGATTCAGAGACTGGCACTATCTTTTCGCAACCCCCACTTATTTCATTCAAACGTGACAAAAACATAGGAACTTTTTAGTCAGGAGTTCATTTCAAACCTATGACCAATCTGGAACTTTTAAATGCGCTCGCTCACGATGCAAAACTTGTCCTTTCATTCATAACGTAGAGAAAATATCGGGACCCAAAAGATCCATTAAGATCATTGATCACTTTACGTGTACCTCCGCCAATGTTATTTACTGCATAACTTGCACTTATTGCAATAAGTTATACATCGGCGAAACAGGAAGACGACTGGGTGACCGATTCCGAGAACACCTTCGCGATGTGGAAAGAAATGACAAGGACGCATCCAAACCAGTCGCTAGACACTTTAATCTTCCTTATCATTCTAAACAGCATATGGCAGTTTGCGGCCTTTCCTTACATCTAGGCAGTTCGGAAAGCCGTAAAACGGGGCTGTCCTGGTGTACCGGTACACGGGGGAATTCCTATTGTTTTCATATCCATACATGGAGTTGTGACGCAGTTCGTTAATGTTTCGTTCCTTTGTGTACCGGTACACGAGGACACAACCCGTAAAACACTAGAACAAAAATTTATATTCCAAATCGGCACCCTTAATCCCCACGGAATCAACGAGCGCTTTTCATTCAACTAATTTATTCCTGTTTTCTCGTCACCACATTCCCGCCAATGGCGTAGCTCCACTTTCTACATATAAATCCACACACAACCCACAATTCCTCTAATCGCTCTGACGAAGGGCTAACGCCCGAAACGTCAGCTTTTTTATCCTTTACGGTGGCTAATTTACGTTTTCAACCCAGTTGTTAACACTAAATTACCTGCTAAACTTCAGAATACCCCGCCACTTTGGTCAGCATTAGATTCCATCCACCAAAACCACCTCGGTCGAGAGGGACTGAGATGGAATATTTAATGACTTGCAAAACATAACCGAAGATTCTCGGAAATTCGCAAGTGATGTAGCCGAACATTCGAAGCTGTAGATCCCATGATTCTTGAGGAACAAAAAGAAACAGCAAAGCGAGAATTTTAAGTCGCGAAACATTGCTACCACAATTGTGGAATCATTCGGTTTAACTTAATGCTTACACCTCCTTCCTTGGACAAAAGTCACAAAATACTCGTGGAAGAAGCATGAGATATTTAAGGAGCAAAAATTCGTTTTTTACTGGTGTGCCTTTCCTAATTTTGGGAAGGAAAGTGTTCAATTGCCAGCATGGCATAGATAGAACAGCTGGAGAGAAAACGAAACGAAAAGATGCCGAAGAAGTACTGTATATAATAATTTCTTTTTATCCTCAACCTTTGTGTTACTGTCAACTATGGCTTGCTAATTCGAAAGGTCAAATACATGAATGGGTCATATGACATTGATCTCTGAATACTTTAATGACAAACGTGATAACAGTTCAATCTTGGCTAAATTGAAGATGGTTTAGAAGTTAACAATTATAAGATCTTTTCACTAACATATGCTGCTGACAAAGGAGAAAATATATGCAATTCTGCATTTTTTGCTTTCTATCAAGCAATCATATGTTGGCTCCTTATCACGCTATGACACTTCCGTTTTGTCACATTCCAAAAAATAACTTGAGAAATACACTGTCACTCATCTTACACTGTTATATTTACCTATTACAGAAGCCTGGAAACAAAGATTTTGTTTTCAAGAAAATAAGATTTCTTGTCCAAGACACAAGGAAGTTTGACTGCAAAGCACAGATAAAAATGTGAGAAATTTTATTTTTTTTCAGAGAACAAGGTAGTTCTACTCATGTATAAACAGAACAAATCCGGTTTAATAAATCAGATATGCGGCATGACTCCTTTTCTTCCATCTCCACTCAAAACAAGCAAACACACCTATAGAGGTTCCAGTCTGGTCTGCAAATGAAAAGGAGGAAAGTGATCACTGCAAAATTAAGCATTAGGGTTCTTATTTATAACATATTGATTATTGTATACTGATATCAAGAAATTAAGGTTGCAAGTAGCAGCCAGCAAACGGAGTTATAGTTTGAGTTTTATCAAGTCCATTACTTTGTTAAATTTAGAGTAACCTTGTCTTGAGAGAGGGAAATTGAGGAGCTGTAATATTCTTATCATCAATTAGGGACCACAAAGAAAAATTTATTATAGAGACTTTTGAAGGAGAGGGGTAAGACTTGTGACAAGCTGGCAGACATATAGATAAACTTAAACGTACTCAGTATTTGGATCAGCTATGGCTCAACTTAAACTTTGCTTTAGCTTCAATTTAATCATTTGTGGTTTCCTTTCACTGTGTTTATTTTTCAAGTTATGTTACACAGAAGAACAAAAAAATGACAAGGAATGCTTTTGAATATTAAGAGGCTGGAATAAGCTAGAAACCAAAACTGAATTTTAAACAGTACAAAGTTAATTTGATCTTCCAATGTTATTTAATTTTAACCATTAATAGAATTTGCTATTTAAATTTATCCCATCCATTTTTCTGGATATTGTGAGCAAAAACAAACAATTATCACAAAATGCGTGGTATACAATGGTTTGATTCACCAATGTGGCAAAGGCCTTTCACTGTCTATCCATAAAAAGGGAAATAATTTGTAAAATGTAAGACATTCTGCATCTTGAGTGTATACTTATTCATCGATGTGAAATTAAAGGTTACTTGAAATAAATGTGAAAGATTTATAGGATTTTCAGACCCCTGATAACAATTACTGATGTGCTGATTTGTTGTACTTAAAGGTTATGATTTTAGCGAAAATAGTGGGAGAAATTTCTGGACCTGGAATTTTGATGCAAATGTCTGTTTAAGTCAGTTTAAGTCAGTTAAAAACTCCTGTTTCAAGATTACATGATTGCCACACCAGAACCTTTTGTATTCTATATTGTGCACCATGTTATGATTACAGTTTCAATAATAAAAGGTGCTGACTCAAGAACTTTGCAAAATATCTCTACATACAAAGAAATAGATTGTGGTTATGTACTCCAAATAGCAGGTCGCATTAGTCTTCTGTAAGGAAGTAGCAGAAATTGCTATGGTGGTTTTGGTGGATGGAGAGAAACATCCACCAAAACCACTTTATTCTATGTGTTATGAGTTATGATAATCATTATGAACGTTTGGTCGGTCAGCAATTGTGCACCATAGAAAATAATTAGCCAGAGCACTAACTGCTAATTAGTGGTATAAATCTTTTGTCTCCCTGAACATCTAACAGTGGCTATAGATAAAATTTAAAAAATATATTGTTGATGGTTTTGGTCAAAGTTTTGGTGGATGTTCCCTGATGACATCCACCAAAACTACGTAACATCTGGACACCTTCTAAATACGTGAAATATCTGCATAAAATTGCGTAAAATGTTTTATAATACTACAATCGAACAATAAATTAATACTTACCATTTCTTGAGTAAAAAGTTTGACACAATTTCCCAAACAAATAATACACTTAGGTCATCGGGATAAGTCGGGATGTTGTCGTAGCTTCGTAATTTTCAGTTAGTATAACAAGTCATGAGTTGTCCATCATTCCATCCCAGTCCCTCTCGACCAAGGTGGTTTTGGTGGATGGAATCTAATGCTGACCCGCCACTTTGGTCCGCCTCACTTACATGTGTCGGGAGGCTCTGAAGATCGAGGCATAACACAATAGACGCTATTCTTATTCAATGACATGTAAATGAGTGGCGGGGTATTCTGAAGTTGCTCCTGAAGTTTAGCCGTAGACTCCGTTTGTTTGTATTTTCAATCGTGGAAACCGTAAATTTGTACATTTTAAGCCCCGATTTTATCGAGCGCTCGATGCTTGTTGCTGGCAGCCATATTGGATTCTCTACAGATCGCCGATCGTTGTGTGTAATTACGGCAGTGAAAAGACCATTGGAGGAAGAATCTTCGTATGGCCAGCAATTTTTCAGGGGATAAACGGGACGATAGGTAAGCAAAGCAATTCTGAACGTCGAATTTGCGTTTGTGTGGTTATGTTGAATAACTTAAATTTCTTGCTCACTTTGCAGTCGAAAACGCAGAAAATGCAATGAGCCTAATTCTCACCAAGGACGCTGTGATTCTAGTAGAACTTTTCACGCATTCTGGAAGAGGTCATCTTCACATGTAGCTTTGAAAAGAAAAGGAGAGTTACAAGAACAAAACAAAAGGCTATCACAGGACATTGAAGCCAAAAAGGCTCGGCTGGATGAATATGGTAATATTATAACTTTGAGTGTTTTCGAAACGTGCAAAAGATTTCATTTTTACCACCATGCTACTCTGAAGTTCGAACGGAAAATTAAGTTATGTTATGTACAACATTCTGTTCCTTTAGTATTTTATTTACGTGTGATTGCAAAAAATGTTGAGATCTAATTTCTCTGTTTGTTTTTTTTGTTTTTTTTTTTTTAAGAGGGACAAATACAAACTTCTGTTGCTCAGAAAGATGCAGTAGAAGAAGAGCTAAAAAGCCTTCAAAAGAGTGTGGAAGAAAAGGAAGATCAAGTAAAGCAACAAGAGGAAAAAGTAACACAATTAAATGAGCAATATCACAAATTTAAATCTCTGCTTGAACAAAAAGGCTTTTCAGTAGCTAGGAGAAAAAAATGCCAGTACAACTTATGATATGATTACAAATGTCAATTCCAGCACTAAGTACAGACGAAGACAGGAGACAAAAAATGTATTAGAATTTATTCATGGGGGAAAAGAAGGGTCAATATATGGGGCTTGGGGTTATATTTCATCTACTGCTGACAATCAAACCATGGACAAACTGATTTCTGGACTTAAACGAGGGAAATATCTCCAGGGTCTGTTTGAGAATGAAGACAATGAAAGGGTATCAAAATTCAGATGAGGCTTTGAAACAAGCCTTTTTTTTTGAAGTACCAGAACTTTCTGTCTCGCAGAAAGTATGCCCTTGTCTGCAAAACTCAGTCTTCAGTTTTTGATCCAAACTCTGATCTATGGGTACCCCGTAACATAAAATGTTTAGGTTTGGACTTAAGGGTGCCAAATATAGCTATTTCTGACAAACGGGTGGAGAATTTTGTGAGAAGTCTTGACATTGGTCATGTTAATCAAATTCCCAATGCACCGGGTGTTTCCAGAACAATAACTGGGTTGGTGTTTATGATAATTGATCTGCACCTTAGACTTCTCTATTTATTCCGTAAGCTAATTTGTTTTAATGACAACATAAATCATTTCATCATGCAATTTTCTGATGATGGGGCCCCTGAGTCAAGTCAGCTAACCATGTCGATTGGCAGCCTAACATCATGGAATTTTGGGGACAGTGTGAGAAGCAGGGATTTCCAGTACATTTTACATTGTGTCATTCAGGGGGAGAAAGATGAGGTGTTGCAAAGGGCGAAAAAACAAAGCAAAAAATTTTTTTCGCTTGTTTTTTGCACTTGCCAGTTCGCCCTTTGGCTATGGACAGATAAGAAATTCGCCTCAAGGAATGTTGTTTGTTCTTTTCCTTTACGAGGTGCAATGCATGCAATCTTTTTTTGCAAAAAATTAATAATAAGTGAAACTGTTAAGAAAACGAGGTCAAATTTTTAAAGTAATGGCTTAAAAGAATACTGCCACAAGAAAACTTAAAACAAACAGAAAAAAAAATGACACGCTACAATTTCACACCAGTTCTGTCTATGATTAACTACCAATTTCTCATACAGTTTGTTGTTTTGCTTATTATTTGCTGAGGATAAAGTCCCTTAACCCTTTAACTCCCATGGGTGACCAAGATAGAATTTCTCCTTACAATATTAACACAGAATCAAGCAGACAAGTGAGAACAAAACTCAATTAGGGGACTTACAAGTTGATCCAATACCAAATACTCCGAAATGAAATTATAAGTATTTTATGGCAGACAGTAGGGAGAATTACTAATGAGATCTTGGGAGTTAAAGGGTTAAATTCTTTAAAATCTCAACTGCTGTTAGGGCTTGCTGGTTACTAAGGACTCCTTTGTAATTCCTTTGCCGAAATCTCGGAATACTCTTGGCTAAATCTCGAAGGAAAACGGTTATTTTACTTGTCTCAGTAATCGCAAATTTTTATTTGATTCATTAGTGTGGTGTAAGTTTAGCCTCTAAATGGAAATGAACGTCAGTAAAAAGAGCATCATACTTCTCTCTGAAAATATTAAACAAAGGAAAATTTCCGAAACCTTATCTAAAGGAGGGAAATTATGATTTGATGCAATCAGATGGGATAAAACACACACACACACACACAAAAAAAAAAAAAAAAAAAAAAAAAAAAAGAAAATCTCAAGATGTTCTCAATCGTTATCCTACTGGGCCATTAGAGCTGGTTTGTAGTCCGTTATGTTAGTGTTCAGGTGTTAATTTTCTGGTGCAGAGTTGATTAAGCTGAACCTTGTTTTATTCATTAGTTGAAATTTGAGTGACTTATCAACTGATCACTCCGCCACTTTCAAGTTTCAACTCTCTCGTATGGTCATCAAAATCCTTTACGAATTTTTGTGTGTTATCTCTGTTTTCACTCGCCTCATACTCCAATCGATCATCGAAGTTGTTGTATATCTCCAGGCGAATATGGCCAAAACAAACCCCTATCCCGTATTGAAATGGAAAAATGATGAAAATATCAAAACCTAGTTTTAAAATGGCTTTAGGGACTGCAGCTTTTGAAAGCGATTGAAAAAGAAAAGGTGTTTATCTTATGGATGAAATTATAAAACCAAAAGTTTCCAGCGTTTTCTATCCCTGTTCGTCTTTTTTGTCAAAAATTTCTCCCTTAGATGCACAGTTCCAATCAATAAAAGTGAGTTCTTGAGAATTCTATTTCAGTCAAATAACTCTTATGTAATTTCTGCGATACACTTAACGTTATCCGCTGAACACGATGCACACGAATTTAGAATATTTTTGTTTTTCTATTCAATACGGCTACAAACGCTGAGACTTTTTTTATTTACTGGAGATATTTAAACAGATAGGATGGAAGGGATACTGTGCGGTGGTCCATAACTGTCACGGCAAAAGAAATAACCCCGCAGCAAACGAACAAGACTCACGGCAAAAGAAAAAACCTTACGACAAAAAGGAAAAGACTCACGCCAAAAGAAAAAACCTCGCGACAAAAGAATAACCTCACGATAAAAAGAATAACCTCACGATGAAAGTAAAAGACTCACGGCAAAAGGAAAAACCTCACGGCAAATGAAATAACAATGTCCTCACTGCATGTTTTCTTTTGCCGTCAGTCTTTTTTCTTTTGCCGGGAGGTTATTCTTTTGTCGTGACAGTTGTGGGCCACCATAATACTGGATAATTTATTCACGATATTTCTGGCCCGCTCCCGTTATTATAGAAACAATTTTTTTTTTTAAGTTTTAAAATATTAATAATGGTTGAAATGTTTTAAATTACGGTTAGAAAACTCATTTTCGCTGATTAGTGGTGGATTAGTTCTCGTCTTTTACGCAAAATAAATATCGGCTTTGAGGTTTTTTTCCCCAACGTAATCAAGAGAAAATACAGGACTGCATAGATATTATAGTAACCAAGAATCGAAATGATAGTCTTCAGTGTCTCGCAGAAAGGAGCTGTCTCGCTGTCGGAGGGAACTGAAATTTGTCACGCTTTGTCGAAATCTTTTGAAAATAGATGCAAATTTTATTTTCACTTTCGGAAAGTCCCTTTTAGGGTCACTCGGAACATCCGCTGACTAAGACCGTGAAGGCTCACGCTGGTGCACGAAAGTGAGGCTTATCCTGAGTCGCATCTCGTCTGTTCACCACACAATCGCTAATATAATCGAAAATGGAGCACAAAACTACTAGAAAGAAGCAAGCGAGACGAGGAAAGGAGTGTGCGGCCTCTGAATGTACGAATACAGAATATTTACGCACTGGAAAATCGTCTGGCTTGCGATTTTTTCACTTCCCGAAAAAGCGTTCATTAATACAGCGATGGTGCAACCTTATCAAGAGACACAACGGTCGAGATGGGTTCGTAGTTACTTCAAATACTGTTATTTGCGAACAGCATTTTCCTGCTAGTGACATCTTCAAACGTCCAGGAGGAAGTAGAAGTAGATTACGTGATGGTAAGAGTTTATATAAGTTGATTCAGCTAAGTTGTAGCTGCTTTACGTAAACGAGTCCATTCTCAAATTATAAACACAATGAACTGATAAAATATATTCATTTCAGGAGCTGAACCATCGATATTTCGGTGGACGTCTGGTATCTGTAAACAGAAAAGAGCGTCACCAAAACTACGAATCCCAATGTCAGTCAATTCGACAGACACCACAACTTCAAAAGTGACAACAACCGAACCAACAACCACCACAACTTCAAAAGGGACAACAACCGAACCAACAACCACCACATCAACATGTAATACGACTGTAAATATGGGCTACGAAACCTTTCAGAATTCGAATGAACCGGAGGACCAGGAAGTGTTTCATGTTGAAGCAATTCATTCAGAATGCTTGCCTTCACTTATGGTAACATAAACCATAATTAATTAACCATAGTTAATTATGCATAAACCTTAGAAAGTTGTCCTAAAATAACCATAAAGCTTGCATCTTTGTGCTGCAATGTTCTTTAATGTACATGGCAAACAACCTACGTTATCACATGAAAAAGCTAGTTTGTGTAAATAGGTTGAAACCAGTTTAATTTTGATTTCATATTTTTTTTAGTGTGATGTGTCAACCCAAACTGATATCTCATGGCCTCTGCTGTCCAACTGTGCACCTATTTCTCATGACCATAACTATGCATTTGAACTGAATAAGTCACCAAACAACAGCACTGAGTACATATTGACTATGGAAGAAAGGTTACAAGTACAGACTGAGATGGTTGATAATCTACAAAAGAAAGTTGGCAACCTACAACAAGAACTAGAGGAGTACAAAGATCGTGAATTTAAACTGGATAATTTTAAAGATGACAATGATGCAATTACATTTTACACTGGCTTTCCAAGCTATGAGACTTTAATAGGATTTTATGAATATTTCAAAGAAAAACTTGCAAAGCTGCAATACTGGAATAAATGCAATGCACCAGATTCATATGCGTATCAAGAAGAGGGAAGAAGAAAGCCTGGGCCAAAGCGAAAACTTTCACCACTTACTGAATTTTTTATGGTTTTGGTAAGATTGAAAGTTGGTCTCTTTGTTAAGGATATTGCAAGTAGGTTTGGAATATCTCCTGGACAATATTCCAGAATATTTTGTACCTGGGTGAACTTTCTAAAGCTAGAATTGCAGTTGGTATTTCCCTTTCCTTCACAGTATCTTGTAAGGAAGAACATGCCTGATCAGTTTAGATTGTATCCAACTACTCGTATCATTCTTGATTGCACTGAGCTTTATGTTGAAGTTCCATCTTCAATGCTTGCACAGTCACAGACATGGTCCAACTACAAGCATCATAACACTTTCAAAGTATTAGTAGGAATATCACCAAATGGTCAAGTGACATTTGTGTCAAAGCTATGGGGTGGCCATGTTTCTGACAAGGAAATCACACAACAATCAGGAGTGATGCACTTATTAGAACCTGGGGACAATGTAATGGCTGACAGAGGATTTGATATTGGTGGTATTTTGCCACCAGGCTGTCACCTGAATATCCCACCTTTTAAGGGCATCAGAGACCAGCTGACAGCTGATGAAGTCCAGGAAACAGCCCGCATTGCATCAGTGAGGATACATGTTGAGCGTGCTATTGGTCGCATAAAAGAACTATCATATTCTAGAAGGTACTTTACCTTTGAGTTTAGCACACGTAGCCGATCAAATATTTTTTGTATGTGCTTATCTTACTAACTTTTTAACTCCTCTTCTTGAGCCTCAAATGTGAAGTTGATTTACATCTACTGTCAAAAATATACAATATATGCTTATGCAAATGATTAATTGAATTAAATGATGTCATCAATGACAACTGAATACTGAAATAATAAACATGTGAGGCAATAACATTTACAATGATACTGTTACTACTACTTTGCAGTTAATAATATTCCAATTTGAAGTTGTGTTAACTAACTCCAGCATAAAAGAAATAGTTTTTTTAAATTCTCTTGGTTAATGCAATATTGTAGTTGTGTACATTTTACATACCATGAACTGTGATAAAGAATATATTACATAATACTGAGGCTGAAGTTGCTGTCAATGGAACTGTAAAATGGAATGTCCCCCTGATTATGAAAATCCATCTGTCCAATAATAGTTTGAAAGGTTATATCACAAGCATGTCTGATACACTCCAATAACTTAATATTCTAACACAACAGTAGAATTGATTCAAGAAGTAAACTCAAACAAAAAGCATGCTAAGCTATTAATATTTTACTTTTACTCTCAGTTTTTATGGTAGAGGCACTTGAACTTGCCATTAAGCAAAAACTACAAAGTACAAACTAATAACAAACCTATGCCACTTGTGGATTCTTGGTATATGGCTTTGACATAACTTATGATCTATGTCTATTCCTTTTTGTTGCATACAAAATGTCTGTCCTGGTGCAGGGAAAGTATCTAGGAACCCACAGTACCTGTTCATTCTTAGTTAATATAAAATGAAGAAGACTAAGAACTTCTTGTCGTGTAAGGCTGCCACCCTCCATGGTTATAAAGACGGACCCTCTTTTTAACCCTTCTTGTCAGAACTTCGGGTAAAAATGCCCGACGATAGAAGTAATCCAGCTTTGGTAGAACTTCCTTGTGCCACCACTGTTTGTCAAATACTATCCTTTGTATGTAGAGGTTGTCTGCTCCAAACCATACAACAAAATCTACCCATTGCAAACATGAAACATACATCTGCCCTTGGACTTGATAGTAATACTGGTGTCCTATCTTCAATGTAGGCATCCCAGGCTTCAAAGTCATACAAAAATTCTTGTCTTGACAAGCCTCTTCAATTGTCATACCTTGTTTAGAGTATGGACATTTGATTTCGAGGCCACCTTTCTTACAGTGTGCCAAAGGATCATAAACCATTCTGTCCAAGCTAGCCCCCAATCCTGGTCTAATCTTTGATATGTAAGTCCCAACTTTCCAAACTGTCAAGCCTGTGTTTCCTTGGGAGTGTTTGTATTTAATATAATCATTGATAGCATTATCTTCATGCATGTGACCATACTGTAATGCTGAAACATTAGTGGTTTCTTCAATTTTGTACATGATTTGCTTTAAAAGTTTATCAGGTTCAACTTTTCTCTTAGCAGCAGCTTTGAAATTTGACGCAGTTAGTTTCTCCTGTTTTAGTTCCTCCAAAAAGTATTGTCCTGGCCCGTGACAACCTTTCTATTCTTTCAACATCATTGTCAGTTATTCTCTCTTCATATATATCAATCATTGACTTGAATTTCTTTGTTGCAATGTCATAATCGTCATTGAATGGCAAGTCCATGTCATCATGTTCTGAGGTAAGTTCTACCATTTCTATACAATTAAGTGGTACACATTCACATGTACTGTCAACAATAACATTTTGACTGTCCAGGGTTGGCTTGATATCATGAAATAGAAAAAGAGAGCTACTTGGTAAGTGCTGGCTAAGTTTCACAAGCATAGAGTTTAATTTTGCTTTTATTGAGCACTCTATCACATGGGGCTCTTGGATCATACACACTTGATTTAACAGAAGTTCTGTTGTCCTTTCCATATCTGTACTTCACAATGTTGATGTCATCAACAGGTTTTGCAGCCACTTTACTATTTCTTGGCACATTCCATGCACACAGCCTTGAAGTACATGTAACTGGTTCACTGCGATTTTGTAGTCCCTGTCTGTTGAAGTCTTCGATGGCAAAGAGAATACCACCAACATGGTTGCATTGGCCATGGCCACCAGAACCTAACCTGTCAAAAATACATTTATAATAAAAATAATGAAGTGGTATTTGAGACAAGACATGAAATTACAGGTTCGATAAAATAATATAAACATGCTAAAAGACCTTTATATTCATTGAATTACATTGATTCAATATTTTACCGTCTACAATCGGATTCACACATTCATACATCACTGTATGGAAAGAGGTTTGCATAGTTTTGCACTAGTATTTCTACTCGTAAACATGTACAGTAGGTATAAACAATTCATAAAATAAGCAACTGAAAATACATCATATAATCTTACCCTGCAGGGCACTTACAAGCAGCCCTCAGTACTTCGCCTTTGTTTGAAAATACTATTGCGACTGAGTATTTTGTTTGCTTCATAGAAGCCAAAACTTCTCCTTTGATGTAGACAAGTCCTCCAACTTCTGCAAGCTCCAAATCTTTGATATGACCTTCGGCAAAAAAAACTGGAAAGCTTTCAATTTCTTATAGCCACTAGTCTTCAGAGCGATGTGATCATACTTGTTTGTTTGTATGACCAAGTAGTCGTATAGACGGACAAAGTCAAACGCTGGCAAATTTCTCAAGTCCTTCTGCCACAGATTGTTCCCTTTGACATCTCTAATTAGAGTATCATAGCTTAAGTCATTGTCTTTGCTCTTGTGTGGAGCAGATAGTTCTAAAAACTGCGCTTCTGCTGTCTTTGAAGTCGATGGAGTGTCACATGTGCTCGACGCCAAGACGCCACAAATTCTTTCTACCAGATCGCTCTTTTTCCCGCTAACTTTTTGACCAGACTGTTTCAGAATTTCCTTCAGCTCATATAAAGTTTTCTTTTGAAGTTCCTGTCGATTAATATCTCCCAATGTGAAGTGTTCGCTTGAATTTTCGCGGTCTTCTGCCATTACGAACTTGGCAACATTAGCCGATTCAGGATAAGCCTCAATTCCATGTTATCGCGCGACTGCGATAATTAGAGTCAGCCGCGATTCTAAATAACTCCCAACTGGACTATTGACTTAGCGCATATGAAAGTACTTTTTTGGGTCAATATGCTGAAGAAAAACGGTAACGCCGTAAGAGTCCAACCGATGTGCGCAGTAAGTTTGTTCTCTCCAGGAGTTCAAGTTTTTTTTATTCAAAAACGGTAGTGGCAGTTATTTAAAACAACGCCTTTCAAAATTGTAAAGAAATCATTACATCCTTTGCATTGTGAAAACAAACAGAGACAATATCCCTTTGTAAGCCTTGCCTGGGAACGCCTAATGTCAAAATATCAAATACACCAGACTTTTGATTAAATAAAAACTTCCCAATGTTTTATTAAAGGAAATAATATGCCATTGTTTATTGTTCGCCCTCAGCTAAGAATAAAGCGAGAAAAATATTAGTTGCCCTTAACTCAGCAGTCCTTAAATTGAAGCGCCGCAATATTTATAACTGTAGCGGGAACATGCTGCAGTTAGGCTCTAAACCACAGCAATGATTCACAACAGCTTCTGAATTTCCTCAGTTTAGTATAATCGAATTCTAATCTACGGTAAGGGCATCAAAGAAAGAAAAAAAGCGCACACTGTTTTTTACCCCGCTAAAAATAGTTGAAATAACCCCCCAAATTTTCACGCTACAGCAGAAATCAAAATTGCAAATGAACCTTCGCAAACCTTGAATTATGAATTTATCGATAGAAAAATATTAATGGGTAATGTGATTCTCGTAGTTTTTCGTTCAGACAGTGGTGTATAAAAAAAAGCTTGATGTTTTTCACTGAGATTCAAGTTTGTAGCTTGGCAAGTGGTGAGATTTCACACCACCAAAGTTTGTATTTCTCTTCGTCCTGATCGGTGGGCCATTTCAGAAATTAAAAGCACCTGCATCCAGTTCCAGTTGATAGCGATCTATTTTCCTCTGACAAGTCGTACTGGAGCTTAGCAGAGATCCCTTATGTTAATTGTTCCTAAGTATCGCGCTGTAAAAAGATCCGTTCAATTTCCCAGTATATTGATTGTCCTGGTGTTAGGTACTTTTCAAAGGAATGTCTTCTGTCTCCTCGTCCGAGATCTCCTCATCTAATTGATTATCTCGAGTATATTTTTTCCCGCAGAATCGATTAAACACGGCAACGAACACGAAGGAAAGAGTTAAGAAAATAAACAAATGCCACGCGAAAGCGATCGGCAACACTTCAACATTTTTTGGAGTGTTTTTCCAAGGGTTAGGGCCATATAGAACAAAAGCAATTTGGTAAAACCAAGACCCTTGCACAGCTATCAAAACAGCCCTTATTAGCGAGAACAATGAATGATGTTGCGTAAAAAAGACATCAGCGAGAAACAAGGCCGCTGTGATGAAAATCACGATGTAGAGAATGACGTGTAAGCGGACACTTATTTCTGAATGGCCTTGAAGGTGAAAATAGAAGAGAAATCCTTCAATCCAGAAACTCGCTGATACGATCACATAGTCAGTCATCGGCGGTAGAGGAATTATACCATACCACATCACAAGATCAACCACACCAGAGAGGCCGAAGAAACAATACATAGCGGCATGGCTATGATTATTGATGTTGTCTTCCACGAATTCTCCATTTTTGCCGATCAGTCTCCATGACTGGTGCAAGAAAAGCTCCCCGAGAACCCCCACAAACGCACAGAGCACCTTTAAAATGGGTTCCAGTGGAATTTTCGAAAGAGTCTTTCCGGGACATGGGTACCAGACAGGTGCGTGGGTTTTTAATCTCGCGCACGTTGTACCGCTTGAGCGAAGCAAACCTCGTCTAGGTTTCGTGTTCTGATGCTTTCGAATAAGAGTTCCGATGAAGGACCAGATGGAAAGGAACAGAAATATAGACCCAGGCACTGCGTGACCGATGAAGCTCCCCATTATTTTCAAGACACATGTACTAGAGGCTGATGTCGAATCAAGGGCGGTCAAGAGCGTTTTTATATCCACGGACCAATGTTATTATGGATTCTCGTGTAGCTATTTAGCATTCATGTTGACAGTTCACGACCAGCTGTGCCAATTAATTTGTCAATGGGTTCTGCGTTGAATCGTTGTTCAGCGAAAAAACAAAGCAAAAAATTTTTTTTCGCTTTTTTTTTGCACATGCCAGTTCCCTTTGGCTATGGACAGATAAGAAATTCGCCTCAAGGAATGTTGTTTGTTCTTTTCCTTTACGAGGTGCAATGCATGCAATCTTTTTTTGCAAAAAATTAATAATAAGTGAAACTGTTAAGAAAACGAGGTCAAATTTTCAAAGTAATGGCTTAAAAGAATACTTCCACAAGAAAACTTAAAACAAACAGAAAAAAAAATGACTCGCTACAATTTCACACCAGTTCTGTGTATGATTAACTATCAATTTCTCATTCGGTTTGTTGTTCTGCTTATTATTTGCTGAGGATAAAGTCCTTTAACCCTTTAACTCCCATGGGTGACCAAGATAGAATTTCTCCTTACAATATGAACACAGAATCAAGCAGACAAATGAGAACAAAACTCAATTAGGGGACTTACAAGTTGATCCAATACCAAATTCTCCGAAATGAAATTATAAGTATTTTATGGCAGACAGTAGGGAGAATTACTAATGAGATCTTGGGAGTTAAAGGGTTAAATTCTTTAAAATCTCAACTGCTGTTAGGGCTTGCTGGTTACTAAGGACTCCTTTGTAATTCCTTTGCCGAAATCTCGGAATACTTTTGGCTAAATCTCGAAGGAAAACGGTTATTTTACTTGTCTCAGTAATCGCAAATTTTGATTTGATTCATTAGTGTGGCGTAAGTTTAGCCTCTAAATGGAAATGAACGTCAGTAAAAAGAGCATCAAACTTCTCTCTGAAAATATTAAACAAAGGAAAATTTCCGAAACCTTATCTAAAGGAGGGAAATTATGATTTGATGCAATCAGATCAGATGGGATAAAACACACACACAAAAAAAAATAAAAAAGAAAATCTCAAGATGTTCTCAATCGATATCCTACTGGGTCATTAGAGCTGGTTTGTAGTCCGTTATGTTAGTGTTCAGGTGTTAATTTTCTGGTGCAGAGTTGATTAAGCTTACCTTGTTTTATTCATTAGTTGAAATTTGAGTGACTTATCAACTGATCACTCCGCCACTTTCAAGTTTCAACTCTCTCGTATGGTCATCAAAATCCTTTACGAATTTTTGTGTGTTATCTCTGTTTTCACTCGCCTCATACTCCAATCGATCATCGAAGTTGTTGTATATCTCCAGGCGAATATGGCCAAAACAAACCCCTATCCCGTATTGAAATGGAAAAATGATGAAAATATCAAAACCTAGTTTTAAAATGGCTTTAGGGACTGCAGCTTTTGAAAGCGATTAAAATAGAAAAGGTGTTTATCTTATGGATGAAATTATAAAACCAAAAGTTTCCAGCGTTTTCTATCCCTGTTCGTCTTTTTTGTCAAAAATTTCTCTCTTAGATGCACAGTCCCAATCAATAAAAGTGAGTTCTTGAGAATTCTATTTCAGTCAAATGGCTCTTACGTAATTTCTGCGATACACTTAACGTTATCCGCTGAACACGATGCAAGTATTAACTCGGGCGTTCATGGCAAAAAATTGACTCGATTTCTCTCGATGTTCTCTCAGGAAGGCCTGGATGTATTGTATTTTTGTCCGCTGAACATAATACAAGTGTTGACTCGGGAGTTCATGGCAAAAAAACCTCGCTCCGATCGCAGCGATCTTTTCGTACGAAATTGCTTCAACGTTAACCTTTTATTTTTAATGAAACTCACCTTTAATTCTGATTAATTACACAAAAACTTTGGTGAAAGGGTTCTTCCGCTCTATGATAAAAAGGGGTCAAAATGTTCCGAGTAACATGAAGAAAATGCGAGAACATTTATTGCCTTTTGTTTTATGATCCTAAGGGAAACCGCATCAAAGTGTTATGAAAAACAGGTTACATATGTCATTATAATTTGTCTATACCCTAAAGGAAACTTACACACGGAGTTTCGGCCCTTTAGATTAATTCGGCTATATATGTCAACATCTGCTGAACAGCTTACGTTTTCTTTCAATTGCAAATTTAGGATAGGAAATGTGGTTTTACCCGACTTATTAAAGGGCTCGTTGAAGTGTCATAAACGGCGGTACGTACCCTGCTTGTCGGAAGCTTAAGTATAAGTAATCTTAATTTCAGGTTTGGATTAATTACATTTACTTAGGTTCACTAATGTATTGATGACCATCTCACTTGTTTTCGAAGCACAGTGTTTAATAAAAAAACGAGAACGGTTTCAATGAATAAACTGCATCGAAGAAGGGGTGAAAGGGGTTTTTGCGTGTTGCTTGACCGGTGAAAATACGAAAGTAAAACCCCGTGAACTGTGAATATTTTGCTTTTCATGATACGTAGAATTTTTTTATCCGAATTTTCGTGATGCATTATTTGTACCTTTCGATTCGCGTGAAACGTGCGCTAGACCCCCCCCCCTTCTACCCTCCCCATCGAACAGGCATCGTGTGTAAGATAGCACTCATTTTCATGGTATTAAAGAATAATTTGGTTCTATCATGATCAAATGAGTTGATAATGTAAATTGGCAATCGTGAAGAGTTTTTAGAGCTGACGTTTTGAGCGTGGCCAATTTATATCATCAGCTCATGGTTGATAAAACCAAATAATTATCTTGCAAAACACCCACCGATGCAGTCAGGAGGGTAATGAGCTCCTGATGCAGTTTAAAACTTGCCTGGTTGTGTGGAATACCTTGTTATGAGAGAAAAAAAACCAATGATTTAATTTACGACATTTTTTCTATATTTTGTTGAACTTGTTCATCGTTTTTTCAACGCCACTCACCGTATAACACCCGTTACCATTCTGTCAGAAGGCCAAGCGTTTGCGGTCAGTGGAGCGAGAGCTGGGACTAAACGAAGTCTCCGCGCCTTCCCGCCTAAAATTAAAATTCGAACGATCCTTTCATGTTTCCTGTCGCGCAATAAATTTTACGCTCAGATGTTGATTTCTTAGTTATTTTGGAGGGAAAATGTTCGTGGAGAAACCCAAAGAAGAAATATACGATGTCATCATCAACAAAGTAAGTCTCTTAGGTTGCTTTTGCTTTTGCTTTTAGGTTACTTTTTTGAGTTTTTTAAACTCTCGGAACTGCGTGAACAAAATTCAACATGGCTGACAATTATTTTTGCAGCGTGTTTTGGTTCTTGTATCTATTGACTTAGACTCCTTATGTGCTTGCAAGATTCTTCAGGTGAGATATCACAATTTTATATTAGAAAGAAACTGAAAACAGCTAATTCGAATTAGGAGCGCGGCACGATTGCTTCCTGAGTGTAAACACGAATCACTTCTTTTTCCTCGCTCGGTATTGTTCCTCTTTTTATAAGGATACTGGCAAAGTTGGTTTGCGTTAGTTGAAAGGATTTTTCTCAAAGATTGTCTCAACCATTTTAGAGTGTAATTTTTATTTAAGTACAATTATCTGAGCTATTCGATCATCCTTGCGCTAAATGCATGTGTGTACATTTGTAACAATAGATAAACTTCATATGTAACCAAGCAATGAAAACGACTTCTGAAATATGAGCGAGGATTCCTCTCTAACCCTATTCTTAATTTGGTCCCCCTCCTTTTCCCTTTCTCTTCCGAATATGTTCCTTTTCCATATATTGTATTAAAAATCTCTACAATTCCAATTATTAAATAACTCTTGAAATCAATAAATTTTGAAAATTACTGTCAGTGATGTTACCCAGTTCATTCTTCATTTCTTTTGTTTGTCTTTTGATAGTGGCTGTTTAAATGTGATAATGTGCAGTACACTATCGTCCCTGTTAGCGGAAAAGAGGATCTAGTGAAGGCCTATCATGAACACTCTGAACAGGTGAACAACAAAAAAATGCAGCTTTGCTAATGAATTACCTTTTGATACGAGTGGGAAGTATTTATTTGTTTACTTATTTATTTATTTATTTATTTATTTATCTCCATCACTATGCATAATCTACCTACAGAAAAACATTACATGAAGAAATGAAATTTTTAGTTGACAGGGGAAAAAAGAAATTTCAACCACCGCTTCACCTAACATACCTACAGGAAAAACGTAAAATGCAGAAATGAAATTTTAGTCAACAGGAGACAAAATATATTTTGAAACGAACCCCTATTGCAACCACTTGTCTGTAAACTGCCAATTTTTCTAAGTACATAAGTTTTAGATGTTGGATTTGATTGGTTTTTCTTTGAACATTTTCAGTTGAAGCATATATTTTTGATAAACTGTGGTGCAAATTTGAACATTCTGGAGATACTGGAACCAGAGGAAGATGTCATGTTTTACATTGCTGACAGGTAATCAGGAGTCCTGTGGTATCTTGAGCAGAATAAAATCTGACAAATGTTTAATTTCACTTTCTTTCTTATTTTTTAAGTCACAGGCCTATTGATCTGGATAATATTTATAATCAGGACCAGGTTAAGTTACTAATGAAGGAAGGGGAACACCTCACAGTCCCTGACTTTGATGAGATTTATGCTGACTCAGAGGTAAATATTACTTTTACCAGTTCTCAGTTAATATATGCACTAAGATTAGTATGGCCTGCTAAATTCAAAAGTTTTTTAATATGAAATCTTTTAGCCCAAAGATGTAATAAATCTCTTACTAACCTTGCTTTCTTGGTCAATACTGTAAATTGTGGAACCTCATTTTTTGGGCTCAGATTTATGGCCTGCAGGCTTTGTGCTTGGGCCAGAAATCTGATTGGAAAAAAACTTACAGTACAAACCTCAAACTTAGTAAGAGGTATATAAGTAATGTTAGAATATCAGATAGTTTGGTTCTTTTCGTTTATTTTTCTAACATAGGAAAACTGGTTGTATTTCATGATGTGATTGTCATTAATGATTTTGCAGGATGAATTTGAAGACTCAGATACTGAGGAATCTGAACCCTCCTCAAAAAGAAGAAGAACAGGAGATGAGGTGATTTCTTTGTATGATACTCACTGCTACCAATGATTTTTAAGACCAAGTTGTGAAAAAGCTGTCACAGTTGAATGATTGAGGGAAGTTTTTTGCACACAGGTGTATTTTTTTCAACATAGGATTTTGGAAGTCACTGACTGCAAAATAACTTCTTGTGCATATTTTTGGCTTTTAGGACTCTCCAGTTTCAAAGCGAATGTCAAAAAGACAATGGCACCAAAACAGGTTATTTCAGTCATCTGATCATGATTATGATTGACTTTCCTTCTGCATTTTCCTCTTACTTGCTTCATTAGAAAAATGTGAATTTTTCACTAATGTTGAGGTAAAGGACATAGGCTAAAAAGGTGTCACAGCTCAGAATGTTACTAATTTTAATTATCTTTTACTTCCAAAGACAAGAAATTCTTTATCAGTACTATGCCTATGCTTTCCATGGAAGTTCAGTAAGTAAAGTACATCTTTTGTTTAACGCAACTTCACTTAAAGTGAAAAGGGAAGAGCATTTAATAATGCTAGTTTCTCTAATAAATGCTAGGCATTAAGACATACTAAGTTAAAAAAAAACAAACAAACATACAAAATCCAGCTTTCTTGTTGGATAAGATTGAAAGTGGTTTTTTCTTGGGCTTTGCCCGGATGGAAAGTGAGCAAAGAGGACATACTGGACCAAGTACATTGTTGAAACTTCTCTTTCCTTTATGATTAAATTTACCAACAAGTTTATGCAATTATTTTCCTTCAAGTTAATGCTGAATTATAATCAGCAGAAGTAACATAGCATTGAAGCAGTAATTTTTTGATGTTGTGTTCTCATTATTTCTCAGGCATCCTTGGTCATGTATGAATTGGCTTGGAAAATGAGTAAAGATAGTAATGACTTGCTATGGTGGGCAGCAATTGGATTGACTCATCAATATCTATATGAAAAAATTGATAGGTATAATGATTAATGCTGTATCATTAATTTGTATGTCTTGGTTGAACTTCTTGCTATTGTCTATAAATAATGTTCTTTGCCAAGAGTTTTTACTCGATTCACAAGTTTTCAAACACCTAATCACTGAGTATGAAAAAGGAAAACCAAAGCAATACCAGATTTCTTTGTAAACATGTAACTTCTTCCTGTGATATCCATAAATTATCCAGCAAACAGGTGATGAGAATACTCAAACTTATTTGGCAGACATTGTTATCTTGATCTAACACCAACTTCTTGTAAGTAATTCGCAAAGAAATCTGTAACAGCTAGAGGGGAGAGTTAACAATTAGATCACGGGAGTTTGTGAGTTGTTAAACTCACAAACCTTGAAATGTTTAGTTTGATTCTATATTTTGACAATTATCTTTTGTATAATTTCATCAGTGATAAGTATGTAACTGATGCTCAAAATCTCCATGAACATGTGATGAGGCATAATCATGGAACAGATGAAAATGGTTCTTCTGTGAACTGCATGAAGATTGTCTTTGATACTGAGTATCCTTTTCAATGAATGGAATGAATTTAATTTATCCTGTAACTTTTCAAATTAGTTAGTAATCATCTAGCAAGTTAAGTTGGCTTGCTCACAGACAAACATGCTGTTTTAGTCATTCTGTTGCTAGACCTTGTATAAGTAAGCCATTGCTTTTTCCTTGGATCATACTGTAGAAAAGCTAACTTTCACTGGGAGCTTCCCATGTTTATGATATGTCCAGTAATTAGTAATAAAAACCTAGGTAGAGTACATAAAGTAGGAAAAAAATAAGTTACTTGTGTAATAGCATGTTTCAGGAAAATGTAAGTTACTCAAAGACATGTAATAGCATGTTTTTCCATTCAGATATCATTAATGTTATTTTTCCATGCAAGCCTTAACATAATAAAATAGACTGCGATTGTCATTATACAGACATTGGTCTCTGTTTGACAGCATCTGTAACTCCCGCTATACAGCCTGCAGGTTCAGGGTTTGGACAATGAAAGGAAAAAAGAAACTTAATGAATTTCTTGCTGACATGGGGTAAGATTGGATGGATCATTTTAATATTAAAAATAAGTTGCATCTGGCTAATGAGTACAGGCAAGCAGCTTTTAGTTACCTCCAAGGCAGTTTGAGTTTATTTCACAAAAATGGCCAGGGTTGGTGGGAAACTTGGCAGACCAGTGTTAACACAAAATATTATTTTTAAAATATTAAAAATTAGTTACATCTGGCTAATGAGTACAGGAAGGCAGCTTTTAGTTACCTCCAGGGCAGTTTGAGTTTATTTCACAAAAATGGCTAAGGTGGGTGGGAAACTTTTTTGAACTTGAAAAATTAAATCCATGAATGTAGATTTTATGTAGCAGTGGATTTCTTAAAATTGACTTTCTTCTCATCCACTGTTTTCAGATGAAATTGAGATGTTTATAGTTTTGGTTTTTGTAGAGTGAGGAAAATTGGACGACAAGTCAACAAGAACAAGAGACTAAATCCAAATGCTTGATGAAAGCTTACTGAAATGCTGAAAACAATTTCAATAATATGATGGCTCATCCCAGAATTGTTTTATAGACTTTCCAAGTTTTTCAGTGTTTGTGGAACCTAAAATAAGTGCATTGTGCCACAAATATCACTTATAATTTTGAGAATTTCTGCCATTGGGTATTATTTCTTGTATGTACCTTAAATTTTTAATTTATAAGTTTATAATACTGAAAACAATTGTCTTCCTGTTCCTCACCTCATAAAATAAACCCTCCAAAAATAAAAGGAGATGTCCTTGGATTTGGTGATATCATACATTGTTGTTTTGTTACAGATATTAAAAGGGAAATTGATAGTTGTTTACATACTCATTTTCATCTTGTTGATTTTTGTTGTTGCAGAATCCCTCTTGTTCAGAGTAAGCAAAAATTTCACAGCATGGATTTTGACCTGAGGAACAACCTAAAAGGATGGGTTGAAACTTCTGCTGACAAATTTGGGTGAGTTGGCAAATATAATGGCATACTCTGCCACATGTTATAACATATATTGACATCTTCCAATTATGAGGTATTGGCAAACTGGAAGAAATTCATCTAGTTATTGCTGGTTTTGATCGAAAGCAAAGGTCAACTCCTTTTGGGTATTGAGTTATGCCCTTACGTATGTGTGAAGGGTTTGAAATCTGTATATGCTGTCTTCTCTGTCATCGGGCACTCAAACGTTTAGCTAATTTTGCGTATCGTCAATTCACGCGCATTATAACTGAATTTCCCTTCTCTAAGGCCCAAGGAAGATTGGCCAAAAACCAAAACTGGCTTGCCCCACTTGCGGACAGGATGGCCAGACCCACCAGTTCTCAGAAATGGAAAGTGGCCAATCCCTATATATAACTGTTAAAAATTATTACCAGGGAGTTTTAACTCATACTTTCAGAGATAGATCAGTTAAGCTTAAAAGCAATTGGGTCGTTCATCAGAATCTTTGTGTCCAGGAACACTGCCAGTCACCAGAAAAGAGCTATGAAGCCAAACGTAGATATGTTAGAGGTGTTTTCCTGACTAAGAGCGTAGAAGATTAAAGGATGCGAATGACGAGCTTTGATGATTTTGATGTTGATGTCTTGTTTTTTATCTTTGTCAAGGCTCGATGAAATGTCGTACGGAACATTCCACGTTCAGTATGGCTTCAAAAATAAGGTAACGACAAGAATTCCCCTAAGATTAACCAAGGAATGTGATACGACGATAAGAAATACTAGTTGTTTTTTTTAAATAGAAAAACCACCATGGATTGTTTTTTGTTTATCTTTCTGTTTGGTGTGTTGATTTTTTATCCAAAAGTAAATTGTCCTTCTTCGCGAACGTTGGAAATGAGAGAAATCTTAAGGGTTTTTCACAGGAAAAGGGCCGTGGGCGTGTGCAACTCTCCTAATAGGTGTCCTAGACCGGCATCTTACTTCGGGGCTCGTGCAGGGATCTAAAATCATGATGTAACTCCACAAAATCATTTTCAAGGCTCGGAATGCAGTAGGATTTTAGAATCTTCCTTAGAAAGTGATCACTTGTTCTGAGTCATGTGGGGTCAAATGCACCTCAACGCCCCCCTTTATCACGCCCTTGCCACGTGCCGCTCACCTTAGTGTTCAACTACTTTCCTTGTTTTAACAGCTTTGTGCAAGCGACGTTGTCTATGCCGTTAATGCTCTTTTGGAAGCTCCGGTAAGTTATTATAAAATAACCTCTCTCAACCAGTTCGTTGCTCGCTCGGCCAGGCCATAAATTGTACAAATAAATAGCTGATGGGTCTATTTCCACAGGAAACAGAAGGGATGAGCAAATGGGATCACTTTTTAGAGGCTCTAGATGCTTTGTCCAGGTACGAGAGGCGAATAATTCTTAAAACAAAATGCTTTACTCACTCGATTACAACGGGTTATTTTTAAGTTGAACAAGAATCAAATAAGTAACAGAAATTTGTTATTGATTATTAAAAATTATTAGATTTTTTCACGCGTAGTATGGGTGCTTATTACAGACATACTGGCCCTTTCCGCTGCTTAAACCTTTAACCCCTAAGAATGAATCACATCTTATTTCTCCCTACAATTTCACCCCTGAGTCACATATTAAGGTCATGAGAATAAAGGAAATGATCACCAACTAAGAAAGCTCTTGATTGTTAAACAAGTTCTCTTTGTCAGCAACTTAGGAAATGTGTAGAGAACAGTTTGGAGAATATGCATACTGATGTTAAGGTGTAGAGGGTTGAGGTTCATATTTCCTACTGTTAACATATGTTGTAATGAACCCTGATCACTTAGCTACAGCCTTACGACCTGCTTTTAGGAATTCGGCTTCTTTTTTGTACTTCAAGTCTCAGGATTTTTTAGTCTTTAATTCCTTATAAAATCCCTTCGAGATCAAAGTGTGTTAAAAGCAGTTGTAGTTTGCATCCACTGTTTGAGTCCCCTTAACCCTTTAAACCCTAAGAGTGACTAGCATTTAATTTTTCTTTAAAGTAATACTGCTGAATCATTAATTAAGATCGCGAAAATATAGGAAATGATTTTCAAACTATGGAACTTTGATTGTTAAATTAATTCTCCTTGTCATTACCAAAAGGAAAGTATGGGGAAGAGTATTGAGAATATGGATACTGATGTTTGGGTGTAAAGGGTTAAAGTATGTTTTGAAACCAACTTTTTCTTCGATATGGTTTTCTCCATTGATTAGCTATTTGAAACGGTCGTACTGTCGTTATCGAATCAACTGTATTTAGGGGTTTACTCTTGACAGACCTGACCTTTACTCTTGACAGACCTTGACCAGACCTTTCAGAGTGCTCTCTAAACTTCCCAAGTGCTTCATATCTCGATGAACGCACAGCTGACATATGAACCAATTGTTTTATAACATTTTCAACCCGATGGAAAATTTTTTCTCGAGGGATATGTTTGCTGACGTCATGAGCGTGCACAATAGGGATATGAAGCACGCTCGCGCAATTGAATTTGATTAGACAAATTTACTAGCTATGTTATAAAAACGTTAGTAACTGTTTTTCTTAGATCAAATACTGAGAAACTTCAAGAAGGTATCAAGCTGGGAAAGAAGCAAGTAAGCACTGTTTTTATCGGTAACGTCTCTTGAGAGTGCTCGACGACTTCACGGTTTAATTTTGCTCAATATTCAGTTGTTATTATGGAGCGTAGATGTATTTTTTATCTCAAGGTGCTGCACTGGTAACCGGCTGGATAGGAGGAGGCGTGCTTGCTGCAGCTAATCTAAATTTTTTCTATTCTTTGTAGTTGATTGCCGTCGTGGAGCAAGTTAGATCATTGATTGACATGCATCAAGTCATGTGTGCAGGTCATTTCCTCTATTCACATCTTAGAGAGGTATGAGAGCTGTTACACATGAGGGACCGGTCATTTTTTTTCGCGGGGGGGGGGGGAGGGAAATTTGGTAGTGTCGCATTGAAATTTAGCAATTTCCCCCCTCCCCAGGCTCTGTATTCTCATAATGATCCCACCTCACTGGCGGTCAATTTACATACTCTTAGCGACGACTGATCCCCCTCCGTACCCCCTGAAACCCCCCCTCCCCCCCCTCTTTGAAATAAAAAATTGTCCGACCCCCTCTGGCGATGTAAAACTGTATCTCGCAAGCTTGCTGATGTTTATAAGAGGAACTTGCGGTTTACCTAATTTCGTTCATATCATAATGAATTAAAATGATTTCCTTTTGTTTTTAGGGTATACCGGACTTGAACTTGTTTGGTAAGCCAGCTGTCTTAGGGGCGTTAGCTCGGTTCATCCTCAACGCTTATGTCGTGATGGTATGTCTTTCGACGCACACTACAGTGGGTAGACCCAGGAGTTTTTGATAAGGGGTTCAAGCTTTGATTCAAGAAACAGAGTTTTTAAAAACTAGAGCCTAAATAAGCTTAAAAATATTGAAAGACAAGTAAATGGAGATATTTCATTTTGATTATTGAATTGCGATCCTGTCTTTGAAAAAAATCGTTGTCAGATAACTTATTGAAAAACGACCAGGTCTGAGAGTAGCCGTAGCCAATCAGATTGCTACATATGTGATAGAACGCTAGCACATTATGAGACAAAACGCTTGTAGATTTATGCTCAGTGCCCGTAGAGATCACTTCGGTTTTCCACTTTGGTTTTCATGATCATTGTATTTGATGTACACCGTATTCTAGTCTTTAAGATTATACCAATCCTTTCTCTGTCATAATGAAGTGAATCTACATTCATTCGTTTGCTATTTGTGACATAGTGAGATGATGGCGTCTAAATTTCAGCTGATTTTATTTTTGTTTTCGTCTTTTGTCTTATTAAGTCCAAAAACAAGAAAGCAGCCGCTCTTCCTTTCGTTCTTGCAGCGCCCTTGGACTCAGAGAAAGGTAGGGATAGCAGATGTTAACGACTACAAGACTGGGAGGAAAGCTCTCTGTGACTGCTTTGGTTTTACTTTATTTCGCTCTGTGATTGGTGTAGGTAACTTGTGCCCTACTCTCAACCAATCAAAAGAACTAAAATTAAAACCAACCGCGACTTGGTTACTCGCGTTTTCCCGCGCTTGAGGCAGTTTGCCTGTTTTGACTTTGAGTTTTCATTGGCTGGTGATATAGCCAACCTTTGCTCTGATTGGCTCTAAAGATTCTGACGATGACATAAGCCTGTGAGTGTCCATTAGCCTTTGGTAGTAGTGTCGACTTCAGTAACTTGTGGCCAATCATCTGAACAAGTACTTTCATTTCGAGCATCTCACTTGACAAATAACAGTGTTTCTGACTTTTTTCAATTTTACTTTTGTTACCAGGGACTTGCCTACTCGTTGGCGTGCCTCCGATTGCTGACGATTCAGGCAAAAAGTAAGTTCCTTAACTTAGTCATGCCACAGCGGTTACATGAGCAGACTGGAGAACTTAAGTAGAGACGTTTTGAGACACGGACGGCCACCGGAAGAAAAATAAAACTAGTTTTATCCTGTAGCGCTTTGACGCCAACGTATCGACTATAAGGTCGTCGTTGTAGCATTTTATACCAAAATACACTGACAAAAATGGTACGCTGACAAAAATGGTGCACTGAGAAGTAGGAATGAGAATTTAAACTTCCGGTTACCATCTGAGTTTCAAAACGTTTGTGCTTAAGCTCCTTTCTACCTCTTCAAAGCACATACCTGTCTCTACAACAGCCAATTTCCTTTGTTCCCCAGAAAGACGTTGTTAAAATTGTTGACTGTATTAAGTTTATTATGTTTGTCCGTTCACCTTTTTCTTTACAGTTTCTTGGGAAAGGCTTTTGAAATGGCTGCGAGCAAAACAAAGTCTAGGACAATTCACGACCACTTTGACCCAGCAGGTAAGAATGAAGTGCTTTGCGGAAAAAATTAAATTAAAAACTTTTATGATGAGCATGGACCATTTCTTTGTGTGTTGTCTTTCTTAACATAGAGAGGGGAGTTTTGTGCTAGGAGCTACATATAGATTGATGACTAAATATCATTGTTCTGCTTTTTTTTGTCATTGTTCTGCTTTTATTTTGTCATTGTTCTTTAATTTTTTTTCTTTTTGTCAAAATGAAGTGTGTTCGCTTACTAAGTACTTGTTCTTTTGTTATACTTTTCAAACAGAAATTATTTTCTTCTTGTTCTAGTGATTGAAATGAAGAGTGAAGACCGTGGAAAGTTCTTCGATGCCCTATCAGCTCTACTAATACCAAAATAAAACTAAAGTATCTGTAGTCATAGTCAATCTTTCCCCTTTTTTCTCATGATTTTTTTGTTATCTGTCTGAAGTCTTAAGGCTTAGATATTCACTCAGAGAATTCCTGCAGACCTGTTAACTGAAGTGGGTCACTAAAAAGAAAGGAAAGGTTGAAATCACTTAATCCGCCTGGACTCTTAATAATTTAAGATAGAAAAGTCTTAAAACTTACATTTACCTTAAAACTCGATGCTTGTAGATAAAACTAATCAAAGTCTCGTGGCAAGAGGCAGTCTCTGAATTGCGTAAAAGTATGAGAAAATTTTCTGCGGAGTGAAATTTGCAGCCAGACATTGGTCAAATTTTAGTCTGAATTTATCCTCTATTTTTCGATGCCAAAACCAACGTGTCTGGAATTGTCTATCTTCAAGAATTTGTTGGTGTGCTTGGTTAAATGGTTCCATTCCATTTTATCTTTGCAGCGTGACCAGAATAATCGGTGTTCTGGGAGATTCCGGTCCAGGTTCTCGCGCTTATTCTCTACTCGGCATGACTTTGTACATAGTAACAGAAATATCATTTACGTCCGTCTTTGGTGTAGTGTTAATTTGTATGATTGAATATCCGTGAAATACGCTCGCTTTATCTTTTGCATTGTTAAAGATTGAATTAAACGTTTGGCAACCAACCGAAACAACTAGAATGTTTCTTAAGCCTTCCTAGTTAAGGGTCCACAGACCAAGAATTATTTTGGGGGAGTACGTCTGGGCGTTTTTACATAATGTCAGGTTGGCATTCACCCAGCAAATTTCATGCTTACTTGCTTACAGACAACAATTATATTCATGGCTCGATTATCATCAAGAATCGGTACTAATACAGAAACGTCTTTTTATCGGTGGCGGCTTCTGTAACTGCAAATTTTACAGGGCGCAGAGAAAATGCTAACAGCGTAAGTACCATAGAATGATGTTGATAAAAAATAATAATAAAAATTGGAATTTTACAACATTAGCTCGAAGGACTCCAAGGGCTGGTTATACCTCGTAGAAAACGCAACGCGACAACTGCATCGTAGATTCTCAGGGGCGGATCCAGGATTTTTCTTTGGAGGGGTCGCACCAACTGGGAATGGCGCAGCTACACTGACAAACAGAAGGGCTCACGCTCAAAATTTCAGTGCCGAACTACCATTTTTACGCAGTTTAACATAAATCCTTCAGCCTCGTCTCGTTTTAGCTAAAAAACCAATAAACCACAGAGTTTTCTTTGTTTTTTGTCACCCTACAGGGGGAGGGGCGCTGTCGATTGAAGCCAAAACAAAACCAAAGTGCATTTCCCTACATTTGATTATCTTTCGAGAAGAAGGGTACGCTTAGTTTAATATCTATCATAGGTCGAGTCCTATCCCCCCGCACACATACACATTCACACGCACACACACCTGGTCTGCAAAAATAGTGATATTCAGGATTGCTTTACCCACAGCTCTGTTGCTCCGTTTCAAATCTGCCTTTCATTGTATCTTTATTTCCACTTCATCAGTTTGAATATTTGAATTTTACACCGCACAAAGCAAAGAATTATTTGCCACCCCGTACTTTTCAAAGCCAATTTTTTGGCCTGTATTTTAGTTGTAAGTAAATACGAGTACTACTAGTTTAGATTATAGGTTCCTCCCCGTCAGGCTCCCCGCCGCGCTCCAGCTGTTATTTTCTCAATCTCCTTATGCCAAGTGTCAAAGTTCCTGGTAAGTTTTTGCGTATTCATAGGCTTTTTGTCAACCCCTGCCCTTTAGTTATTGATGAAAGTTGAGGTGGATGTTAAGAAAATCAAACTCAAAGCTTTTTCGCGAAAAGGTTTCTGTTTGATCAGTAAAGTTTTAACTCCTACAGACCTGGCCGGTGTTACTTATCATTTACTGACTTCGTTTTGATCGACGTAAAGTTTGATGTTTTCTTCTTTTGTGACGTAACAATATGATACGCAGTTTGACAAGCAATATTTCAATCATTCTTAGATATTTGCCTCCCCGCTATCAATGTTTTTTTGTAGATTTCATGAATAGTTAGCGAAATTGAGAGCTCTAATCTTTCGATAGGCAATATTTTACGTACTCACTTATAGGGAAATGCGAACTTGCGAAAAATCAATTTATTACGCAAGCAAAAGTAACATAATTGACCAATCACAAGCCGTAAATTGGCAGCGTTTTGATACACGCGCGTTGAAGCGTTTGTTCGTAATTTGTTATGCTTTGAGTTCAGCTTGGTGATTGTTTCGCGGTAATTGTGGTCTAGCGAGGGATATTTCTTGATCTAGGTGATTAAGGAAAGTCATTACCTCAAGCTGTGCCAGAATGATATGTAAATGTGGACTGGAAAGTCAAGCTGTCTGTTGCTGAAGCCGTTCGTATTCACCCCGGCCGGCTGAACAAGGCTGTTGACCTTTGACGAGCTAGTTTGTGCTGTAAAGTTTTCGAGGAGTACATCACAAAAGACAATACAGCTGCCTCTACAATTGAGTCTTCATTGAAGGTGTCAAAATGGAAGTGAAGGTATGTTTTGGTTCCTTACTTATCCAGTATGTTGTCAAGCACCGGAGAACCGACTCGTCTTTTCCAGACGTTGCGCGATCGCGGGTGTAATGTTATTTTATCTGACCGATAAACACGTCTGATGAATGAACGTCGCACTATACCGGCCTATCTGTGCTAATTTTCCCATTTTCCCGTCAAGTTATTGTAGTGTTTCAGTACTTAAAAATTCAAGGGCTTTAGAAACTAGAACAGACTGATTACTTATCTACTGCTGACGCACTAGCTCACGATTCTTAGTTCACTGTTTCCTCCGATTTTATCAACAAATCTGTGAGCCGATTGAAAACCCCTGCCTACTGTTGGTAAGATATTCATATCTACCTACGAATTAAGGCAGTTTTGTGCTGAAATATGATCAAATCGCGGAAAAGTTTTAATTTTAATTTGGGTTTTTAATATCTTCGCTAACGCTGACTTAAATATCAAGGTTATCGATAGACGAGTATATATAGCCAAAGGGAAAATTAGTTGTAACATGGTAAAAGTGTTTGGTTTAGCAAGTATTTGAAGTTTCGAAGTGGCATTTTTTCATGTTCTAGCCTCAAATCCCTTGAAGTCTCACAAAAGAAAATTTAATCTTGTTTCTGTTACGGCCGATCAGCACTGGCAACCGGGTGGTATAAGACAGGATTTATTCAAGTGCTGTCAGTATTATATTGATGTCGTCTAATTATTAGTTCACGCGCATCAGGCAAATCTAATTGCCCAGTCTGTTCCCGTTGTAATAAATAAAGAATTAGCTTGAGGCGCTCTCTTTCTACTCTTATCCTTTTGCGGATCTCGCAATTTTATTTTTTGTAGGGGCATAAGATAATTTTTTTCCATCTGTTCACTTTTAAGAGCTACTATCCGCCTGTTATCAACAAATTCTTTAGTATTAGCGACCATTTGCAATAAATCGGTTTTTGATACTCTTGATATTGCACCCAATAACTCTAACACTGAATAACCTTGAATGGTCCAAGCCAAAATATTCATGGTCTGTGTTTCGAGCAATATTGCACTCTTGAACGTGTTGAAATTTTTCATTCTCTATTTCTCAGCAGCCCTAAGCAATGACTAACTGAGCTTTTTTGGTAGATTTTAAGAATAGTGTTACAGGTGTACCAATATTTTTTTTTTCTGTGGTGTACACACCAAATAGTATCATAATAGATATTTGCCAGCATGGCCAAAAGATAGACTTTTGAAGACCTTTTTCGGTTAAAATAAAGAGAAGGAAATAACAGCTGTGTAGACTTGTTAGTCTTTGGTTATAATTATCCAGGATTTTCATGAAAGCATCCATTGTTCAACTTCCTTCCTGCAGTCAGTGCTTTTTCTTTCATTAGCCATTTGAAGACAAAACTTTTTCAGTATGAACTCAGGCCAAGGTGTTGCTTTCTGTCTGTAAATACATTTATATTTTGGATATGATTATAAAAATTTTTTTCTTTTATTAATTATGAAGAAAAGTTTATTTTACTGTCTGTAAATTTAAGTTACATTTTTGAAAATTAAGGTGAAAATTCTGTGTTATCATTTATGATGCCCTTTTTACCATTGTTATTGTCCAATTGCAATGGAATATTAATAGTAAATACCACTTTGTAGTAGAACAAATCTTGGAAAAGCTTTGACTATGCAGACAATTGGTTTCAAATGTTACATTTTTAATCCACTTGTCAGTATCTTTAACCCAGACCCTGTATTATGTGACCAACTATAATGCATGGCAGACAAGGACTCAAGTCTGTTATTTGTGTGTCTGACTACAAGGTCTCCAAACTTGCAATCTTTCTATGCATAGTTTCTACAGATGTGAGGTGAAGGTATGTCTAAGCTCTTGATCTATTAGGATCCTTTGAAAAGAATCCAGCCATGAGACATTGAAATCTGAAGTTGACATTGCATGGAAGGAACTCCAAGGTTATGATCCAGTTAGGTTTCCAAGCTCTCTTGTCTGAGCTCTTAATCTTTTGGGTACCTTTCAAGAAATTACCTATCTTCAGATAATAGTGTTAAAATTGGAGTGGAAACAGGCCTTTTTTGTTGTTTTTTTTTACATACGTATGAAACTTATTGAAACTTAGTAAGACTAGCCAATGTGACAGAGACTGAAATGGACAAAGGAAGCACTATTCAAGGCTTCCAGTAAGATGTGTAGTAGAACAACGGGGGTGTAGACTAGTACTACAGGACAGAGGAAGATTCTCCCCATCTCAATCAAACACAACTCAGGCTATCAAAATTTACGCAAAGGATTACATGTAGCAGCAAGGGAATTTTTTTTCAGATTTCTAACGACCTCTTGAGTTACATTGTATACACTTTGGTACATTAATTTTGGAATTCAGGTTGCAATAACCAATTTTTTTTTGAAGCAAGAACAAGGTTGTTGTGGTGAATGGCAGAACCTTTCAGTCATTTAAATCTACAGAATATCTTGTTCATAATTGCTCTGCATGTATATCAAAAAGAAACATGTGGCAGGGGTATCTGTCAATGTGCCCTGTGTAAGAATCAAACTTAAGTCTTTATTTTTGCTCTCAAATTACAGTGTACTTTCTAAAAATTTTTTTTGTCGGGATTCCCTGATTTGAGACAAAAAACTGAGTTTGTTTTTGTACACAATTATAATGCTGGAATGACTTACTTTGTACCAAAAGGTGCTTGAACCTTCAAAATGAGAACAGCATTATTTTAGGAAAAAAGTTGGTTGTCCAAGTTCATATTACACTGTTGGTAACTTATGTGCTTTAAATGAATGAGACTAATTGAATAATATCCCAAAGATGAGCCAGTTTTCTTAAATTTTGTTTTCATAAGGAATTCAGTTTACCTAGCAGGAAGGAAATCAGGATTAAAATAAAAGGAATTGTGGATTAGGGTTAAGTTTTCAAATCAGGTTACTTTTTGAGAAGTTAAGGAAAAAATGTGAGACTGCAGATTTTTGAATTTGTTACATTTACTCACATGTGTTGGGTTAGAGTCAGTTTTGCACCAGCTTGAGATTCGACTGTGATGGGAAGTCTGCTCAAAGAAGATATGAAATGTTTCTTAAGGCTCTATTCCCTAAAAATAACAGTTATTACAGGAATAGGATACATGTATCATGCAATGTGCCTGTTGTTACCTGACTTGTTGTTGGAAAGAGGAATTTTTTATTAGACTATCATCTGATGTAGAGTTATGGTCAGCAAGAGCTCATTTGATTTTTTTTATGTGGGAACTTGCTGTGTTCCTATTTTCAGGCTATGATGAGTAAAATTTGCCTGTAGTACCTCTTAGTACAGTCTAAAATTGGTTGGAATTCTTGAAAATGCAACAGATAAAAGGATTGCTTTACCTATTTGAAAATATTTTACCTGTTGTGCTTAAAATAAGGGAGAACAATGAACTTGATTCACATATCAGTTACTGTTTCAAGATTATGAGCATACAATGGTATATTATTCTCAGAACTACATGTATTATATGATACCTGTTGCCTAGACATAATACGGGGTACTGACTTGGTCTGCATACACTGGAGGGTTATTTCACATGACTGCACTTTTAGGGACTCTGAGCATTATAGATTGGAGTCATTGGACAGGTGCAGATAATTGACAAACTCAATTTTTTCAGACTTTCAATCTCTGAGTTATACATATTCATGTAATTCAATGTTAAAGGATATTTGTTCAAGATACCAGTGTTGAAGATCTGAGATAAAAGATTTTGAGTTGGTGTCTGAATGATCAGCATGAATAAAAAAGGAATTAGTTATAATTTAAGAACAGAGGTTGAATATTCTTGTTTTTGTCAAAGGAGTTGACATAATTTGTAACATTCAAGTCTCTCAGTTTTAAATGGCTAGATGACAACATCATTGCATTCTATATTTCTTTTGTTACAGTGATATGATAATACTACTTACAAAAAGGCAACATCAGCAGCCATGGAGCTTTTACTTTACGTTATATGTTAATTAGAGCTTGATGATTTTTTTGGGGTTAATTTGGCAAGTAGATGCAACTTTAACGAGGTACACAATGAATACTCCTTATACTTGACAACAAGTATTTGACCACATGACATTTGTTTTCATCTTCACACTAATATTGTTTTAAAAAGCATATTGAATTGTTTTGAACTTGAACTTGGAAGCACTATAATTAATCTAAGTTAATATGCAAGCCATGGTAACCAAAATAATGCAACAATCAAAAATAATTATGGTTGCATATTTTGTAAAAGGTGTTAATGAATTTTTTATTAATTTTTCAGAACCTGCAGTTTTGTTTCAGAATGTGTGATTAATAAATTACTGTTTTATCTTATTTGAATTCCATTTTAAAGAGGTTGTTGTGAAAGAATATTGTTGAGTTATTTGCATGGTTACTGGTATGTAAATTATGCAGTATCTTGATTTGGGTGCAATTTGCTTTGTAAATATGTTCTTTAAAATTGGTTGTGGATTTCAATAACTTGACTTTCACATGGATGTGTGACAGGAAATAGAATTTGCATACTTTAAAGTTCCCTTTAATTTGTGGTTGTGTGATTAAAAAAGGAATAAAACCAGTTCAAAATGGAAAATGATATTGCTGGCTGTATAGGAATCCTGAATAGGTTTCTCTTGAAAATCTACAGTTAATGTAAATCCTCAACAGCTTTTTATGATGATTTTGAGTTTCTACATTTCCCTCTCCTCATGGTTGAAAACAAAGCGGTTGTTCCTTTTTAATTAGTAATTTACCATGTCAAGTCAGTTTTCAATTTCCTGACTGAGTAGGGTGACAAACTGGTTAATATTCAACAATTGAGCAGAAGCTTGAAATTTAACCAAGGCACCTGTAGTTTATGAGACCTCAAGGGATGAAATATGGTTTTTATATGCATAACTGCTGTAAACAATAAGGTAAGAGTGATAGTCTGAATGAATATTTATTCATTGCAAATGAACCCAAACTAATTAGTGTGGCTAATGATTGCAAGTGGTTTAGTTGACAACCTGAAGTGAATTGACTGTGTGGTGTAAGAGTTGCTTGAGTCTTTCTAATGCTTTCACTTTCTTGCGGCACTGGCAAATCTAATGGCTTTGCAACCTTCTCGCTACTTGTTGTACTATCCTAAACAACCTAACTTCTGCCAAACAGCTTGGAAAAGGGTGCCTAAACAGAGATTTGTGAGTTATTGTGTGAAATCATTGTTATGTTATCGGTGAATCACTTGTGAATGCTGACATTTTTGAAGTAAATTAGGTGACTCATGCGGAAATTACATCAAGATAAAGTGTTCTTCTGTAAGAGACAGATTTGCATTTTCACAATTATCAGTTTGGAATTACAGCAATTGTGTAGAGGTGATTAGTTTTAAATCTGCCATTGTTTTGTCAATGGTTTTTTTGTTCAGATTTCTTTTTATATGAAATGTTAGTCTAGTATTCAATGAAATTTTGTAAGGTACATGCTAGGTCTTAAAGATAGGTACAAGACACAACTGTTTGTTAGAAAAAATACTTTGTACAGTCATGAGGTACAAAAGTGACTGAATGCTTTTCCACAAACACTTATTTTGCTATTAATAGTACTTAGCTTCAAGATATTATTTGCATTCTGTGTACAGGATTGTTACTGCAGCTGTAATAACTACATTGTAGCTGGAATATAGAAAGTCCTGACAAGTGAGACTTCAGCTGACAGTGAAGGGAACAAAATTTAGAAATTCTGAGAGAATTACAATGGGACTTATTTAGCTTGTTGTTTAAGATTTGCACATTCTCAACAGATAATCTCTTTGGGGTACATGTGAATTGTTTTTTTGGCCTCATTGTGATGCATTCACAGTATACTTCAAATTTAATCAGCCTTTGAAATGAAGTAAGCTAGTGAGTACATCTGTGACTATTGCAGGCAGATAAAGGTAGTTGTAACATTAAGTGTAATATATTTTATTAATATATGTATACACCAGCATCGTGAAGATATGAATTAAAGAAACCTGAGTTTATTTAGAAAACAAAAAATTATTTGTGTGGCAGCTTGGTGGAATAAGATAATTGTTTTGAAAAAGTTTTACAAAGTATTTTTTCTGGCAAACAGTTGTGTCTTGTTCTGAGTTTAAATGTATGTCAACATGTCTGTGGCTTAAATCAAAATCGGGGAAATCCATCATTGACCTTATAACACTAGGTCATTTGTTTGCATGACAGTGAATAACACTAATTACCCACATAAAGCAGCAAAAACTAAATTTTGACCTGATCAAATCTTATTTAATTTTGCATACAGTGTGTAGTGTCAGAGACTAAAGAAGTACATGTATTTTTTAGATGTGGAAAATTGTAGTTTCTGGTTTACTTCAAATCCTCTTGTCATCTTGTGTATAATTTTAATCTTGTGTATAATATTACAGAATGCTGTGTGGTATGTGCACTGGCTTGTTGCCTTTTATAGGCAGTCATATTATCTACATTGAAGGGAAACTTATAGTCTCTACTTAACCTTTACAGCCTAGCATCAGTATGCATATTTTCCATATTGTCCTCCATACATTTTGTAAGGTGCTGATGGGGAGAAATGGTTGAACAGTCAAGAGCTTCTTTAATGATTATTTCCTTTATTCTTGTGACCTTGATGGAGAAAAACGATGTTAGTTACTCTTGGGGGTTAAAGTGTTAAAGGAAATGTGAATCTGTCTGTCTTCTGTCAACCATTTTTCACTGATGACTTTAACAGATGGAAAAGAACTTCAGTCTTAAGCAAATCCTAAGTACAATAATTGCAGCCCACTTTTCTAGTAGCACCCTTATTTGAAGCAAGAGGTAGCAAACTATTTGTCTTTTGGTCAGGCACATACTTGTTACAAGGCTGTATGAATGAAAATCAACTAATGATATACTTGAGGATGGAAGGAGAGGGTGAATTACTGTAGATGTACTGCAGGGTTGACAACTCTTATGTTGTTTTTCACAGAGTGATGGCAGCGATGAAGAAATGAAGGATGATATTGATTCTGTGCGTGGTCTGTTAGACAGGTTCAAGGAGGACAAGGAGGGGGGACTTCTTAAAGAGGTGACTTGCACAATATGACCCTTTCTTTGAAATAATACTAGTAATTTAAAGTAAGAGACAAAATCCTTCCGCAGTCACTTCCACAGCCAAGATTTTACTCATGAAGAGTCCTCACCAAAATTTTCTAACTGAACTGTAGTCATTGCATAACTTGTATGCCCATTTTAAAGTAATTAAAGTCTTTGAACAATTAAGGAAAATTGCAATCCAGGCAAAGTCTACATACAGCACAGCCCAGAGTTAGATGGCCAATGCACGTGCAAAACCTTTGCATGTTTTTTTTGCCATGTATCTCTGAGCTATACTGTAAGTATATAGGGCTACATTTTTCTGGGCTCTAATGATCAGGTTTTCTAATATTCCAGGGCAGAAAAAGTTGTTTTTCTCTGATTGCATAAAAATTGTATAATGAATGAAACACTCCTCTCCAATTTGAATTCTGCAATCATCTTCCTGAAATTGAACCCCTCAAGGCCTGCACTTAAAAATAAATTTGGTGCCATCTAGGTGGATACTTCTTACAGCTATGAGTATCATGGCCATTTTTGTTCAGTTGTATGATCTGCAGTGAAATTATTAAAGTAAGGAGTTTGCCGAAAAAAAAAAAAAAAGCATATTTCCAGGGTTTAAGAATGTGCAGTTGATTTATTCCAATTGCTTTTTCTAGACAAGAAAATCAGGCAAATGCTTGTAACCAAAAATGAGTTGTTACTTACACTTGTGAACAGGTTTTTTTACTTTTTTCTCACATAAAATGTTTTTCTGCCGTTATTTAGACCTCCTCAAGTTCAACTAATGAGGATGGATACAGCTCAGGTATGATCAATGGATTGTGATTTATCAATTTGTATAGAGTATGTGTATGTTTATAATAATCACTAGCCTCCATTTTTCAGAACAGTATGTTCAGTTCTTGGTCTTATCCCAGAGGGGTGTGGTGTTAACCCCTTTAATTCACAAGATCTGATCGCTTGTGTCTTTCCAGTGCTTTCACTTCCTCTCACAGGCAAATCTAATGGCTTTGAAATCTTCCAGCCACTTGCTGTTCTATCCTGAACAACCTTATACTTCTGCCAACCAGATTGGAAAAGGGTGTCTAAGCAGAGATTTGTGAGCTATTGTGTTGTTGTGTTGTCAATAGCTGTTGCACACCTCATTGTTAATTAGTTACATGAATTTGGTATTCAATCAAGAAAACAATATCCACTTGTTAAGCTTGAGTATTCTTATTACCCATTTGTTGGAAAATGCATGGATAGTATAAGAAGAGGTTACATGTTAATCACTTGTGGGAGTTTAAGGGTCAAGAGAACATAGCTATAGGGACAGTCAGTCATGGGAACAGGTAGTGTGCAGGGCACAAATTTATCAGCAAGCAAAAATTGGAGAAAAGTACCACACAGTTCAGTGCACAGGTTATTCATTGGACACCTCTAAACCATTCATGAGAAAGTGAGAGTGTTATTTTGACAGATTTTAACTTATTTTGGTGTTCCTCAGTCAGAAAGCAGTGACATCAGTTTTGTAAGTTGTAACTATCAAGCGCCTATTTGTTTATAAAGATTGTGGCAGCCAAATTACATGAACTAACTTATTGTTGCATTTCACCTTTTAAATGTAGCTGGTGAAAGTTTGGTTAGTGAACTTGTAAAGAAATCAACAAAATCAACCCTTGTGATGAATTTGAAACCTGTTTCCAAAACAAGGGATTCATCAACAAAGATGGGTTTGGGAGATGCAGCAGCAGGGGATGATGAAGGAGAATCTTCTGGTAAAGGAGTTTCACAGAAAAGAAAACAGGATTCATTCTTAGTTGAAGTTCAAGAGAGAGCTGAGGTACTGTTTATTGAGCAAAATGAGCAGAGTGATTTCTTACATTTTAAGGTGGCTCTGTACTCACACAGTGCTTCTCTCTGCTGCCGATTATTTTAAGTGGGCACTGGCAAACTGTTTGGCTTGGGTGGCCAGTAGCTATTTGCATGAGATTGGGACAGAAATCAAGCCCAGCTTAACAAAATTCTTTTGGTTTTATCGTAGGTGATAAGTAAAAGTGCTCGAAAAGCTCCAGAAACATTAGTATCATCAATTGGACAAAATGTTGAGGGCGATCCAGATACGGTAAGTACAATAATATCTTAGAGGGAAGGGAAGATTACAATGTACACACGCTTTTTTTTAAAATAGTAATTTACATAAGTTTAATTGCTCAGTGGCGATTCATGGTTAAGAATTACCTGATATCTAGTCATAATCGCCTCTCGCAGAGTTCTTACGTTAATGAATGCTAATTTTTGAAATTAATTTTTTTCTTGGTTTAAAAAGAGATAATGAAAGATCAAACAGTTTCTCCCATAAACTCCTGAGTGACAGCTCAATTTTTACATTTATTCTCTCAATGCTCAGCTTATGTTGTTGAATAAACCCCTTGGGTTCTTCCTGGGGGACTTAGCGACAACATTCACTTCCATTGCAGTCTATAGGGAATTGTCTCAATACTGAATATTTGTTATGCTAAGAACACAAATGTTGTCAAATGCAAGTTGGACAACAATTGTGAAGAATTTATTTTTAAAAGGGTCGTAAAATTTATCGGTTTCTACTTTGACTTTTTTTGCCGCTCTCTGTGACGTTTTTGTGTCCTATTAACGTACGACATATTTTGTGGGAGTGTTTGGGAATTCTGTGAACTTTCTTTACAGCATAGTTTGCAATAAATCTTATTTTACATAGCAACAAATGAGAGTCGCAAAAGAAGCGCGTTACCGTTTGTAATCAATTCGATTTACGTGTTCCGTGTGTTTAAATAAAACCACTCGTTTATTTATTTTATTTTCGTTTACTTATTTTTACTTATGTTTTTACTTATATTTACTTTACTTATTTTTTGCAGGAAGAGTTTCTCAGAAAGATCCGAGCTGCACCATCCTCATCAAATGAATTTCGTGTAAGCAGAAATGTAATTATTAAAGTAACATTTGTTTTTGTCCTCTCAGTATATTATTTAAAGTGGATTTTTTCACATCTTAGATGGAGGACAACGAGACAAGACCGTGCAGAAGTAAATCGGCCTCAGAGGTTGACTTATCCGTGGTTGTGCCGGTGAGAGATCCTCTTGTTTGTTTAAGAGAGTGAGAGAGAGAGAGAGTGAGCGATCCTTATTATTTTGCTGGCCGCGCGACCATTAAGTTCTTGAATTGGCGCCTTAGTTTGACACTTTTTGGCCATAGATACCATTTATGGATTACAGGGGACATTTATAAACATCCCAGCTCTCTTCAAAGAAGAGGTCCAGGGATGACTGAGATCTTTCTTTGTTAACAAAATTTATAATAATTAATAGTTCAAATAGCCAAAATCCTGGATACGGCCCTTTTAAGTGGCAGTGAGGCTAAATGGTTAGGGGGCGGGTGCTTCCGCATTTCAACGCGTTTTTCCCCGTCCCCTCCACTTGTCACTGGCTTTGTTCCCCAGGGCAAATGGTTGGCCCTGTTTTGCACTTACTTGGGAAGTGAAACGCGCATGGCCCGTCCACAGGAAGCGCATCTCATGTGTGGGTTACTTGCGCGCTGGATGCGCACTAACGCGTGTTTTTGCCGGAGGAAAGATCTTCAGCCCGTTATATTAGAGTGTAGCTCGCTTATTGAATTAAGTTTCCTCAGAACGGAATATTCGAACGAAATTTCAAGTGGATACCATACTATTTTGCAGATTGCTTTAACTTTAAACTTGGAAATTCAAAAGTCTAAAATCCCTCTGGTGAGGTCAGGCTCTTTAAAGGATCGCAGAAAACCCTCAGCTGCTTCCAGGCGGAAAAGTTTCAGGTCAAGTTTTAATGAAGATTTTGATGATTCACTTGTTATCAGTGAAGGAGAGGAGTCGTGAGTATTACTTTTACCTGATATAGTTGAAGCAGTACACGATATCAGCGATATGAACTCATCTCTACAAATTTCAAGGGAGTTAAGGCAAAGATGGTTGATAGGGTGTGAATGGTATTGAATACGAACATGTGTTTTTTTTTTGGGAGGGCAGACTACTCTTATATGTGCTTCCCTTGTCTTAAATATGACGCAAGACAAGTAGGAGACCATTGGTTGTTGGCCGAGTCAGTTATCACTAAAACGCTCTCTTTTTTTGTTATGTTGAACACGTACCTGGAACTTTGCTTTCGTTTCTGCTCTGGGGTTTTCTAATGCTTCTACTGCTGAAATTATAGGGGATTGTGTTGCTTAAATTTACCATTAGAGTAATTTCAGTTGTGGATAAACGTATTCCAGGATTGTATCGGGATTGCTCTTGTGTGCTCTGTGACTACTTGAGAAATTTCATGCCATCCTCTCAACCATGAAGGTGTATAACTGAAATAAATCGTGTCTCGGTCGTCAGCTTTTTCCGCTCCTGGAGACATGTTTGCATCGTTTGTTTGTAAAGCTATGTCGTTCTTGTCTCATGTGTGATCGTTGTGACAACTCTGGTTTTGGTTTTTATACCTCAATTGAAACGGGCACGGCAATTGGTTTTTGATATGTACCCTTCAATCTCTGCCCTGAAGAAGCCATTGGTACATATATTACTGGATATGTAAGAGTCGAAGTGGTATATACAGTCATTTTAATTTCAGGATGGATGAAGACCGCAGCGTTACACCTGGTGGTGGCTTCATCATAAAGAACCCGCCACAATGGGACGTAGGAGAGGCGGTGAGACCACGAACCAAGCCAAAGCCGAAGGTGAAGAGCAAAACTGTGTCTGGAATAGCTCTACCAGGGCTGGCTGATGCATTAATCAAGAAACAAATTGCAGCTGAAAATAAGGTTGGTCCATCGGAGAAACAATTCTTCTTGGAGCAATAACGTATAAGCTCACAAAACTGCACACCGTTTGAACAAGGGGTTCACCATATAGAAGTAGAGGTTTGTTTATCCTCAATTTTCCTCAGGTGCTATTCAGCCTCAGTATTAAGAAGACGTTTATGATCAGTCTGAACTTAAAGTCCAGTCACGCCTTGTCTTGCGTGATATCTTGCGTGATGTCTTGCGTGATGTCTTGCGTGATGTCTTGCGTGATGTCTTGCGTGATGTCTTGCGTGATTTCTTGCGTGATTTCTTGTGTGATGTTTTGCGTGATGTCTTGCGCGATGTCTTGCGCGATGTCTTACACGATGTTTTGCGTGATTTATCGGTGGTGCTTTGATTGACTGCTTGGATTTAGAGTATCTTAAACTCGATGTCGAAGTACAAACTTTGACGAGCTGTCTGAGCGCTCTTTTCTTGATCGAGCGTAAGTAGCCTTCCTTTTCACCGTTCAGTGTTTCTTTATCGAGTTTGGTTCAACGCTATTTACTGGGCGCTACAAACATTTTAGTGTTTATTTATTTTAACTTATGGTAGCAATTTACGATATTTTACCGATCGCTGATCCTCCCGGTTGATCTTCAGGTCTAGGGATAGATTAGCTAGGCTATCTCTAATGAACGAGACTCAATGATTTTGTTAACTCCTTCACTCCCAAGATCTCTTGAGTAATTCTCCTTACTGTCTGCCATATCATTCTTTTGATCTTAGTTCGGAGAATGTGGCATTGGATCGACTAATATTCCCCTTACTGATTTTTTTTTTATTCTCATCACTTGTCTGCTCAATATTGTTTTAATAATGTAAGGAGAAATTCTGTCTTGGTCGCTCATGGGAGTTGTAGAGTTAATCTATTGTTTCAGGGGGACATTCACATTTCCTCCTCTTTTTGTGTTATTTTAGCAGCGTTCCCAGGGTAGCGCAGCCGAGATTGTCCGTGCGGCTGCCGAAAATAAGAAGAACATGTCAGCCAAGGAAGACAAATTAGAGAAAGAACCTGAAAAACCTGCTTGGCTTGTGGAGGCGGAGGCACGGAGGAAACTCCATGAACAGCGACGGCATCCCAAAAGTAAAGACCAAGGAGAGAGTGAAACTAGTCAGGGGCCAGAGAAACCGGTGAATAATGGTCCTGTGCTCAAGTCTTTACCTCAGAAACCTGAAGTTGGAAAAAAAAAATCTGTCGGTGGTGGGGTGATGAGCGTTTTTCGCAATATTGTGCTTCGTCCTGTTCGGAAACCCGACGCAGTTCCAACCAAATCCGAAGACGACAGCGATGCTACGAAGTCGTTTAATGTTTGTCTTCGTCCCGTGTCTAAAGGAGGTCCTTTAGATAACCAAGCAGATGAAATAAAAGGAAGTTTTCAACCAGTACGTTTGAAACCTATTGCTCCCCGCCTCTCAAGACCCTGGAGTTCCTCAGTCACGAATACGGAAGCAACGCCAATGCGCACACGAACGCCTCCCGAAAAAACATCTACTTCACAGTCGGTTCAACAAGAAAAAAGTGCACGTGAGTATCACACCGTCCCTCTTCTTGCCCCGATAACTTTAGAGCGTTCGGAACCGAGGGTTTCCGAAAGTTATTCGTCACCTACGAATGGTGAACGAGTCACGATTTCCTCGAACTACTTGAGTGGCCCTCATAAACTTCCCCCAAGTACAACGCCTAAACCTTCCAACAGATCCAAGACAGTGACAGTCACTGCTTCTGAAGTGCCGCAGCTTTCATCAGTTAGGCGAAGAAGCGTAGAGTTAATACAAGCCAGAGTGGAAAAGAAATTTTCGCGACCTTCACATTCAGCCGAGCCATACGGGGACCTGAGCGTATCCCGAAGAGGAAGTGATGCGCGAGATAGAGCAGAGACATATGACTCGGCTTTCAGGCCAACTTATACTGGGGACGTGCTGCCGCAGTGGAAGATCGACCTCATTGAGAAGAAAAAGAACTCAACGGCTTCACGCGAAGGGTCAAACAACGGTAGGTCGACTTACATTTTTCCCGCTTAGAAGACAATGATTTATGTTCGATGTTGACAGCTGCCCACTCTGTAGGCGCGCAAAAAGAGTCTTAAACCTGAAATTCCCAAGATGTGATTGTTAATTGCTCCCTCTAACTACTGCACATTTGCTTGTGAATGAGAGACCTTCAATTCTGTTTAGCCAACTTCTACCATCGCACTCTGTTTAGTCTGACGTTGCAGCATATTGAGCAGACTATCAGCTTACTCTGCTTCGCGACAGTCGGGATTAGTTCACCCTGGTTAATGCTGATGTTGGTGTCTGACTCTTCAATAATTCGAGAGGAAGTCATGTCACCTGGGCGATCATACTCTTCTAGATATTTTGTCGAGTATATCAGAAAATTCCTTTCCCCCTTTTTTCCCCTTCCTCCCGCCCCCTCCTTCGTGCGAAAATTTACGTTCAGTTATTCCTTGGTACTCTCAGTAGATATTCAAAGAACCAGTGCACTCATCGAAGTGATGTTTTAATTGCAGATCGTCCTCATCAGACGCAGATCCCAAACGCAGTTGTTGTTCCACCTTGGAAGAAGGAACTGGCTGAAAAACGAAAGCAACGCTCTCCGGTCAGTGGTAACCAGGCCTCCGGCAAAGAGAATGAACCGAGTACGTTTTCGGAACTACCGCTATGGCAAAGGGAAATCGCCGAGAGAAGAAAGCGCCGAGAAGTTTTGCCAGGTCAAGAGCTCCCTGAGAAAACAGACGGCTCTACAGAAAGACCCGAATGGCAACGGAGACTGAAAAACACACGACGAAACCAACCGATCGTGGCCCCAAAAGGACCCTCGGAAGATTCGGCAGACTCGGTCCCGAGTTTTATGAAGGAGTTTGAGAAGAAAAAAAGAACGTGTCCTCGTGGTAAGTATTTCTGTCAAGTAGAAACTAACTACAACCCGCTTTGAGCGGGGTCATATTGTTTGCATCAAGACAATCGAAAAAGGGGGCCAAGAGTCTTCGTTATTACGGCCAATGATTTCCATTTGACTACCATTTCCTTGCAGAAGTTGATGCCTAAGGCTGTGTGATCCATTCGCGCTAACACCAGCGGGACAGCATTCTTGTTAGTACAAAAGAAAAAAAAAAGCAGCAAAGTATTTTCCACTAACTTAGTTTGCTTTTTAGTTATGTGTACTTCACCAAAATATGTTCACAACGGCGATCGAATGCTCTTGTTGTACAGGCTTAATTACTCAGGGTTTGTTCGCCACGTTAATCTTACGGAGGTGGGGGTAGGACGGGCATGTAAGGACCCCCCGTAGCTATGCCCCTGCACTTAAGCCTAAGCATCAGCCTACGGCTGTCAACTTGATGGCTCATTGTACCTCCTTTTTTTCTTTTGTTTTTTCGGTTTGTTTGTTTTAAATGGGAGACGCTAATGTAATGACGATACCGTTATTTTCGGAACTAGTCTACTTGTTTTCACCGTGGTGCTATGTTTGCCCTGTGTAAAGAAGGACATTTGCTACCTATTGTGTTGTATACATCTAAACTTTGAATTCTTTCGATTTGCAGGAAGCAGCAGAAACTCAAGTTACGTTTGACGTCGGAAAAAAAAAACATAGCAAAGTGCATATCTCTTCTCCCCTCTTGCATTTGATAAATATGATTTCTAATGTGTTCAACAGATTTCTATGATTTTTACAAAGACATATTAAAAAAACACATTCAAACACCTATCGCTCGCTAAACTTATTCCTATTTACTGAGTATTGCTCAAGGAACAATTTATAATGTTTTAAAATTGATGAAATTTTTATGCTTCAGTTCGATGACTTTAATTAATTGCGATTGGTTGTTTTTGTGTTGTTCAAGAAAAACAGAGAGCTTTACGATTAAGCGCAATATTTATAAATTTTCAAGTGAACACTGAGGCTGTGCCCAGAATTATTGAACGCAAATTTTTATTTTTTTAGTAAGCAAGTACCGTCGAGCTAGTTATACCCAGCATGGGTCACATTGGCCGGAATATTTATTTTTTGGGGGAAATCACCAATGGATGGATTTGATTGAAATTTTATAAATGCTTCACAAATTACTCCAAGGCTGAGTTGTCTAATTAAGTTACACAAGGGCTAGATCTTGTTGTAATGAAAGGCATGAGGTAATTGCGTTTACAAATTGCGTTCCTGTTGACAAACATACTGAGATGTGTTTTTTCTGCGTTACTTTTGAAAAAAGCGCATCTAGTTGGTTTTAGGTAGTTTTACTGGTGAACACAAATGTTGACTTTTCTTTACGAAAAAGTGCTGGTTTTTATCTCTACAATGCATATTCACTTCTGTACATATTACGTCCATCGTTAACTGTTACCTTTCAAACACGGTTTTATTTTTGATCTACATTTTCAATGAACTATGGAAATAAATCTTGAATATAAGATAACTTGAATTTACAAACGTGTTGAGTCTTCTTTTGTCAAAAGTTTTTCTTGCGTCGAAAATGGTGACTGTTGAAATGAACTCCTTTGCAGTTACTTGCAGAACTGCCATTCCCACTTTGCTCAGTTTGCCCTATCAATTATGAGAAGTACACCCCCAAATCTGGTTTTTCTGATGAAATCAAAATTTTTTAGTCTCTCGCACTGCTGTTACCAAGCCAGCCTTTATTGGGTATAAAATTTCAACGCCCTGTTGCCCAAACCCACCTCCTCTTGATTATGGTCTCAATGCGGTATCTACAATAACTCTGCCGAGACCGTCTCAGCAGTGAATCTGAAGAAGAACAAAGAAAGGATGATCAGATAAATCTTAGGGTAGAATATTTAGACTCTAAAATGCCGGGTGAAATTGACTGCGACAACTTGCGTGTTGCGCAATGTTACGCAAGTTGCGAGTTTCGTGAAAGCGTGGTTCCTAAGCAGTAAATAATAAACATGGCGGTTGAGTTATAGCAAACAAGAAAATCCTCTCTATCGACTTTTGCTATCGCCTTGCGAACTGTAAAAGTTTATGTGAAGATGTTCAGGGCTAAAATAACACCTAAGAAGTTCTTCCCAAATAATTTGATCGCATGGAAAAGCACTTTAAGGGGCGCAGAAAAATCCCTTGATTTGGACAACCGCGATATGCCAGATAACTCAGTTGCAGGGGATACTGAATTTGCTGCTTCTAAGAGAGGAAGTTTCTTTCAAGAAGCGCCAAGGCTTGGAAATCAATTCAGTGGAGATCTATTTCTGCAATCTTACTTGAAGAGACTCCTTCCATATGAGGTAAAGGATAATTAACATGAACACAATAATGATTGGTCTGCGAAATTGTACAGCTTTAATCTTTAACCCTTTAACCCCTAATAGTGACTAGAATCCAAATTCTCCATACAGTATCACTCCTGAATCACACATTTAAGTCACGAGAATAAGGGAAATGATAAAAAATTAAAGAGTCTCCAGATTGTTGAAGAAATTCTTCTCGTCAACAACTCAGGAAATCGTAGTTACTAAAACAAAAAATGACCTAAAATGACCTTCCAAGAGTGATGTGTACAATGACCTAAAATAAAAAACAAAAGCTAAAATAACCTTGACTGATGTCTAAAACAACCAAAAATGGCGTTTTAAGCTTAGCTAAAAAGTTCCACTATAGTAGCTGGTAGTAGCACAATGATTTAAGGTGTTCTAAGTGATCTAAAGTGGCATACTATCAGGTGAAACCGCAAAGGTAAGCACACCCAGCTCGCATCATTCAGTTCTCTTTTTCTGTTGTATATTGCTGTCAATTACTATTTAAAATTGTTTCCGTAAAGTTTAAACGTCACTTTGCATCATTTTAGTCAGAGTAGGTTATTTTTTATCATATTAGGTCAAGGATGGTCAATACATCAGGCAGGTTATTTTAGGTAATTTTAGGTTATTGTAGACATCACTTAAGGTCATTTTAGAAATCACTCAAGGTCATTTTAGGTCAATTTGGGTCATTCCTTTTTTTAGTAACTATGCTTAGGAAATTTATGAAGAACAGTTTGGAGAATATTCAAACTGATGTCAGAGCGTAAAGGGTTAATCTGCTCTTTTTAAATCGTGTTTTTTCCTACGGGGAGCATTGACTTTTTCCATGTTAATTGCTTGTAAATTTTGTGATTGTGTCCAGTGTTGGTGTTTTGACAGCTTGCACAATTAAAAGAGTTTTAAACCTCACTTGTGTTAGTTATCACAAATTGGACTGTACTCTTTCTCATGCAATTTCCTCTTCCCATAAGTATCTAGAGAATATTCCATATGGCCACACAGGACTATTATAGTACAGCTAATTCATATCACACAACATCAAGTTGTTTTGTTGTAAGGGGTGATATGGTTAAGTGGGGGTTGTATTCTGTAGTCTGTGTGAAAGAAGCCCCCAAGAGATGACCTCTCCTCAGGTTGTTAAAACAATCCTCACTTTTACTTAAGTGAAAAGCCCTTTTGAGAACTACTTGCACCTAAGATGGATCCCACTTTGCACATATCATTCTACTAAATACATATTATCAAGGAGTTTGATTTATTTCAATGAAGGTGGATCGACATCATGATTGCTAGGAATGATTAATCTGTTGAACATTCTTCATAATGGCAAAGGAGATTCTGTAGACTTAAATTAAATATATGAAAGGTTTTTCTTAATTTTGTTCACAAAGTTGCTCAATGAAACTGGACTTATTTAAACACAGGTTTTACAAGAAATCTTTCCAGACTTACAGCACTTTGGTCACAGAGTGGCCACTGATATTTACTCGATGGGAAGGGAATGTGAGCTACAGCCACCAAAACTTGAACAATTTGATGCTTGGGGAAAAAGGGTGGACAATATTCAGACTTGCCAGGGGTGGAGACAGTTACATGATGTGTCAGCTGACGAAGGATTGATATCCATTCCTTATGAAAGAAAGTATGGACAGTGGAGGTAAAAATGAGTTTCTGTTTTCATAGAAATTATTCAAAGTCAGTTGATTACACAAGTGCATAGAACTGACATGTTATTTTTTATCTGTGCAGGTAGCTAAAGGCATCATTAAAAGTTCAACATTGTTAATTTTTATTTATTCTTAGTCGTATCTACCAAGCTGTGAAGCTGTTCATGTTTTCTCCTTCTTCTGGTTTGTATTCTTGTCCATTGGCCCTGACAGATGGAGCAGCTAAGAGTATCGAGGTACATGTACTGTGTTTAGATTTGAAATAATGGTATACATAAGCCAGTTTGCCTAATTTAAGCCCTAAGTATTAAAGACACTTTGTTCTCTTCAGTGAAATAAGGTTTTGGTGGATTAACTGTGTGAGCTACAATAGTTGTCAGTCATTTTGCAATGTTATTCATTAATCAATAGTTAACTGGCTGTGGTTAAGTAGTTTAATTAGCTAATGGGCCCAGCTTCAGTGATGGATGTGGTTGACTAGAAAGTTCAACATGCACAGCCATTTGGTTTAATTGAAGATGCCATTTTTAACTTTCTTTCCTTTATTCATGATGTAAATTCTGTAGTTAAGCATACTTGTTCTGAATTACCCTTTTTAACTCATGGTTCATTCAGCACAATTTTACAGTTTACAGTGTATAACAAGCAGCCAGCGTTCCTTCAAAGAAATTCAATTTTCTTTTCTGTTCCAAATTTGTTGGAGATGGAAAAACATTGTGACTTTGTTGTAATTTCCCCCTATATTTTAACATTCAGGTGTCAAATATGACAGAGAAACTTAGTGTTCTTAAGGATGCCTACAGCCATTTGACCAGCAGAGATCCAAAGAAATTCTGGACATCTGGTCAGTGGATGACTGAGAGGAAAGGGGGCTCAGATGTAGGTAAGTCTAGATTATCTGCTGGAATCATTTTTTTAAAATTATTTTGTGTAAACTGAGAATTTAATTCTTCTTTCCCAGTGCTGCTGATCTTTCCATTAATGATGATTTTGACCCTTTGCACCCTTACATCAGTATTCATATTCTCCAGTCTGTTCTCTTTACATTTCCTATGGTGCTGACAAGGAGAATTTGATTGACAATCAGGAGTTTCTGAAATTAGTGATCATTTCCTTTATTCTTGTGACCTCGATGTTTGATTCAAGGGTGATGCTGTTATAAGTAATTAGAAGCCAGTCACTCTTAAGGGTAAAGGGTCAAGTATCATGCCTCGACTCACAGTAGGCTGATTATTGCCACCCACTATTATTCATTATCCAATCTACATTCCTATGTTAGTGGTGATGAGTGTCTTTTTGCCTTGTAGCAAATGGTACAGAGACGATTGCTGTCCCTCAAGACGATGTCACCTACAGACTTTATGGTTATAAGTGGTTCAGCTCAGCTACTGATGCAGACATGACACTCACTCTTGCGAGGGTCCAGAACCCTGATGGATCTACTGTACCTGTGAGTTGTTTCTTTCATTAACGTTGCAACAGATGTGGGCTCAATTTGATGTTTTATCTTGGTCTTGCTCCAAAAGATTTCCTCTTGGTTTTCTAGTCTACTCTTGATAGAAGTAGAAAGAAAATCAAAACTTGTGCCACTTTCTCAAGTCTAATTTTAATTTCTCCATATGTGCTAGGTGTGAAAATCTTTTTATTTCAACATTGTAATAATTTGGATTGTTATTAATCTGTACCAGGGCACCAAAGGCATTACAATGTTTTACATGCAAACTCGCAATGAAGATGGCAAATTAAACAATATTGAAGTCCAGGTAAAATGATAACTTGTTATTCTTAGGATAGAATGCCACCACCAGCTGTTAGTGTTGGTGTATTTTAAAGAAAAGTTAAAGTGAAAATGGCCTTATTTGCCCAGAAGTGGTCTAGGGTGGGGCTCAGGGGTTTGGTTAGGTTTTGAGGGATTTTTCACTCCAGATAACTTTTTATTTTTAAATTAATCTCCATAACAAGGCTTTAACAGAGAAAATTGAACAACCATGCCAACTTTAATCCTTTCTTCTCAGTCTGTCCCTTCAGCATCATTATCACAAATTTTTATGTTTTTGGAAGCAGCTTGTCTACCTATTCTTTGGCTCTGTTACAAATAGGTACAACAGTGCTGATGTGCTGATATTACATGCTGGCAAAGTTAATTTGATTTAATATTTAATCCCATATTTTGCAGAGATTGAAAAATAAGTTGGGAACCAGGCAGCTTCCTACTGCTGAGCTTCTTCTTCATGGATCACAAGCCTACAAGGTAAGTTCATTCACTTATATCCTCACCTTGGCCACAGCAATACCTGCTCCATTATCATACCATATTTTATGGCCTTAACTCTTTGACTGCTTGCATGATTACATTCTCTTATGCAAAACCAACTTCATTTTGCAAACATTTTCAGATGTCTGATGAGGGTCGTGGAGTGCCTTGTATATCAGACATGTTAACAATCACTCGTTTTCACAACAGCATTGTAGCTGCAGGTGTCATGAGAAGGTGAGAGTGGTGAAAAAAGGAATTTTGTTAAAATTACAGTAGCTTTGTACAGCTAACATTTCTGACAGATATTGTAAGTGGCCTCTCATTTGACATGCTGAGCGCTGATTCAATGTGTGGGTCTAACCCTAAAAGTCCCATTAGTGACCAAGACAGAATTTCTCCTTACACTGTCGGTACAATATCAAGTAGAAAAGTAATGAGAATAAAGAAAAATATCAATTAGGGGATTATGGATTGATCCAATTCTAAATTCTCCAAACTAATATCATATGAATTATATGGCAGACAGTAAGGACAGAAAGAATGAGAATTGGGAATTAAAGGTTTAAAGTATATCTGTGTTAGGTTTTTGGCTGAGATTCTTACTCTAAAAGTTCCTGTCTCTGCCCTGGAGTTAAAATGGCTGGTTACAACCTGGAAGAGAAACTTGGCAAACATATTTTGGGGTGGGTGGGTGGGTAGGAGAGGGTGAAGAGGAGGTGAGTACTTTTAATGCAGTGAATTCGATTAATTCAAGTGGCTTGTAGTCATACTATAAACATAAGCATTTGTCTTTTAACCCCTCAATCTGACCAGCAACTCATTTCTCCTTACAGTACCACTGCTTAATCAAATATTTAGGTCCTGAGAAAAAAAAATGGAGATGATTGCCAAACACAAATTCTCCTTGCCAGAACCTCAGGATAAGGGTAGAAAACAGTTTGTATGAAGCTAGAGTGCTTTCATGACTTTAAAAATCAGTGGACCAGCTTTGAACCTCACAATATTTTGTTTTAAGATAATATTAGTTAACAATTGACATCCTTGGATCCTTTTCAGAATTATGTCTCTAGCTCAGGATTATTGTTTGAGAAGATCAGTGTTTGGTAAACTATTGGTGGAACATCCCCTTCATATGCAGACACTCGCTAAAATAGAGGTAATAATACTTGGTGATTTATTTTCTTGGTCTTTGAACAATTGTCAATGTAATTTTCGAAGTAATCCAGATGTGCAGTTGTTCATTCCAAATTTGCTCTAGGAAATATTATCTGTTTTTTCCCCCCCATAACCACAGAAAAAATGTAAATTTAAAGCCGAAAGTGATCTAGTAGTGTTGTAATTAAGTCTGAATTTGGTCCCGAAAAGTTGCCATGCCTTGTCAACCCATGACTTTTAAAACTAAAACTGGTAGCAAATTGGTTTACTTCATCCTTTCTTCATTAGGAAAATATTTATTTGGGCTATAAACCCATGAAAATAGCCACTAGGATAGAATATAAATGATTAGAAATTGTACACCTACGTCATTATTTACCTTCAAAGAAAGAGAGAAAGATATCAAGATAACTTACCTCCTTTTTTTCGTCCTTGTACAGGTGGAGACCCGCGCGGCCTTCCTGCTCTCAATGGAAGTTGCCCGTCTGCTTGGTAAACAGGATTGCAACGAGGCATCAGATGTAGAGACACAGCTGTTGAGACTTCTTACTCCTATCACAAAGCTGTACACTGCTAAACAGGTACGACCATTGCTTCAAACAAAAAATTGTGTGCAGGATCAAATTTGACATTTGCTGTAAGGTGTGACTCGCTATACAAGGAAGTTTGCGCAAGTTTTCTTTGCTCAAAAATATCTTAACATTTGAGCTTGTCTAAATTTGCACTAAAACCAAGGCTGTTAATAGCAAAGGTGTAATGTTTTTTTGCTTTTTTTCAGGCTAATATTGGTAAGTGTAAGGCGAGAGCTGTGAGGGCGCTATCATCGCGCACGACTTGCGACTGAATATGCGACAAAAATACACCTGTTTTGCAGGCTAACTTCTAAGATTGGAGTTACCATAAGGCTTTTTTTAAATGTAACCAATGAATTGCTCTAGTCGTAAAATTAATCTAAGATTGGAGTTACCAAAAGCCTTTTTTTAAATGTAACCAATGAATTGCTCAAGTCGTAAAATTAATCTAAGCCTTGAATGGTTTATACGTTATGCAAAGCAGGTAACAACATTTATAATAGGTACTCACGCTTCAGCGATTTCGTCGAGGCGCACATAACCCGATACTCTCGCGCATCGCTTCCAACTTGTATCTGTTTGACTTCTACGCGAGGAAATTGTTTCCTTAATTCAGAGTGAGTGTTTCTAGAAATTTATTCAGTTTGTGATTCTAAGAGAACACCTCAGTTAAGACCTCTAGAATCAACCCTTTTGTCAAAGCTTATTCATTGTTTTTTAAAAGTCTCATAACCTGAGCTTTGCCTTTTTACACAGGCCATGCAGGTTACCTCAGAAGGTCTTGAGAGTTTTGGTGGTCAAGGATACATAGAAGACACAGGGTTACCAGGCTTGATGAGGGATGCTCAGGTACTGTGGCTTTTTGTTAGTATTAGTTTAAAAAAAAAAATGATACCAATTCTTCTTACTTGTTGACTGAATTGCAGCTAACGTTAGTGATGAGAACTTGGTTTCACAGCAGAAAACCGTTGCTGGTAATATACTATTCTGTTACATTCTTGATCTTGCTGCAAACTGTACTCGAGTGCGATTTGCGTACAATCCAGTGATTTTCTGATTATATCATTCTAGCCAAATGATCTGCCCTAAAACGTGAATATTCTACCACTAAATTTATTCGAATTTGATTTGCAATAAACTACAAACCGAAAGCTACTATATGCATTTATAACCAGCAGGAATACTACAGATTGTCTAGAAGTGACAAATAAATGTTGTTTGCATATTTAGGCAAAATTTCCTCTCAATGAAGATTAATTGCAGCTTATTAAAATTATTAACTTCGCTTATGGATAACTCGATAGGCAACATATAAAACCAAATAAGCCTTTGCTGTACTATGTATGGTTGTGTTCATTGGATGAGAACTTCAGCAATTGAATCTGAGTCATCATTTGCTGAACTTTTAAAAGGATAGCACTTTTAAGTGAATGTAGCTTTGAAGATACTAGATTTTTTAATATTTTCGGATTTTTGTAGTAGCAAATTCGATCAAATGTTATAGTTGCTTCAAAAGTTGCTCAGACCCTTTCAGGGTTAGTCGTCATTTATGTTTTTCAATCTAGTTTCTTATCGCCCTTGGAGTGTTGGTAAGCATTTACATTGAGTGTCTTCTTAAGAGATTATTAATTACCTTGGCGATATGTCTAAGACTTTTTATCCATTCCAGGCATTTACATTTGCATCAGCTTGTTTGCTTAACAGTTTCATTAAAACTATATGGAAATACGCGATTACTACTTAAAATGGGGTGCGATCATTTAAAGAGAAAATAATAATTTAGGAAACTGTCCCTGTATTGTCGTAGTTTCATTGTCTGGGTAGGTGCTGTTCGTAAATGGGAATGTAACACCTGAACAGTGCCTAGTACTCACACCGTTTTCTCCATGATGAGATAGGAAACCTGTTATTGATGCACTTAAACAATACCGTGTGTTTCCCTTTAAAAGTGCTTTTTGGCCAAAGAACATTTCGATGCCGTAATAATCAAAGCCATTGCCTTGCAACTTTTTCGGTGCAACTGCCTCAATTTTTAAAGAAACCAAAGCTGAACCAAGGGGTAAGTTTCTAAAGAAACTGTGGTGCTGCGTCGGTGGGAGAGTATAGCAGGTAATTTAGTGTTAACAACTGGGTTGAAAACGTAAATTAGCCACCGTAAAGGGTAAAAAAGCTGACGTTTCGAGCGTTAGCCCTTCGTCAGACCTATCGCTCTGACAGAGCGATAGGTCTGACGAAGGGCTAACGCTCGAAACGTCAGCTTTTTTACCCTTTACGGTGGCTAATTTACGTTTTCAACCCAGTTGTTAACACTAAATTACCTGCAAAGCTGAACCAGTTTGTTGATTCAAAAGTGTCAAGTCTACCGAGTAAGTATAGTTCTTGTTGCCAAACAAACGCACTCCATGTTATGATTTAACGCAGTACTCTTGTCCTCAGAGAATTTGAGAACATGTCTACTCCCGCTGCTATAATACCAACCAGTTGACATATTCTTAAATCTACAACATTGTTGGATTTCACTGTTATACCGATAGGCTCTTTTTGTCTCAGGGAAATCCTGCTGGAGAGCTGGATATGGAATTCAGGTGTCTGATAAGGCTGACGATTTCCTCCTTTGTGAGGATATCACCGGCTAAAACCTTACTTGCGAAATCTTTCTGTGTCATCGTTGGGAAGCGTACTCCTTTGACAATTCCTTCTCCAATTATTCTTCCTTTTGCTCCGCCATCAGCCTTTAAGTTTTGCCTTTCACATTTCTTAGTGTCCCACAAGTCCACAGCTTCAAACAGATCTATCTCTTTCTTAAAACTACTGCTTCAAGTAAGGTCCTCTCAATTGTCGCGAATACTTCAGATTTCACAGCTTCCTCTGTCTTTTCGTCGATCATTTTCCAGCATCCTTCCACCGGGTCTTTTTCTTCATATTTCTGAGCGGAAGGAAGAATACTAAAAACAGTGGATGGATCTATGTTCTTTTCTTCCGCTAGTGAAGGCATCATGTATTTCTTAGCCAAATACAACACTCCCATGACATTACTTCCGCTTAAGTTCACTTCATCGCTGTACATGTAGCGAAACAACTCCAAAATACTCTCGTACTCACAGTCAGGCAGTTCAATAGAGTCTTTAGTCTCCGCCAACTCACCGTGAAACATGGCCTCAAACACAGGACTGCTGATAGACAGCACGAACATGTGAGCAGGAATCACTTGTTTACCTTCGCTTTCACCATCCATCTTGCGAACAACAAACCTGATATCGCTGAGGCGATCGTTGTTGAAAAAAAATTTGGTTCTCTCTTTGATGGTTGGTCTTGTCATTTGCCAGTTTTCTTCTCCGACAGACATGGCTTCTGTTGTGAGATGGGCGGTGAATCAAGGAAAAATTTATCTGTCGGCTGTATCAATTCGATTTATAAATCGGGTGGAAACCGAGACAGTGGTAATTTAGGAAATTTGAAGATAAAATAACATCATACACGACAGAATTTTCACCCCTAGTTCTCCGTACGTCAGCGCGGGGGCCAGCGTGACGGAAAACACATCAATGAAAAATGACTTTGTCTTACAACCTACATTCGGGCCTGCAAACACAGGGCTTCTTTATCCTTTTCCTTTAATTGAAGCTGAGAACTCTCTATTGAGAAAAAGGATGAACGTTTTCAGTGGAAAGGGAAATTACGCCTATATAGGAAGCAACACCTGACCATTCACTCTGACGAAGGATTAACGCCCGAAACGTCAGCTTAAGAAACTCTTTACGGTTGCCAATTTACATAATCAACTCAGTTTATTAAACTAAATTACCCTGTTATATTCTCCCACCGACGCAGTACCACAGTTTCTTTAGAAACTCACTCCCTTTGTATATAGGATCAATTCACTTAGTGGCTCCCGTATTCGGTGAGCTGCCTAGTAGCCTGCCAGAAAAAAAAAACCTTTGTTGCTCACATTTGGAAAACCACTCACGAGGAAGATGATCATTTGATTTGCACTTTTCATTTACACTTTTCAAATACATTTATAACATAGCTAGTAAATTTGTCTAATCAAATTCAATTGCGTGAGCGTGCTTCATATTGCTATTGTGCACGCTCATGACGTCAGCAAATAAATCCCTCGAGAAAACAAATTTTCTCTGCGATTTTTTACTTTGGGATTTTGCTATTAAAAAACTGGTTAAGACTTCTGCGGCAATTTAAGTTAAACATGGAAACAAAATCGTTTACAGCGTAGCGAAATGTTTTTCTGAAACAAAATTATCAACGCGCTGAAGCGTAGCTGAGGGAATATTAAACTGTATATGCTTTTATGCTGCATCAAAATTTTTTTACCATAAACACTAAAAAGGTGTTCCTCATCTGTTAAAATAAAATTTTTGTACGCCCATCCATGTCGTTTTGAAACACCGTTCAAGAAGCTGGTTCCAAAATTATTTGACTTTGTGTGAAAATGATCTGAAATGAAGGTGTCTCTCTCAAATATCTAAGGCTCAGTTATTTTTTTATGATTAACCATGACCCACACTCGAAGTCCATCACTTTCAAGGCCTTGAAAATGATATTTGTGTTGTTCCAAGACTAAGATTTAGAATTAAAGCGTATCATTGAACTTTGAGGTAACAGCTGAAAATCGTTGCATGACAGAAAAATTTTTAAAAAGCAACAGCTCGGTGAGTTGAGTCACTGATACAGCGATTCCAGGCAGTACTTTTACTCTTGATTTACAGCGAAAAATGTTTCAAAGCTAAAATGTTCAATAATATGATAAACATGTCTGTGTCCTGTTTCCCTTGTTTAGTCATAGCCCTCATAAATTCCCCCCCCTTCTTTGCGCTCGGTCGTGTGCACCTGTTCTCCACAAGCAATCCATTTTATCCTGTTACACAAGCCATGTACTCATTTCTGTTACGACTAACTAGTGATTATTGTAGAGAAAACAATAATTCTGGAAATTGACCGCACATGGTGCTTGTTCCATTTGTTGAGGATTCATTGTTGGTGAAAGTGAATGTTACACCTGCACATTGAATTGAGCCAACACAACCAATTCCTTGGCACGTAGGAGGACCTGATATCAGAGCACTTATAGCGTAGGAAGTGTTTCTCTTTATGTTAATTTGCTGGTCGAAATAAACCTCAAAACCTTGGTAGCTGCATTTCTCGCACTGCAACAACTCTGATGGAAAGGATGCAGTTTTGGTGGCTAGAACTGATTTACTTGTGTTGTCTATCACCTCTAAGGTAACTGGGTAAGTTTGATTTTCGTTACCAAAGAAGCTTATCGCGTGTAACGCCACATCCTTGTCCACAGAGAAGTTAAAACAATCTCTGCGATTGGGATAATTCCATGGGTTGTCTGACTTTAAGCCCAGTCTGCAGCATCGTTTAATATCACCAAACCTCTTTGCCTTGGAAAAGCCTTCTACAGACTTGGTGATGGAATTAAAATATTTGAAGATACTGATAATCTCGTGTTTTGTTAAAATGTCACTGTCAAGCACCGCACCTGCAAAGTCTGCCTCCTTCATTGTTGGGAAGCGTATGGCTTTGACAATTTGTTCTCCAAGAATTCTTCTTTTCGTGTCACCATGTGCCTCTATACCTTGTCTCTCACATTCCTTTGTGGCCCACAGGTCAACAGCTTTAAAGAGATCTATCTCATCGACTGATAGATTGTCTCTAATGATTACCTCGTTAAGTAAGGACCTCTGAATTGTCGCAAATTCATCCGTTCTTAAAGCTTCCTTTGTCTTTTCGTCGATCAGTTTCCAGCATTGTTCCACCAGGTCTTTCTCTTGATATTTCTGTATGGATGGAAGGATGCTGAAAACATTGGATGGATCCAAGTTCTTTAGAAGATATTTGGAGCACTCCTCGGCGAGTGACGGCACCATGTATTTCTTTGCTAAATATAATACTCTCATCACGTTACTTCCATTCAAAGCCACCTCATCGCTGTATATGTAACGAAACAACTCCAAGAGACTCTCGTACTCACAGTCAGGCAGTTCAATAGAGTGTTTAGTCTCCGGCAACTCGCCGTAAAACATGGCTTCAAACACAGGGCTACCGATGGACAGAACCAACTTGTGAGCAGGAATCACGTGTTTACTTTCGCGTTCATCGTCCATCTTCCGAACAACGAAGTTGACATCGCTGAAACGTTCGTTGTTGAAAACGAACTTAGTTCTTTCTCTGATAGTTGGTCGTGTTGTTTGCCAATTGTCTTCGGTGAGAGACATGATAGCTGCTTCTGGCTTTAGAGACAGGGACAATTCGCTTTAGTTAGCAAGGTAGAGAAGTTTTTATATTGGCGGAGCACGAGGAGAAGACAGCAGGGGGTAACTCCCAAAATTTAAATATAAATGGTCACATATTAATGTATTCTTTTATTTGTTTATTAACCGAGAAAACCTCATATTGGTTGTGTGAGTTACTCGCTCCCTCCAAGATTCAGGCTGCGCAAAAATGTACCTGATTTTTACCCCCAGAGTACAGTGGTCCACAATAAAACCACTTAAATCACCAATGACATTTTGCCCTTTTACTCCGTTCACATTAATTAGTGACACGTAACGTTACGCATGCAAATATTAACGAGGTTGCCTCGGGGCATGAATATATTGGAAGCATTTCCGGTAGCAGTCACGAATGGGCACAAAGGTTGTTTAATACGCAGAGAGCCTAATAATATATGCATTGGTGTTGCTTAAAGAAGTTTCTGTATGCGTTTCTATCTGTAACGTAATTGTTTAGTATTCGTTAAGAATATCTGTATGTGAGTTAGAAACTGCGGTCCGGAGAGGAAACATTATTCCTACGCTGGAAATTGTGGACAGAATTTGAATTTCTTGACTTATATAATGTTATCTAAGAATGTCGTGAAAATTTTGCGGACAGTTAATTGACTGGCGGTTTTTTTTGTGCCTTGCGGGAACATATTTTTGCGATTTCCTACTCGAGCATGAGAATAAATCACGGTAACAACACGAAATCAGTGAAGTATGACCTACGAAGGTTATGTTGAACTGAATTTCTTCTTTCAAGCGTGATTCTTGCCGTGCACTACTTAAAAGACGGAAAACAAAATTTATGATGATGACTAAAATAATTTTAGTTATAGTTATGGTAATGATCATAAAATCGGTAAAAGGCCTGTAGAAAGTTGTTTAACAACTTAAAGGTGATACATAGAATTTGTTTTCGTGATGTTGTGATTTCGGAAAGGTTCTTAAAATGGTGACAAAAAAACATAGTTTGTACCCAAATTGTAACAGCGGTCAAGAGCAACTGTTAAATATGAACAGTTCACCGAAAATGTAACCTCGAACGTATTTTTCCGGGGATTGCTCCTCTCTGAAGTGCAAGCCTTTGTTATACAACCAAAAGGAAACTCGATGCGTATAGTGATTGTAGATTGAATCCCAAAAAAGTTGAAATGATGACAAAGCAAAAAATGAGAGTTGGGTGAAAACTGAACGACCTTTATTTACTTGCCCAGTCTTTTCTTTTCCAACTACCCAAATCATCCTTTATTCCGTTTTGAATTCGTAAATGGCAGCCATTTTACAAAGCCGTAGCATTAAATGGTACCCTGATGGAATTCTCCAATAAACCATTTTGAGGTGCAACTTTCTGGGAATTCCTTCGCTAACAAGGCTCGCACTTAGCTTCACCTGGGAAAGGTTGTTGTGAAATAGGATTTACAAAAAATGAATTTTCTCGTTCAATTTAACAGCTCTCTTGTGGACTCTTCTGGGATGGTAAACGGCTCATGATTTTAAAAGGGATGAGTAAATAAAAAAAAAAAAAAGAATAAAAAAGACATATCTTGTTACGGTATAATCTAACCGACAGAAAAACACTACAATCCCACAAACTCAACAACTTTATTAAACAACGAGTGATATTCTTAATAAGGAGCGACTCCTAAAAAGAAAGACAATACTTGTGGTTAATAAACTTAATTAAGCCCACCACAGTCTATATCCTGGCTCTCCACTAACACAATCTAACTGCTGTCTCCAAAGTTCCTTGAAATGAGCAATCTTCCACAGTAAATCTCTCCTTAAATCAGTCGTTGCTCCGACAACAACAACTACACTTACTACTGCATACGTGAGTCTATTTAACAAATAGATTCCAAGTTGCCGTGCGTCTGTTCAGTAATAGATCACAGATGACGTCAAAATGTGGTAAGAACAAAAAAGTGGCACACGAGGCGCAGCCGAGTGTGTCACTGATGTGACACATTAGAACATCGACAGGAGGAGCGGTTTTGTTCGAGATAAAAGTCATAAGCTGGAACCTTGATGAGTCACGATTTTTTTCAAGGGAACGGCTTGATTGGGGAAATGATCTAAGGCACCAAGAATTGTTGACTGTGATCGTGTTTTTGAGTAAATGTAAGAACGACTGATTTACCTTACGGGTTATGCAACACAGCTTTTGAAAATCAAATTCACTAGCTAATTAAGGGCAATATATACCCAAAATTTTACATGTTTTATTGAGAATATTCTCTTCACAGACTAATCAAGTAGAAAAATCGAGATGCACTAAATAAGACAGTAAGGATGGTTGTTAGCCATTATTGCCTCCAAAGTAACTTTAAAAAGGTACATCCAATGATTGTCTGTAAAGATGAAATGTGAAATGTTAAGCGCAATACAAAACTGTTATTAACACCGGAACTGTAAGCTCAAGATTTGGATTTAAAAATGTTAGAGTTAGATAAATGAAACAAGTAGCAATCCTTGAGATATTCTATTAATTAAAAGTCATTAACTGAATATTTTCTCTCAGTACTCATGCGCCTTTGGCCCTAAGAAGTTCTATTATAGGCAAAATTTCTGTTGATTTAACGATCATTATAAATCACCGTCTTCGAACGTGGTATTGGCTCCATTGTGATGCTCCTGATTTGGTAGTTTCCTCTGATACTTTGAAAAAAAAAAACGAAAAGGGTAAATGATGGGAAGAAAGTGGTATAGAGAATTTTTGTCATGGGCGTGGAGAAAACGAAAAAATCTGGGTTTCCCAATACCCATCAGATGCTTAATAGCCAAGTTCTATGTTACTATTCACTGATTATTTAAGACAAAAGAGTAGTTCGGGAAACTGTCCCAAACAAACAATACTTCCATTATTATTTAGGATGTCACTGTTCATGAATGTGAATGTTACCCCTGGACACTGAACAGAACTGACACCGTTCATTCCTTTCTTTGAAATAGGACCCGTTATTACAGCACTTAAACGGTACCGGGTGTTTTTCTTTAAAATGATTTTTGTGCTGAAAATCAATTCAAAACCGTTGTAACTGTATGTTTCGGCATGCAATTGTTTTGTTTGTATTGGTCCAGTTTTTAAAGACATCAACACTGTCGCAGGTTTAAGCATCTTCAGGTTGAAGTCTACACAGTAGGTGCTGTCCGGTTTACCAAAGAAGCGTACTCCATATAAGGAAGTGTCTTCGTCTGTAGCGAAATCGATGACATCTGGTTTGCCACTGTAATTCCATCTATCATGAGGTGGTGAGGTAAATCTACCACATCCTTGAATTTTCCCAGTAGAACCAGATCTTGCTATTTCGGAAAATCCCGCTGGAGACTTGGAGACAGAACTTATGTGTCTGGTAAGACTAACAATTTCGGCTTTTGTAAGAATATCACTGAGTAAAACAACACTCACAAAATCTTCCAGACTCATTGTTGGGAAGCGTATTGCCTTCACTGCTTTTTCTCCAAGAATTCTTCTTTTTGTGTCACCATCTGCCTTTAAACCTTGTCTCTCACATTCTTTTGTGGCCCATAAGTCAACAGCTTTAAAAAGATCTATCTCTTCAATCGCCAGAGTGTCTTTTACGAGTATTGCCTCAAGTAATGACCTCTGAATTGTCGCAAATCCATCCGATTTCGCTGCTTGTTCCGTCTGGTCATCGATCACTTTCCAGCATCGTTCCACCAGGTCTTTCTCTTCATATTTCTGAGCAGAAGGAAGGATACTGAAAACATTGGATGGATCCAAGTTCGTCAGTAGATATTCCGAGCACTTCTCAGCTAGTGACGGCACCATGTATTTCTTTGCCAAATACAACACTCCCATGATATTGCTTCCGCTCAAGTTCGCTTCATCGCTGTACATGAAACGAAAAAACTCCAAGAGACTCTCGTATTCACAGTCAGGCAGTTCAATAAAGTCTTTAGTCTCCGCCAACTCACCGTAAAACATAGCTTCAAACACAGGACTGCTGATGGACAGCACGAACTTGTGAGCAGGAATCACTTGTTTACTTTCGCTTTCACCATCCGTCTTACGAACAACGAACTTGATATCGCTGAGGCGATCGTTGTTAAAAACAAATTTGGCTCTCTCTCTAATGGTTGGTCTTGTCGTTTGCCAGTTTTCGTCTCCGACAGACATGGCTTCTGTTGTGAGATCTGCGGTGAATCAAGGAAAAATTTATCTGTCGGCTGTATCAATTCGAGTATAAATCAGATGGAAAACGAGACAGCGGTATTTTTGAAATTTGAATATAAAATAACATTACACGCGAAGTTGTCACGGCTGAAGCGTGACTGAGTCTCGATTGAATTTTCACCCCCAGTCCTCTGTACGTCAGCGCGGGGACCAGCGTCACGGAAAAAACACATCAATGAAAAATAACTTTGTCTCGCAACCTACATTCGGGCCTGCGAACACTGGGCTTCTTTCTCCTTTTCATTTAACTGGAGCTGATAACTCTTTATGGAGTGAAAGGATGAACGTTTTCAGTGGAAAGGGAAATTACACCTATATAGGAAGCAACTCCTTATCATTCGCTTTGACGGAGAGCTGATGCCCGAAATGTCAGCTTAAGAAACTCTTTAGGGTTGCCAATTAACAAAATCAACTCAGTTGATTAAATTAAATTACCCTGTTATACTCTCCAACCGACGCAGCGCCACAGTTTCTTTAGAAACGTACCCTTTTGAACGTGTGATCAATTAACTCAAAGGCTCGCGTGTTCAGTCAGCTACCTAGCCTGCCAGAAAAAAGCCTTTGTTGATCACATTTGGGAAACCACTCACAAGGAAAATGAGCAGTTGACTTGCACTTTTCATTTATTCATTAAGTACATGTGACTTGGCAGTCTTCACTGATGAACATCAAGTGAAGCTAAACAGGGAAAACAGGACACAGATATGTATATCATATTATTGAACACTTTAGTCTTAAAACATTTTTCGCGGTAAATCAAGAGTAAAAGTACTGCCTGGAATCGCTGTAACAGTGACTCAACTCACCTAGCTGTTGCTTTTTAAACATTTTTCTGTCATACTGTTACCTCAGAGCTCAATGATATGCTTTAATTCTAAATCTTAGTCCTGGAACAACACAAATATCATTTCCAAGGCCTTGAAAGTGATGGACTTCGAGTGTGGGTCGTGGCTAGTCATGAAAAGTTACGAGCCTTAGATATTTGAGAAAAAGATTCCTTCATTTCAAATCATTTTCACACAAAGGTAAATAATTTTGGAACAAGCTTCTTGAACGGTGTTTCAAAATGACATGGATGGGCGTACAAAAATGTTATTTTGACAGATGAGGAACACTTTTTAGTGTTTATAGTAAAATATTGAGACGCAGCGTAAAAGCATATACAGTTTTAAGACATTGTTGCCATCATAATGTAACATTCCATTTTTAGACCCCGAGAGAGGCGTTAAGCTAAGTGTAAGTTTCAGCGATTATCTGTATATGGTTGCCGTTAATTTTCCTAGACACTCTATCTTTTATCTTTCATAGCCGAAATGCGAGGGTGGGAAGGGTGGGTGAGAGGAAAACTTTTCCCGGTTCTCCCTTTGTTTACGTTTTTCTTGGCCCTTTTTACCTTTATTGTCAGCCCTCAAAAACTTTCCCTCCCCCCCCCCCCCTGCGCACCTGTTTTCCACAAGCAATAAATTTTATCCTCTTGCATATTCAGTGTTACACTAGCCGTGTTGTCATTTCTGTTACGACTAACTAGTGATTATTGTAGAGAAAACAACAATTCTGGAAATTGACCGCACACGGTGCTTGTTCCATTTGTTGAGGATTCATTGTTGGTGAAAGTGAATGTCACACCTGCACATTGAATTGAGCCAACACAACCAATTCCTTGGCACGTAGGAGGACCTGATATCAGAACACTTATAGCATAGGAGGTGTTTCTCTTTATGTTAATTTGCTGGTCGAAATAAACCTCAAAACCTTGGTAGCTGCATTTCTGTACATGTAACGAGACAACTCCAAGAGACTCTCGTACGCACAATCAGGCAGTTCAATAGAGTTTTTAGTCTTCGCCAACTCACCGTAAAACATGGCCTCAAACACAGGACTGCTGATAGACAGCACGAACTTGTGAGCAGGAATTACTTGTTTACTTTCGCTCTAACCATCCATCTTGCGAACAACGAATTGATATCGCTGCAGCGATTGTTGTTGAAAACAAACTTGGTTCGCTGTCTGATGGTTGGTCTCTTTGTTTGCCAGTTGTCCTCGACGAAAGACATGATTCCTGATCGTGGCTTTAAAGCGGAGCTTCTTTTTCCCGCAACTTTGCAAGGCGTTGCAGATTTCAGTATGAATGGGTGGCAACTCGAGACAGCGGCAGCTTACATGAAATGAACACCTATTAACTGACCTTGAAGTTATTATTATAAACAAAGAGCCTTTCTATATTTGCGTTGCTAAAATACCGTGGCAGTTCTCATACATTGCGCTATGTCACGTGAATTTCATGTCCTCGCGAAGAAAATTTGAACGTTGGTTAGTGATTCTTCTTCACCGGACTGCCGCCGGAAAACTATTCTCGTTTGCCCCCGTTGTGAGCCCTTTCGTCTGCCGATTAATTTTTGCAAAATTTCACAGAATCTGAATTAAGTTATGTCTAGAAAAGTGATCCTAGAATCTCGAGATAATCGTATTGCGTGAAAAGTTTTCCAAAGTTGTATTGACCGGCGATTTTTTGTGTTTTGCGCAAACAATTTTAAGAGCCTGCATATTCAAGTAAGAGATTTCGCTTATTAGTTCTAGAACGCAAGATGTTCTAGTTTTCTCTTCTTTAGTTCAAGGACCCTCAAGAGTTTTCTTGGTTACCTGGTAATCTGCTACTCAATCAACTGATGTAGAAGAAAGTGTATCCCCAACATCTTTTGAATTTTTCTCATTTAGGTTTTGCCCATCTGGGAAGGAACGACGAATGTATTGTCATTAGATGTACTTCGATCAATTTCTAAAAGTCAAGGGCAGGTAATTTTAATTGTTTACCTAAAATGTGGCATAGTTAATATCAGTAGTTAATGTTACCTTTTATACCAATTTTGTTTTTACGATTCTTGAGCTTGGTAATTGTGCCATAAACCTTAGGCATTGTGCTAAACCCTCCAAGAAGGAAAAGCGTTTGTAAAGAAATTATGCCTTCGTGCAATGATTCGTGAAATCTTCTGTGCCTTAAAGCATTTTGCAGCCCTAATTTGGCTTTAGCGTGAGTTGACAAAAAGTTTTGAAATTTTTTTTCTGGTTTTGTACCTGTTCACGTATTGTACACCCCTCTTTATATTTTCACTGTTTAACTGGAAAAATTGTTGCTACAACCATTTATTACCGTGGTCAGAAAGAGACTTATTAGATACGATGAGTTGCCTAAACTAAAGGGCATTCACTCTACGAAGGCTCGAATCCTAACTTCTCAAAAAGTTATCTAGGCGGTAACCGTCACCAAGTCAACAAATATCCTACTGTTTGGTTCATGATTTCAAGTCTTTGTTAAGCTCAGATTTTATGCACTTAAACATTCGGAAACATGTTCTCTTTTCTTATCATAATGCAGGTACTGAAGGCTTTTCACGCGGATGTTTCCAACAAGTTATCTAGGGCGTGTGCGTTTCGTCCAGCCCTGAAGGTTATAAAGGAAAAAGTACAATCCTCCATGAATACCTTGCTATCTCCAAAAAACTACGAGCTTCTCTCTGATTCATTACCTGCACGGGATGTCGCCTTCAGCCTGGCAAGAATTTACATGGGTATTACGTTGATGATACTGTTTTGTTTAGAAATTTTTGAATGAATTGTTGTTCAGTACGGTCGCAAAAATTGTGTGGTCGGCGTCTGAGGATGTGGGAGAAGGGAGGGAGAGTTAAAAGCGTGAAGTGTAATACTGGAATCAGGGAAGGAACAATCCAATTCGTCTCCGCTCTCCCACCCCCTTCCCCCCCTCCCCCAACAACATGATCCCCCCGGACTGGTGCGCATATTCGGTCACTTTCTAGATCGTTTTTAAGATCTCGCCTTAAACCATTCCTTTTTCTTTTATCAGCGTCCCTATTGATAGAGCATGCTTCCTGGGAAGAGGCTGAAGAACAGGACGTGGAAGCTGCCAAAAGGTAAGTTCAGAAGAAGAAGCGAGCATACACGAACGATCTGCGTGAGCTAATGTTCCCGTCGTTTGCAACTCTTTTCGTTAAATTATGAATAATACACCATGTAATTTCTGTCCTCAAGTTCTTTCTTGAAGACATTTTATATGTCAGGTGTTGCACTCCTAATTAGCACGACCATGCGCTCATCCGATATGTCATCGGGTAGAATGAGTGGTCATTATTCATTATGCATGATCACCTAAACGGGAAATTTGAAAGCGAGCGTGCTTTGAAAACCCCAGAACGATATAAGAAAGGGCCGAGTGGGCAGAGAAAACTTGCTCGTGTGACTTCAAATAACTGCTCACCAACACTTTTACCTACAGCTTTTTGTAGAAAATGAGATATCTACAATGATAGACAAAAACGAAGAATTTTTTTCTAGTGCAAGGTCTATCCATTTGCGCTAGTAAATGAACATAAAACAGCCATTGTTTTGTATGGAAGCCGAACTCGAAAGAAACTTTCTCGAAACTGGAATAGACGCTTCCAAAGTGACTTTAAAAGTGGTATCTAATTTTTGAAATTCACTGCTTTCGAGTCCCATTTGAACCAAGCTTAGCAAGAGCAGAAACGCACAAAACACTCGTACTAAAGGCACGTTCAATTTTTTAGGTGGTGTCAGCAAGACTTGACCCCAGTTCTCACTCAACTCAGACACAACGCATACGACGCGAAAAGCTCCGCCTGTGACCTGGCGTTAGTTATGAAGGGACATTCAGATTTCACAAGAACATGATACTTGACGGTCGTTTGCAAAGCCTTACACAGCAACAGGCTTGAAATAGGCCTCAGCTGCTTGTCAGGGAATTTCACTCACTAATTGCTAAGAAAACACGATTTTTGAAGTGTTTGTTGTAGTTAGAGAGACAGAGACTTAAAATAAGCAAAATTATACGTTTAAGACAGAAACAGAATGCACGCCAAAGCGGGTGTCGTGGTGACGTTTGGTCTTTTATGCTCTTCGAAAAAGACGCAGATTTAATCCATCCAGTCAGGTGGTCAGCAGTTTCGGCCTAAGCAGGCCTTGTCGCCGTGACATAGCTGATCAGCCAATGATCAAGGCACTTAATAAATATTGTATGGTATATGCAGTCAATATTTTAATCCATTCGCATCCTTCCCTACATGTGTCTCTCCACACCAACTGTAGATATCGTTATTGCCTCATTAAATTCTCTCGTGAATGTTACACAATCTGAAGATTTGGTCCACTGCGCATGCTCTATTGCTTCAGTGCCTCTCTCAAAGAACTGTCGGCAGTTTTGGTTTTTATGTGGAAACAACTCCAATTATTTGCATCTTTAGCTTGCTCGGTATGTGCAAGAAAAGAGAACCCGTTTCACTCAACTTAGGTCATATATGGCAATCTCTTTGAGTTCATTACTCAATCGCGCAGAAATTAAGAGCTCAAGTCGTGGGACGAAGTACTAGAAATTACAGAAGGAAGGTGACAGAACAGTAAGCCATAATGAGCGAAAAAAATAGGTGAGATACTGTTGATTAGAATTTTTTTTTTAGGACACGCTCTCCTTATACTGCCTGTCCGTTTCCCTTTTCAACGTCGTGTACAACAAGTTTTAGCGATAAAACACACGACCTTTCCCGCTTTGAGTGTGGAGCATCAGCGAAATCTATAGCGAGAGGAGCAATTTGTCCTACATTCAGGAACATAGGTATATTTTTCAAACTCTGTGCGATCATTGTCGCAAGATCGACGTTTCCATTACCAAAACTCCAAACTATACACTTCATTAGCAGGGGTTAAGCTTGCGTGCGTAACATTAACTCTTGTAAGGCTGAAAAGTAGCAACCAATGTCGTCAATGAAGATTTGAAAGGAAAGGGAACAGCGCACTGTTGAAGATGTTATGCTTGGAGCATATAAGTGTAAAGTTGTTGCAGCAGCGGAGAATATATATATATATATAGACCCAAATACTCTCAGAGCACTACCTCCACGTCAAATGAGCATGAAGGCAACAAAGTTGATTAATGAATCAGGAGCTAAAGAACAGCCAAGGCCTCTTGTGGAGTAAGGACTTGACGAGCATTTCCTTCCATGCTAGGGTACGACCTGGTTCATGTAGGAGAGAGATTCACTCGTATGGAATATTAATCCCCCCCCTGCCCTACCCTCCCCTCCCCGACCCGGCATAGCTCGCTATCAAGCTCTGCTTTTAGTTTCGTCATAATTCCAAACAAAGGCAAAGAGAATTAGAAAACAGAGAGTTTCGATTCAAATTTTTGGCGGTTGTTCTTACGCAATGTACGCAATGTAGAAGCAGCGGAGACTTTCATAAAAATCCACTTTTATTTATACGGTGTACAAAATATATCCTCCCAGATAAGTGCTTTGTGCACAGACACTCCATCCGCAAAGAATGCGTGGTTTTATTTACCCATCTAAGTATTATAACAAAATACCGAACTTTTTAAATCTACAACCAATTGTCTGATAAATTTTAAGTATACTTCCGAAAATATTTGAACCCCTATTGATAGCATCCGGCTAATCACCATGCACAATATGCTTATAATATAACGAACTAAGTGGAAGTCAAGACAAGAATATCCAACTTGTGCGCAGCGTCAGAAAATGCAGTGGAACTTTCTTCTTACTGGTTCAGTTAACTTAATAAACTGCATGTGAACTACCCCCTTTTGAATCAAAGAGAAAAGCTATCCTGTAGATACCATTCATTTGACTCAGTTATATCATATACTTTGCACGCAAGACGAAATATCTGTAGCTTCCATTTCTTGTTTTAATGAGATTGTGCATAAAACAGCTCTGTGTGAATCTCTGAGCTATGTCAGTGGAGTTCGTTCACTTCAGCAGGTCCTCGTTACTCTATCCCTGAGCAACAGCATTACAGCATCTCTGTGGACACCAACCCATACAGATTTTGGTGCAGGTAGCGGGGCATTTGGACTGGCCAGGAGAATTTGGAAGAAAGCTTCTTAATACCGGTGCTACTTTTTCGGTGCGTGGACCTAAATCAAGTTCAATTTATAAATTAGCGTTTGCTAAATAGTTTTCTCCATCTAGCAGTCATTCAGCCTTCTTCCAATCGCTTTTTAGCATTTTGTTTTATTATTTCCATTTCCTTGAGATAAGATTTAGGTTTTTCTTCAAAAGTATTGCAGTAGTAATGTACGTTTAACTTCTCAGAGTTAAGTTAGCTAATTAGATAGCCATAAAAAAAAAATCCGTGTTGCCAGTTTTTTGCCGTGCATCGTCGTTCTATTTGTGGTTGAACGAGTAATCTTTCACTGATAAAGACCAGCGAAGTTGTCAAATGTTATATTTGGATCACTGTGTAGTTATTTGTATGATGAAACTACCAGAAATCCCAAGATTCTCGGTGTGCGTCTTTGAAAGACAATCAATCACCGTCGATACCTTGAGCTAAGTCAAGCGGTTTCTTTGCATGAAAACTGCAAAATTTTAGATTACTTACTTACAAAGAAATAACTAGCAGCTAGAGCGGAGAACTAACAATCAGATCTTGAGAGTTAGAGGATTAACTGCCGTATGACTAACATCCATTCTTTTATTGCGCTCAAGAGTTTTAAGTCACTCTTCAGTGCTTTAAGAGTATCAACGTGTCACACTTAAGCGTCATGGATGGTGTACGCGCGTCACAATTACCTTACCTGATGGTTGGCAGTAGCCCCACCGTTTCTCTTTATCGTAGTTGGGCGTGGTGGCACACCAGGGACGATGAGTCTGCGGATCAGCTATACAGTGGTTCACTACCGCGCCGCGGAACACGAAAGGAAGGGCACAGCATTTGCCACTGTACGTTTTGAGACATGTAGACACTGAAATGTGACAATAGGTGAGGTAAATACAGAGTTGTGGAGAAGGGATGGGCAGATTTAGCGTTTCGAATCCCTATCCCCCCCTCTTCTGCTACCCTACAGATCATCAAGCAGTGTGTTTTCTCCGGGTTCAAAAGATAAACTGCTTTGTAAATCCTGGCCGCAGAACTTTCATTTCCTATGTCAGCTTCGAAGCCTCTAGCTATTGGTTTAGATCGGTTTCTCAGTCTTATTGAATCTTTACCTTCGAAATCGGCGACATTTTTCTCTTAGAAAAATCAAAAAGAGCAACTATTCGGCGTATTATTACAAAGACACAACAAAATTCTCACCACCAGAGTAGGAAAAGGGGACGTGAATCCTCCAAATTACTTTACTTATCACTCATGGTATATGCCCACGTGACTGTACTTCTGCTGTATCATCGTTTACATACCTGGACAAGGTGTCTGTATACAAGTCCTACTCTCGAGACTTTGTCCCTTGCAAACCTTTCCTGGCTTACACGTGCGTGTCCTCGTCTGTAAGCTCTTTCCGCAAGTGGCTCCACAGGGCCCAAATGGGGTCCACTGGGTAAAGTTTTCGTCTCCTTTTCCAAGCACAGCCTTTTTGGCTGCTTCCATGGACGATTTGTATTCGTCGTTTTCGCGGAGGTGCTCAATTTCTGAAAAAAAAATTAAAAAACGTTTGAATTCTCTGAAGTAATATTGGTGACCGTGAGATCTAAATCACTCCACCTCTACACGTAGCTGTTAAAAAGGTGAATTCGCCATTTAAAGGCTTGATTGCTACCGTTTTCTTCTTGCCGGTCTTCTATTCTCTCGGACAAAGAACAGCCAGTCGTTTCCTCGAGGAGTTGATCATATCTAAAGCAGCGGCCCATAATCGAGTCTAACGTTTCAACTGCTATGTTTTTGTCCTAACAAAATGTCACTGACACAACCCTTACCATTGTTTTAAACTAAACGAAGTGTTAAACTTGCCAAAATAGAATAACTTTACCTGTGGCTAAAGATCATAGTAGTATGGCATAGCATAAGAACGCGTTCTCTCAAGCTTTATAATGTAATGTTTATGCCTCCGACTGCCAAATATGAAGATATGGGGCTCGAATATTCACTGGGTAACTCAGTTTTGTTCTTTACCCCACGCTCGTGGAAAATTTGTTTAAATTATCCCTCTTAAAAATCTCAATTTTTAACTTAATTTTCCTTGAGGCCACAAGATCATTTATTTTTACCAACAGAACCTCTTCCCTCATTGAGAAAATTCTTCTCTTGTTTACCTTTATTTCCTATCTGTCCATGGTGTGACATCACTACACTCCTGAACGGCATATCGCATCCTCCTGGCGTGACGGCGATTGCGTTATTATTGTTAAGTAACACCTCATTATCTCTGTCGTCTGAGTCACGCGCGTAGAAAATCACGTGATGATGTTTCCGTGGATGTTTGAAGATAGTCTTGAGTTTGAACGTCTCGGCAGTAATTAGGTAACCTTCTAATTTCATACTGGACACCAATGTGATTGGTCTGCGAACTTTGTTGATGAACTTAAGACTGATACACTTGTCTGAGGGAGAAGGAAAATCACTTTTATGAACAGAGCAGTATGTATTTATGCGCAATATTCTTATTTAGCCTAGACGCCGAGGGAATTAGAGCACTCCTGAATTATAAACCCCTCTATTGGTCAAAGCTGGTGTGGCGTGACGCGTACAACATTCTTCTATTCTGATGTTACCAATATTGTTGTTAAAGGTGGTTGAAAAAAAAAAGGCATTCAGGAAAAAACAAACCACCAGAACGGTAGCGAGGTAAAATTAACTTGCACCCCAAAATGCTGAAAATACAACTCTCTTTAAAAAAAAACGCTGATTCTCTTACACGCGATAATCATGCGCGCCACCCGCTACCAAGTCCACGTAGCAGTTTGCGCATGTCACGCTGTTCAAATATCTGACCAATCTTAAACAAAGCGATCTCACCATTTTCCGAGGTTTTGTTCGGCTCGTCGTCAAGTTTGGCTCTGCTTTTCTCCTGCTGGCTGACACCGTTTTGAATGTAATTATGGAAATTAGCGCTGTTTCCCATTAAACTCTGTTTTCCAACCGAAATCAATCCTCCCCAAGTTTTCCCCGGAATGTGATAGCTGTTAGGCACTCGTTGTAGACCTGGTTGATTCAACTGCTGATATGGAAACTGTACATTCGGAGCCTTAAATGCCAACGGCTTTCCCAGCGGCCTTACTGGCGAAACAAGCGGAGGTGCACCGATGAAATGAGGAGTTGCGCGCAAAATTTCTTGTGAGGGTGCTTGTTGACTGAAGTAATTTAAAGGCCTCTGAAACTGTTTCTGTTGTTGTTGTTTTAGCTGTTGTTGTTGCAGTGGTTGTTGTTGGCGAAACACAGGCCCTAATTTTGTAAACGGCTGAGCCGGGCTGTGTATTTTTTGTGATTGCTGGTTCCTGTATGCACTATGGATGAAGCCTAGTGCCTTCGCGGTTATCTTTGCTAGCTGATCAGGCAGGGTATTTGGGGTTGTTTTACCGTCATTTGGAAACTCGAAATTAAAGGTAAACTGTTGTTTTCCATACGGGTTAAGTTGATTTGCAGCTTGCTTTGGCGCGAACGATTGCAGTTGCCCCGTTGGATTTTTGTTAAGTGTGAGTGCATTCCCTTTAATCAGCGGATTTATTTTTGGTTGAGCAAACGGTACCTTTTTCCCTGAGGTCTCTTTGTTTAGTATGATAGCACTCCCTTGCAGCTGCAGATTTGCTTTCGTTTGTGCGAAAGATTGAATCTTTCCAGATTGATTTTTATTTACTGTGACGGTGTTCCCTCTGACCAGCGGATTTATTTTTGCTGTTATTGAAGAGGAACCTTTGCCAAGACCGTTATTAAGGGTTGGGTTGCTCTTTAATTTGTTCGTGGTTGAAGCTTCAAGTTTGTTCTGGTCATTTCCTGAGAGCCCATTTCCAGTGTCTGTGACGACAATTTCTTGTTTGTCCTTCTGCAAATCCATTTGCGGCTTTTGTGTGCCATTCGTGACCTGCAATTCAAGAGTGACATCTGCACTTTTCAAGCCATGCAAGAGTCCTGTTTCGTTCGCTTGCTTTGTAGAATTCACAGTATCCGAGTCATCGTCAAATGTCAGCTCAAAGCTTCCGTTTTTATCAGCAGTTACGTTGGACGACAATTTTAAAGGTGCGTCGTTATTTTTACCAGAATTCGTCTTGTTTGAAAGCTGACCGTTGTCAGTTTTATTAATTTTACTGCCCATAAACGAAACTTTTTTGGCAAGAGAGCCTCCACTTTCATTCTGGGGAGTGTCTTTCCCTAAATTCTCCACAGAATCGTCGTTTGAAATGATACCAGAAACGTTTCGAACATTTGCTCTCGCCTCTGCGCTTTCTTTCTTGGTTGGGGAGAGTTTTAACCTTTCCTTTAGGTCCTTTTTTGTCGGTTTTTGAGCTACTGCCATGTAAAGACAGCTCAAAAGAAATTCGTGGCTTCCGATGTCAACGTTCTTGGCGACCAGACCAAATTTACTGCTGGTGTCATGACACATAAACCACCCAGGGTGGTTAAACAGTTCATAAGCAGCCGCGCCTTTGGTTTGAGTTTTTCTTTCGATAAACGTCGCGTCTTTCTCTGAAGATTGAATAACATAAATCAGCCATTTGTTAAAAGTACTGTATTTTATTTCTTTTCTTGAATAAGAAAAGGATGAAGGAGGGAATGAACCTCTCCTCTTGATGTGAGATGTTACAGGGCGAGGGGTATGAAAGTTAAGCATTTTGTCCCATGATGTTGTTTGGAAATTATGTACCTTGGCAAGGACTTGGGAAATCCATGGAAATTGCACCATAAGAATAAGGCGAGAAATGAAATTCTACCTGAGAAAACGGGGTAAGTTTCTGAACAAAATTGCGATACTACGTCGTTGGGAGATATTACAAGACAATTTGTTGACTTGTTAACTCAAGATGTTGGAGCGGTAGCCCTTTGTTAGAGCAAATGGAAGGTAAAACAAGTTCTTGCGGATGGAACTGAGCTTTGCATGAAGGCTCTTTCAACTGGGATTATCCGCTAAGAACATTTACTTCACCTTACCAAACACTCCAGTGGGCTTATTTCTTTCCAAATGAAACTTGTAATTCTTGTAGCGAAGGTAATGTCCCGGATTAGCTGCCGACTCTAACGACACACTTCCAGGAACATGCTCGAACCCAGGTCTATGGAAACGGAACGAGTCGGCTCTATTGCCGAGGAAGGCGGACCTCTGATTCGCCATGATTCCTTTACCAGCTTCCTGGGGCACTGGGCCAATCCCGGCGTCATTTTGTTGACTGGAGGGTGGGAACAACTTTACCACTGTGAAATTTCTGCTGGCTGAAGAAATTATTTAAAGTAACTGAGCGAGTAACAGCAGTTCCACCATAATATAACCTGCATAATAGACGGTACGTTTAGCTTTAAGAAGGAGAGCAGACGCATTGTGGGGAGATCAGCGTGAAGCGCGAGTCACGTGTAAGAAGTGGAACGAGATTCGACTCTCGCGCACGTTACGCGCTCGTTTCGCGTTGGTTCCCGAAGCCTAAAAGCGCATAATAAAACGACCGTTCTGCGAGCTACCTCTCTATCAATGAAAATTTTTTAGTTAATGTAATATTTGCCCTTTTTACCAAAGTGGCAGCCGAAGGTCAAAACTCCCAAGTCTCATGTATCACAGGAAATTTTTACTAACACCAAACTTAACACCCTTTGTATGGTAATCTACTCACAGATTGTCAATTAGTCATATGTGGTTTCAGCCGCGAAAAGCGAATGCTTACTGAATCTGATACAAAATGGTTTGGGAGGGGATGCATCTGTCCATTATCCTTTAGTCATGACAACTTAAATTAGAACGATTTCAGATAATCCTTTCGCCATTACTTGAGTTGTAATGACTTGAAATTTTCATAACTTACCTTTTGGCACCATGATCTCTCTCTTTAAGAGGATCATAGATATTTTAAGATGAATTTTAGATTTCGTTCACCATTTAATGATCAATTGACAGTGCTTTTCACTTTTCAACAAGAACCAGACGCTCACATGAACGGTATCAAATATTCATCCTCTTTTCCATCCTTTGTTTTGTAAGGCGTGTTTATTAACGCCTCTGATGTGACATGATCCCTGACATTTATAAACAAACATATTTCCTAAGTTTAGAAAAGAAAGTTCCATGCTTTCTTAACAAAAAATGAAGAGGTGGATAACTTGAGTATTCTTTGTAACATTATATATCCTGAGCGCATTCACGGTTAACGGGCGAAGATTGAAGTGTTCAGTTGGAAACTGGTTTTAAATCCTCAATTTTTTCTTTTTTCATGAAAATAGTATTTTGAAAATTTTGTTTTCAAAGTAGAATTCGCAAATAGCGAGATACAGAGATACCTCTTTGAATTGTTTTAAGCGATTACGAATCGAAACCAGCGAGGAAATTTGTGCGCTCACCGTACTGTTCCATAATCTCAAACCCAATGAGCTTATGAATTTGTTTGCATTCAACACTCGATGACTTGCGACATATGAACCCTGGTTTCGTATTAAAATTTGTTTATTTAGGTTTACCCGCGCATTAAGAATGAAAAACAAAACATCATCCGTCTTAGTTCGATATTGTCTGGTTTGAACAGTTTGGAGTGGTTTCAAAATTCAAGTAGTCGTTGCCGGACAAAATGATTTCATCGTAAGCGGGCCGCTCCATCACAATTTCGGAATCAATTCCTGGGATAATTCGTTATATCTTTTTAGAGGGAAGTTGAATATTTTTATCATTAAAACCACGGAACAAGTCCACGTTTCCTTACCTGGTAAGGCGATCACCGTGAGCTGGTAAACAAGTACTAAACACAGGAGAAGTGAACCCGCAGATAAACCATTTTCTTAAATTCCGCGTTTCGTGTCTTCAAAAGTTCTTCACTACAAATGTATTTTCTTGATTGCCGAAAAAATCATCTCTTGCCGCGCGCACCTCCGTCAATAAGGGCGAACTCTGATTCCAAAATCGAAATTTGTGTTGCGTTCTAAACTACCTGTTAAATTGAAATGAAAGGTCAAGGTTTTTTTCTTAACCTGACGCGATTCGAACGGGTGAACAAACAATGACTTTTCTACCTGTTGCTTAGGTTTGCAAATTGCGCATTAGGCGTGGAGCATCAAGGAAATGCTTTTTTTTTAGTATTTTTTTATATCATAACTCAGTTACTGCCTTTTGCTATTGAAGTAAACTTGACCTTTTGTGTGGCTTAGGGTGCCTCCTTGACTTCGAGGAAAGCATTATGAAGGCAATTTTGAACTTTGAATTCAATCAATCGCGAGTGAGAAAATCTCGGGGTAAAAAAAAAAAAAAAATAGAATGATCGTTAATTTTCTTAACAGGGAGTTAATTATATATGCTCGATGAATATTTGCAACTGTATCTTAACTCAATTAATTAAGCGAGACCTTTTCTTTTACGACCCTGTACCCATTGGTGGCGAACACGTTATATGAACAAATGCACTGGTTGATTACAATTACACCATTCAGGTTTTGTCAAGGCATCTCTTTGATATTTTAAAAAGATGGGACACATTTTAACAAGTATCCTTGGAAGCACTCTCATCTAACCACCTCTAATTTGTGAATTAATTTTAAAAAATGAGACAACAAAGGAACTCATCGCTAACCAACATCGATTTTTAAAATAATGAGCTCGAGCTCGGTTGATGTGTGGATCGTTCGGTTAGATCAGTCGGTTGGTGGTCGTGCGGTCGGAGAGGCGGTCGGTCGGTCGGTCGGTCGGTCGGTCGTGGGATCGGTCCCTCTTTCGTTCCGTTGGTCGTCGGTTGGTCGGTTGGCCGGTCGATCGGTTGATTTAAAGTTCGACTTTTCTTTCGTTCGGATTACAGTGACAGTTACCAACCAAAGTTTTTTCAAGGGACTCACTTTCGTCGGCCAATTTAGATATTCACATTTACGTCCGGGCACAGTTCCGTTTTTAATGAGAATCTCGAAAACTGAGTGCTCTAACTTTGAGCTCTGCAATAACAGAGGTTATATAAACAAAGCTTTTAGGTTAGAGCTTCCAATCAAGACCAGCTTTGATTCCATACAAATTATCCTTAAAATTTGAAAATATAATTTTTTATTATTTCTTTATCTATACAAATTAAGGCCTACCCGTAAAAAAAACGATAGCATTAATTTCATAATTTAATTATTTAGAATACGAGTCATCGACTAACTGTCGGGTAGTGCCAGAATATTTTGTGTTATTCCATTCTGTTGTGGACTAAAACTGCTCCTAGTTCTACTTATTTTGCGATAAACGACAATTTCGGCCAACATGAGGAGAAAGCATCCACAACAAATCATAGCAGTGTTGAAAAAGAATCCTCCAAACTCGCCAAGACCCATCGGACGGGCGACCACAGTTTGCTGCGAAACTTTGCATCGAGACGTCGTCCATTTCTGAAATATTTGCGGTATTGTGTCATGCGCGTTGAGTTTGTGAATCGCGTGGGAAATTTGATGAGTCCACGAAGAGTTCCTTTGCAATGCGAAGGCGAGGCCAGATAATCCAAAAGGCACACCATTCTCTTTGATCTCACAATTCGGATCGTCTTCAGCGCCTGTTTCGGATATGAAGACTGTTAGCTCTCTGAAAGAAGAAAAAGTCATGTCATTGATATCTTTCTCCAGATTTGAATAAAAATGTTCGACAGCTTTTTAGATTGTGTCGAACAAATTAGCTCTGACCTTTCCGTGAAGATTCGAAACAGTGATAGTTTTGCAGTCGAATGCTCTACCAACTGGGCTATAGAGAAGTTTTTCGCAAGAAGGTCATAAATTGTACCGTGCTGAAAATTCATGATCTTTCTTCTCGTATGTTTACTTTTGAATGCGCGCTTTATTTTTTAGGTCAGGTGTTTCCCCTGAAACATCGTTGCTTGTTTCTGCAGCAAACCAAAGTAACAATCAGGTTAATTTTCTATTTTCTTTCTTTTACTTCTCATAGACAATAAAGCAAGCTTCGTAGAGACATCAGTTGATGACAATGACTCCATTGTAAAGGCGCTGGTTACATGAAAAGTTGCTTGCACAACCGGTATTTAATTGCTTTAGCTTAAACCATTCCCTCTAATTCTTCCCAGGTTTGGAAGACCTTTGTAGTGATAGAGAAATCAAAGGCAAAACTCACACTGAAATTCTAAGCGTTCGCACCAAATCCAAATCTAAATTTAGATTGGTACAGGTACTAAACCTCCTTAATGTGGCGTGCGCGCGCAGGGAGACTGTCAGGAATTACCCCTCAGAAATTACCATCTACAAGGCCACAAAGTTTGTTTGGAGCACTCACCCTGATCGGAGTTTTTTCATTCCATCGGAGAACGTTTCCACGTTGTGGTCTTTCATGTTTTCATAGATCTTTCTCAACCTGGCACTCCGACTCTTCTTAAAGAAGTCCTCTGTACTTGTGTCTTTGATTGTTGCAAATACGAACCCTGTCGGAGGATCTACGAACTGTGCAAAGTGAAAAGGTGAATATAAAAGATAAAAACTGTACTGTAAAAGTTTACGGTCACCTAAAAACTCAGCCGGGTTCTTACCTGTTGCTTAAGGCAGGCACTTCAAGAGTCATGGATGGAGAGCAACTACTCCGATCCTTTCCTATTACGCTTTTAATTAATAGCCACTCCGCAGAAAGCGATTGTGTAGAAAAAAACAACTGTCATTTGGATTCAGCTCCAATGAAAGAGTGGAAGGGACTGGCATAAATTTGTAGTTAGCTGGTTCTACGTTGGCACCTAAGTGACGTCTTGTTTCATTTTATAGATAATTATTTTTTTTACTAAGAGATCCAATGCCTTGTACCGTAGAATCCTTTCCCTCCGCTTACATCTTATTCACTAACCTTTTCGTCTGCAATGCCTGACACAATATTTGTTTCCTCCACAGTGATAAGAGAAGCCAGCAAATTGGCGGTGTACGAGCTGACAAGAACGAGGGCTGCAAAGTTTGCCACCACCATCACGCTCGGAACTGCGTAAGTTTTGGCCTGAATTTTGGTGAGGGGTACATGAAAAATATTCCCATAAACGTACGCTATGAATTCGAAGGGTAAAAGATAAGCGCTCTTATGATTCCTATAGTAATATAATTTTTCAAAGACCCAACTCGTAACTGCAACCGCAAAGAATGCAATCAAACACATAAGCCACAGTTCCGTACTGAAGGATTTCAACAATCTCATGTCACTTATGATTTGTGCAAAAGTTTTGTTATTCGCTTCAAACCGCCTCACAAAGAACATTAGCGCCGTGTCGGTGTACGGAGTCGTAAAACCGACGTACTTCGAACGTTCTTCGGTAATTGTAATAACACCGAGAGCAAGATCGGCGGTTCCTCGGTAAACGTCCCCGATCATTCCGTTCATTTGTTTTGTGGTCGGATCCACTGATCCATATTTTCCATCCTTGACTAAGTAAAGGTCGAATGAAAAGTCTTCGATTTCTTGAATCTTGATAAGAATGTCGATCATAACACCATAGCAACATTGAATTCTTGAGGGTCCTTTGCTGCGTTTCCAGAAACCTTCATTCTCCGGAAAGGAAGAAGTGTCATTATCCTCAAGAAATTCTCTACAAGGAACCGTGTTCACCGGACAACTCGTGCCCAGTCTACTGCTGTAATCCACGTCATGGATCGCTGTAAAAGGCGCATGTTTAATAGTAACTATTCTCAAGTGGCGCGGCTTAGGAAGGTCCCTCGGTAGAAAGGCCTCAAAATTATGGGGGCTATTGTGGAGAATCATTTCTGGACAGGCAAATCCTAGCACGTGCCAATTTTGTTCCACGTCCTGTTGTAAATCGTGTGATCGCAACGCCTTTATTATGGTGAATTTGAGGGAAGTACGTTCACCATTGTTACCGAATTGAACAAATCCCGTCTGGCCAGGAAAACTATGACGCATCATCTCCCTGTAAATTATATGTATAGAGCGTTATTGTGGGCATAAAATATTGTTCGGTTGAGTGTCTAAAGTTATCCTGAAATTCGGCTCCCTTAATTTAACGCGCCTTATGCCGAGATGCCTTAAGAAACACGCACCACCCAACCCGCCGATACTTGATCCCCCGCGTTTTTCCGCGCTTGAAGCCAGTTTCGTATATTTACTTCGAGCTCTGATTGGCTCGTTAGGATATTACCTTTATTTTGATTAGTTGTTTTGATCAATTTAGGCTTGCATTCGCTGCACTCACAATTTTCCTTAATTGTCTTCTTGTTTGATGTTTGTTTCAGGAAAAACATTTGGTTTACTCACCATAGCAATGATAGTTAGACTAATTGTAACATTCTTTGTTGTATCTGGAAACAATCTCAGCACAAGGGACAAGATTTTTGTTGCTATATTTCTCCTAAAAAATTCAAGCATTTTTTATTGCGTTTTGGCATGCCCAGGCCAGAAAGGGAGTTATCTTAACCTCACTCAGGTTAACATGTACTGAGCCTCTTGTCCTGAATATTTGTTCTTTACGATAATTGTGATTTAGAATTTCAGGTCTTTTAACACAGTGAATTTATTACAAATGTAGATCGTTACCTGTAGAGCTGTCTTTTAAAAGTGGTAAAAAGCCTTCCCTGAAAACACTCCAGTTTATTACAGCGTGTCAACCAATCCAGGGAGCTCTTCAATCCCAACACAAATAACTCTACCGAGTCCTGGAGCAGCCTTTTATAAATCGACGCCATACTTGTATTCTCGGTTCTTTGAAATATTTGTACGCCAAACGAACCCTCACGAAAAGCATTAGCATTGAAAGTAACAGCTTTGTCAGTGAAGATCCAATATACGTCACCTCTTAAAAGTTTTAAACTAAGTTTGTTGGCAAGAGATATTATAGCATTACTCTCATTTCCCTGACAGTGAACAACAATTAAACGCACACCGCTGCTACTTATGGCTGCCAAACCCGAGCCAAGGTCCTCCAATAAGCTGTTTTCACGGAGGATGATACATCTGGGAGCAGCAGCCTGATGACCAATGTTCGTTGTGTATTGCAAGAGATAAGAAAGCAGTGCGTCGTCACGTGATTTCTCTGTGGTGACGCAAACAAATCGACTGTCCTCAAATTCTAGCATCAGGTCTATTAAGACGCGGGCTTGGAGAGCATCTGATGGAAGCATTGACAGATACCACGAGCTTTCCTGGTGAGTTACAAAACGTTCAGTAGGGTTTTTTTTAGTTTATTACCTAAATATCGGGAGGGTGGCTGTCTTACTTACGGGAGGTTGAAATAAGCGCCTTTTCAGTGCTTAAAAGTAAATAGCCCCTGCTATAGTGTGCAGGTGACTAAATCAGAGAAATTATTTGTCTTTCAATAATAACACCTCCCACTTAGGGCTCAACACTGTATCACTCCCTCACCCCACCTCCCCCCTCCCCTATACACACACACTCATTGAGATTCTAGTTCCTGTTGAGAGGTAAAAGCAAAAAGACCCTAAAAGGACTTAATGCTTTTTTTTTATTTTAATTTTTTTGGCATAATTTTCAGGAAACAGAGACTACCCGGTTAGAACAAGAGCATTATTTAATTTTCTCACATTTACGCGTGTAATGCCCCTTCGGCGGGCGCTCATTCGATAATGGCAGCTTGTTCTTTATGGCCAGGCCGCGCTAAATATACAACCTTTTTTTAGTCGTATATAAGTGCAGTGGCCTGCAAATTTCCTCTTTTTTGGACGGAGTACTGAATCTATATGTGCAAAATACATACGCACCGTTTCTCAGTGCAGAAAGAAAACTAAATGATTAAAATGAAAACTACATTTGATAATTTCCTTCAGAGTCCAACCTTTTATCATCGTAACCAAACACGAACAAATATCTCTAACATGATTGGTTATCATAAGTCTGATTAGAGAACTAATCATGGGAAATCCATATCTTGCAGCACTTCAGTATTCTTTCCTTTGATTCAAGTAGGTAGCCATAATTCTTAGACAAAAGATATTGCATATCACTTTAATCTAAAATCATTGTAAACTACAACACATCTACAAAGGCTGTTGCAGCGTTACTTTGAAAAGAGTGCAGGGAAACCTTTTTGATATCAAATTAAAGTTCATTTTTGGGTATCTTTCAACTCACTAGAAACTCGTTTTTTTTCAATTTCTTGCTCGTTAACAGCTGGTTAAGTTTAAAAAGGCATTCTCTATCCAAAAGCACGCAAACAATTTCGAAACTTTACGCGATATTGGACAATCTTTGTATGGCGTCCAAATTTTGCCATACATCTGTACTCAAATCATTTTCAACGACCATTCACAGTGGGAGTAGTTATTTGGGTTATTTTATGATAAGCTATGCTGTCAGATGGTGAATATTAGTTGTCATTTTATGTAGGATCTATTACGATTATCTGACGAAAATCTACGTTTAAAAGATGAAAAGATTTTGAAATTCGAAATAGATTAAAAGAGAGTGGCCTGCCGATTCAACACATTTTAAGGCAAAAGCGAACTTTTTTGTGATAGTTTGTCCCAGCAAAGTACTCGAAAAAATGGGGTTTTGTCGTTCTAGGGAGTGATTTTGTTATGGCTGAGCGAAAGTAATTTCCCCGCTGATTGTCCTGAACAAAATAGTGAGTGGTAAAGCGAATTCTAAAAGCAGTACTTAAGTCAGTTTTATCTTATGAATGATTACGTCTTAAAGTTCGATTAAATATTTATAACTCTTCGGTCAAAAAGGCGTGAGGCAAGTAGCACAAAATTACGGTCTTACTCCGGCGTAAAAGCTGATTTTATAACTTATCCCTGCTCAGGAGGTATCCTTCCTTTTCGAATGTGGTTTGGATTCCCGTCTAAACGCGATAACAGGGCATTCTGCTAAGTTTTGCCTTTTCAGTACGGTTTTTTTAAATTATTAAACGGGTAAAAAGTTGCGAAACACGGAGATAAAAACGCCGAAAATGGTTCACCGAATAAATTGCATCTACATGAGTAAAGCTTGTTACCATCATGTGTTTCTAATGGGTGTCTAGCGAAATTATTGTTTCATTGCTTGCAAACAGTATATTGATGCCTCTGTTTAAGGTCTTGTACTTGAAGGATTTGGGATAATTTATCATGTTTGCAAGGCAGAATGATGAAGAATTGCCGTCAAGTACCTTCATGTATTATTAGCAGATTCTTTTGTCAAATTCAGCTTTAGATGACGTAATATTTTAAAGCAGCTTTATTACTCTATTTAAAGTCTAGTCGTTAATGTGTTCCAATGTCATTTATTGCTGGTTGTTTGCGTTAGTGAGTGTTTTCTTGAGAAACGCATCCGTTTTAATATGTGTTGTTTATTTACGTCCTATTTATTCCATCCGACTTAAATGCAAATTTCCGAAACTCTCTCAGGTATGCCACATAAACTTACTTGCTGTTTCGCCGTGGGAGACTTAAAAACATCAATTCATTTTTTTTTAGGCCAGTTTGTGAAAGCTGTAGCGAGAAATGTCTCGAAATCATTATAAAACGCGTGAAAACAGGAATCCACTTCAAATTTCTCCTTGAAAAAAATTAGGCGCATACACCAATTAAAGCCGCTTGGTTGAAGCAAGCTTTAATCCTGATTAAAATTAATATAAACTATACCTGTAATTTGAAAGTGTTTGTTATAACGAGGAATTTTGAAAAGTCGTTTAAGTGGTAGAAAAAAAAATTCAATGGCATATCGTAACTGAAGCGTCTCTTATTGAGATCTGGACAAACTGGCCTTCGAATAGAACTTTGGTTTAACGAATCATCCAAGCATTACTAACGGCTTCTTCCTGGGCCCCGCCAAATATTGATAGGGGGGATTATTGTCATTTAGGTGCCTATAATTTGAAAGAGAATGTGAAAACAAAACATGTTTTGTGCAACTGTTTGCTTCCTTACCTGATAGGTCTTGTAGAATTCTTCTGTTAAACTTTGAAGCCCAATTATCGGAATATCACTCTTACTCAGTAGGTCCACAAGTACATAATTTTTCTTTGGCGGTAGAAAGCTTATCACGACACTAGCATTGTGTTCGATTATGTGCTCTAGAATTTTTCGCCACAATGAATGCGGCGTTTCTTTTTGCTTCCACTCTATTGCCGTTCCTTGCAAACTCAGAACAGACGAGACATCTTTGTAGCGCTGAAGTATCTGCTCACAAGTTGAATTCAGATCGTATCGTTGAATTTCCTCGGAGATAAAGACGAGCTTCACAACTGGTTGAATTAAAGGAGTCAAAGTCGCGTCAATACTACCACACCGACATTGAAGAAGCAAAATTGATATTATGTAAGTCTTGCACAAATTCTGAAACATCGTCAATATAATGCTGCTAAATCATCAGATGAGAGGTTCAAAGCCAAAAATTTAACCGAGTGGCGCGAGAATTCGCCATATCTCATCTTAAATTCCATTTCCAACTGATAACATACGTAGCGTGCATCTTTTGTTTTTAACCGAATGAAATTCCAGCCTTCTCCAGCCAGGTAGAGGATCTTGACGAAGGCTTTACTCTAGGTTTTTTTAACGTAAGAGCAGATGGACAAATAGTGAAATCAATGTGTATTTAGAATAAATCCATATGCACATAGCGTAATATTTGTCTTTCGAACAGGTGAACTGTTTCTACATTAAATTCATGGCCTTTTCTGTTCGCTTTAAACTACAATTAAAAGGCTTCGAAGCACCGCCCTCAGAGTTAACACTTCTCACAATATCTCCTCAGCGATTGGCGTTTCTGGCGAGACACTGTACGTTGATGTGGCGATCGCAATGCTATCCTCGAAGAATGTGAACCCAATTATCTGTTTTAACGCTCCTCATTTCTTTCAGCCGTGCTGCCACTTATTATGAAGTTGCTTTTTCGGGCTATGTTTTCAATTTGGCTCAATTACCTGAGAAAACCACATACACTGCAACGGTGTATATATAGGCTAACAAATAACAAATACCCGGCTAAAAAACGGAAATGATCGGAGTAATAAGCATCCCCTTTGTTTTTGTGAAACTCTACGCTTTACGGCAATCACTACAGTAATTAATTCATGCGCATACTTCTTTTCCAAACTGTGAAACACTTAACATGTTACTTTATTTTGAGAAAAATTAATTTGAATTCCAGTTTGAGCTCGTTTATGAACGCAGCTTGATAAACCCACTAAATTGTAAACATGTAAAAAGTGGTGCGCGTTTCAGCGAAGTATAATCTAGATTTGATTTCTTGAGATTCCTTGTTTGAAGGACTTAAAAGAAAATCACCTATTTTTCACTGAATTTTTATTTCCTTCTGCTCGCAAACTGTCAAATTAATACACGTTTGATTAACCTTCGCTTTAGTTTTTATTATTCATCCGACGCTATATAAATTATTTATAATGATAAAGACAGTAAATTAACACTGGTTTAATAAAAAACAATTCTGCGACGAATATTCTGGATCATTTCTGAGTTGTTTTCCGCTTTTTATCGGCATCCAATCACTAATTATAACAAGTGCGGTCACTCCGTAAAAGCGAGGTTATTTCGTTGCTAGGGAGACGCTTTGCTGCCTGGCAACATCTGAGCCTTAACCACTCAGTGCTCATCAAAAACTGGTGGCACCATTTGCATTCTCCCATTTATTATCTTCCCATCCCTTATGACTCTAATAACCTGTCTGATGATGTTCTCCTAAAAGCAAGTGAAAGATTTCTTTCTGTAATTCTCATTACCTTTTTCTCTGTTATTACAGTTCGCTGCACGCTATCAAAAGCCCCCTATGCTGACAATTGCCCCCAGAAGAACCACGCATGGGTGTAGAATGAGATTTCTACAAAAAGAGCAGAGAAAGTTAGGGAGAGAATGGAAAGAGATGAAGGAAAAAGGCTTTAAATAAAAGAAACTGGAACGACGAACAGCGGAATTGAGATATTTGTTTTTGTACCCTGGCCAAACGTTTTTTTTTTTGTTTTTTTTTTCTTCGTCATTTTTTTTGTTTGTTTGTTTGTTTTTTTTTACTTTCTGCCGGTTATATGTGAGAAATAGTATAAGAGGGGAAATTCTGCTCTTCTTTCCGAAGGATGGCTTTCTACGGTGTGAAAAGGTCGATTTTACAAAAAGCTCAGCCCAAATGAATGTACTTTCCCTCCAAGAAAGAAATAATAAAAATATCCAATTCATTTCAAAGTATCGGCGCGTTCTTTCTCAGGGTATTTAGAATTTCGAATAATCTTCCGATTTCTGATAGCCCTTTTTTTTTTACCACTGTTAATTTCCATCCTTGGGACCATTGTTTCTACATGGCATGGGCTATAAGGCTGGTCATAAGAAACCAAAACGACTGATGAAAATGCTCACTCTGAGCTCTCCCTACATCGGAGACAGAACCCTCTGTTCATTACGCGCTCAATAACCCTTTAAACCCTTAAGGTGATTGACTTCCTAATTTCTCCTTACATTATTAGCCTTGTTTCAAATGTAAAGGTAACGAGAATAAAGGAAATGATCACCAACCGAAGAAGCTCCTGATTGTCAGACAAATTCTCTTTTGACAGTACTGGAGAAAATGTAAAGAGAGTGTGGAGAATTTGCATGTTAATTTTGGGGTGTAAAGAATTGAGGGAATCATATCGCGTTCTCTTTACTTTGCATTATTTTGACTTTCCTTTCATAATGAATTAAGTCTGTCTTTGATTCTTTCTGCATTATCTCAATCTTTGCTTCCTAAAAGGATAAAAAATGCGTCCATTGCATTCTTCTGAACTTAGAAGGCTAAATAACAGCGCGTTATCTTGGTTTTTTTGTGCTCTTTCTTTATTTGTACACTCCTCCATTAGAGAATAAGAAAGTTTCCTCTTCATTTTGGTCTTTTTTTAATCCCCGTCCCAGGTCGAAATATGACTTTCTCATATTGGAATCTACAGTATTAAATTTTATCAAAAGTTATTTAGCAACAGACGACCGCTTGAGTCGCACAATCCTTGCGGAAGGGTCTATTTAATCCTTTTTCGGTTTCAAAATACCCTTCTAGTTGAAGAATATTCTCCACAATGTAATTACTGAGTATTTTTTTTTCTATTCATATGCCAATTCATCATAGACAATAGCTTCCTTTCTCCTCAATCCTTAATTAGCTAGCTGGGCGTGCAAATATAACTTCGAGCAAAATCTGTGACGTATAACCGACTATTGTAATTGAGTGAAGTTTTTTTTTTATCCATATTCATGAGATATTGTAGAATTTTCTGCAAACTGTGGTGTCCGCCAGAGAGTGAAGACGTGCTGTCTCTTATGCTGGAGAAAAAGTTGCATTCTAGAAGAAAGAAGACACTCGAATTGTAAACAAGAGCAACGGAAAGCACTCGTATATCACCACAACAGAAGGTAAGCATTCCTTTGGAGAATACTGCTTTCAAATCTTGAACAAGGAGTGCATGAGCTGAACGAGTCGCAGAATCATAGTTTAACGAGACTGCACGTGTTAGACATTCTTTGAGGGTAGCTCATCAACTCGAACTTCGGTTTGAGTATTTAGGGTGTCTATTTTTGTTGCTGAAGAAGAAATCGATAACTACCTTTTGGTCTAACGCCAAAAGAAACTTTCTATATGTGTTGAATTTATTGAGGACGTTATTCTGAAATTGAACGCGGCCACTTGGCTAGTTTTAAAGTCTTGTATGTAGTCACCAAATCCCTTCCCATAACATTTTTACAAAAGAAAGAAACGTCAAAATGTATTTATCTAAAAACTTTTCTAGATTGTATTTCGTTGTGCGTAGAGTTTATGCAATCTTCCTGCAGATTTAAAACAGTGTGCAGTCTCTGATCATGTTGATAAACTGTATTTTTAGGAACGGAATATTGTCGTCGAAAGGATGGAAGGATGAAGAATCCGATCAAAGGAGCACATTGGAATCACAGTATCTATAAAGAACATCGCAAAGATAAGAACTTTAAAACTATTTAGTAACAGTATCAAAAATGGTGGCTACTATAGTGTCTTATTCTACTCTTCGTCACTTGTCTGATGTTATTGATTTTGTGCGTGGAATTGGAAATAATCCCTTGCATTGGAAAGTAATTAGTTTTCATCTAGTCACCATTTTTGGCCTAATTTGCAATGGTTCACACTGTTCTACAGACTGAGCGATCGTATGCTTTGTTTATTTTTCCTTCCTCTACTCCTCGTTCAAAATGGAGTGAAAATCTTATTTGACGTAATTAAAAACTTTTTGGCATCGCCTTCGCAAAATGATCAGCCAACGGACGCTGATACAAGCTTGAAGAGAGAGAATCAAACTATAATTGTCTATTTCGCAGGATCGATCGCTCGTTTTTGTCTGCATAACAGCGAGTATCACAGCTATTTCTCAGTTGATGTTGCGAAGTGTGATATTTTTTAATGTGGCACTGTTACAATATATCTCAGAAAAAGATCAAATGAAATTGAAAAATTCAAATCTTGATTTACCTTAAATCAGCCTTAAGTTTTCACATCGACCTTCAACCACACTTTTCATTTCATCCTCTCGATGTTGAATATTTTACAATACAAGACTGACATGTAAAGCTGGTTTACTGACTTACAACAGACTTCTATTATTCTATTACCTTACAAACGAGTTCTTCACTAAATTAACAGATCAATCGAAGCTGACTAATGACAACTTGAACAACGCTACTTGAGCTTTTAAGCCAATAACATCGAGGAAAAACTGACCAATCACTTTCACGAACCAGTCGAGGAACTTGATTCTTGACAATGACTTCCGACAACATTCCTTAACGATTTTTGGTAGCACGACTATTTCGATGATTACACTTAACGGTTGACTGTTTTCTCTGTTAAAGGAAAAATGTTACTAGCTTCCTCAATCTTCCCTTTTGCACAAAAGGGAATAAGAAACTTGAGGAAATATTGACGTTTCGTTCCCCACACGAATTGGATTAACGAATAAAAAGGCATTACTCAGTCAAGTTAAAATTACCAAAACGGTGCCACCTTAAAATGATTTATTACTTTGTGTCATCAACTGAGGTAGGCTCAGTTGACAAGAGGACATTGATTAGTTTCAACTTTAAGACCAGAGTTCTAGATCATTCAAGTTATTTTATATTGTTTTGGTCTTGATAGATTTGTTTGCTTATCATTATTTTTTTGTTTTGCAAAATATATATCGATGTCCTCTTGTCTTGATATACTATACCTTTAAAACTTTAATGCCTGGTTACGAGCGCTTCAGGAAAGAAAATTATGATTTCATAAACCAGTTTAAATGGCATCCTGTTACTCCGTAGCGAAGAAAGATATAGAACCTTTTTTTTCCCGAATCGTGAAA